TTTGTTACACTTGAATAGCGGGTTGTAGTGAGAAGGACGTAGTGAGGGGTAATTACCATGTGAATCTGTCCATAGGGTCTGGGGTAAATCCTTTAAATTACGAGGATACTTTGTTGCGGAATTCTTTTAACCCCGCTCCGCTGGTTCAAACAAATCAAGAGGACTGTATCTTTCGATGTAACAACACGATTTAATCCAATCCAACAATCTACTGCGATGTACAACTCTCATATACTCAACGTCCGTAACACAACGATCAACGTAACTAAACGATCAACGATCAACGATCAACTCAACTAAAACTAAAACATTCTAAGTATACAGTGGTTTTTCTACTATCCTTGCGTAAGGCAGTATTTTTACATTAATCACATGTACAGTAAAAGTTCCCATTGTAATGTATCTAAATTAAACGTCTATTACAAAATCGCACGTTCTTTCACCTTATTTAGCCTAAGAAAATGCATGCAGTTACATCATTTTATATCGTAAATAAACTCGGACTTTGTCTACATTATTGTGAAATCTAATGTCACGAAATCTAACTTCTTTGCGCTACAATGTCAATTTCTAATTAATATTTAATCACAGAATAATCAAGTTAAGTATCACCTATTTCTTTCCCCGACATACTTTAGTAATTTCCCCACTATTCCCGGGAGTTTGGGGGTTGTGGTTGCAATAGGGGCACCCAACGACAATTTCTTTCTAAATAAATTTAAAACACTATTAAACACTATTTAGTCTATTTAGACTAACCGGAGTTCTTTTTTCTATAGAAATGCATTCTAAGAGGCGCTACTGTTTCCTGTCCGGTCATCCTAGCAGGGTCGTAACAAGGTATATGGAATCTGGGATCACAAGCCGTTGAGATCGGGATCAGCATTACTGTAAGGAGATCGGAGATCCGATTGTCCGACAGAACAACAAAGACCACAACATTCTGAAATGGCCTTGATTGGTCGAACCTGCCAACATTGTTCAATTCAGTTGAAGTTTTGCTGTAACATTTCGATCCGGTACTAAAATGTACTAATGCAATCAGATCTGCTGGACTAGCTTGTCTGCAAAACGTGTACGTGGTTTCACACTCATATGTAACTTAAGTCCGTAACAGAATTTACAAGGCCATCCGGTGGAATGATATTCTGGCGTAGAACATCAGTGATCAAACGAACGTGGAAGCGACGTACAGAGTAGCTGGCATCATGTTGAATTCCACTTCGGCATAGGCCGATTTGGCGGGTTCAAGTTCCCGCGTTGCCACGTCTTTCGTCAGGAAATCTCCTAAATACTTCATTTTTGGAGAAACCCGTCGGCCGGACTCCACATATTTCTTTTTTGAGTGCATGCCAATGCTTTTGGGGGTTGTAACCCTCGACAGACTCGAAATGGGAAACGAAGACTCATACCGTCGACGGTCGCCTTCACTTCAAATGGTTTCGAAATCAAAACCACAGCGCTTTTGAACTTTAGATGAATTCATTGCTCTTGCAAACAGGCATCACCTTTCAATTAAATTTACGGCTGAAATATCTGATAAAGAGATTAACTTTCTGGATACAACTGTTTACAAAGGCGAGAGATTTCACAACCAAGGAATCCTTGACATCTGCACACATTTTAAACCTACAGAGACTTTTCAATATACGCATTTCTCTTTCTGCAACCCTCACAGGTCAGAAAAGGTCTCATAAAGGGCGAATCCCTTAGACTTCTCAAAACTAACTCCTCAGCTAAATTCTTCTCTGAGAACATCTACAACTTCAAAAAACGCCTTCGCGCTAGAGGTTACCCTCACAATCTCATAGAAAAAATCACCTCTGAGGTTAAATTTACCGAACAGAAGTCAGCTTTACAAAAGAACAATGAAGTGCAAACCCTGCTTTGCAGAACCTTAAAAACATTTTAATGAGCAAATGGCACTTAATTCAAGATCAACCACTACTGAGAGAGATATACAACGAGCCTCCCATCATTTCATATAAAAGAGCAAAATCGCTGGGAGATATCCTCGTTAGAGCAAAACTATAAGGTCACGTATCACACTATCACGAGCTTATGAGTCGTGTTTGGCCTGTCAACACCTTTCACCTGAGGTCATCCACTGAGAACGATTTCCGAACGCGCTTCTTGCTAGTCATTATCAAGAGGACGTTCCTCGAACTGGCTTGGAGACGGCCTGAGCACTTGATTGTATCTGAAGCACCAAACAATAAAACAGCAAACTGTTTTCATGAACTCTTTTGTCTCAACAAAGTATCACACTAAGCCACGCACATTTCAGCCGAAGAAGCGACGACCGGAAATACGTCGGTGATTTATGGTATCGGCTATCCTGTGATGTATCATCAAATAAACAATGAAAAAAGGCTGTTAAATAATTCTTTTGTTTTAACCTGATAACGCAAAATCAAAGCAAAATAACACGGCTTTCCAAATAAATCACCCTCGCAACACAACAAGTTACCACTATTAAAATCAGTGAACAGCAAATAAATGAATCAATGATTACCAAATCTCCCCGGAACCTAAGAGAATATTAACCGTTATTTCATACTGAGCGATATCCTTTGAGTGTTCCTATGTGACATTGCGAACGTTAGGAAGATTTATGGTACACTCACACCTTCTCTCTTGTCTTTAAATTTAGTACGCAAATTGTGATGTTGTGATGCTCACAAATTGCAAGGCCCAATCCCCCACTCCCCAAATCGGGCACCAAGTGAGCTACAGAACGACAAAAAAATTGAGCAACAAAACTAGAAAAAGAAAAAAAAGGGAACAAGAGATTGAGAAAGAAAAATCGAAATAGATTCACCAAAAAAAGATAAAAAGAAATGATAATATGGGTAAAAAATGGTGATACCTGTGGAGGGAAAAATTCGCAGCCATGTTGTTTTCAGTTCAGAGGTAATGGGTGGACGATTTCGAATTTTTTTTCAAAAAAATCTTTGACTAAAACAATGGAGACGTTGCGGAGATTTAGTGCCTTTCCAGTCCATTATATAAAATGTAAAGTTGCAACAGTGATGGGAGAAAGAATACTCGTCTTGAGCAGCCTAGCCTCTGTAGCAGTCTTTTCCGCCATCTTTTTTCTCTTCTTTATCCCATGGCCTTGTGCATTTCGTACGCTCTTTTCGCTTTGCTAAAAGGGAACTGAAACGACCTCTGCAACACTGGAAGGAGTCGTTCATTTTTTACAGCTGCCATGAAGATAACCCCCATGAGGGCTGGGAATGAGTCCCACAATGGAGTAGGACAAAAATAAGCCTACGTCCACAAAAAAATGCAATTTCTATCGCTTTATTCTACTATTTTATTGGTGATACTCATCCTTCTTGAAATTAATTTAGTGATTTCCAGGACTATCCTTCCTTATGACAAATCGCAGAGACATTTAGCGAGAAAACTTGCACACTAATAGTATATTTTGGCACGCGTCTCATATCGTATAAAATAGCGGGTGATTACGGGCACGCAGAGCGAAAACCAATTGTTCCAAGCTTGAAAACAGTAGGATAGTACTATTTGGGAAATCTTGAACGCTTTTAAAAATTCATAGCCCATAATGACCTCACACAAATACCACCGATCGTGTCTTAGGACAAAAACAAAAATATCGTGGAGAGTGATTAGTCCAGGCGCTCCACCTTCCCCTTTTGTACTTTTGAAGATCAAAAGATTCCCACTTTTTTTCAAGCGGCTGCCGGTTAGGTGGAGAAAGTGGGCCACAGGAATGTGGAGTGTAGTAGAAAAAGTAGCGTGAAAAACCGGCTGATTCCTCATTCCTGTGCTCCTCGTTCGCTTCACGTTTGTCTTCCCTTGCCTGAAAAACGCGCCAAAAAAATAACGCCTGTTATGCAAGCTACAAACAATCAGATAGACTTGCCACAAGACGACCTCATCCCTGGTTTTGCACTGCGCATCTCTTACTGCGCATAACAAGATGGCCGCCGTTATTAAGAGCATCCAAAGTAACATTATTAAAATGAAGTTGACTGAAGAGAAAGGCAATTAGAATTTTCGGTTGCGGTCGATTCTTGCCCAGATGAGACTCAATGTGTTGGGAATGTGCATAACGTTAGCAGTACGCGTGTTACTGAGTGCTACTTCCTTAGGGAGAATCTAGATAGAGGACGTTAAACGTGCATGTGCTATATATCTCACTCTGATTTTCATTTAAGCGCCATCTTTGTCACGTTGCGTCCTAACTGTGATATCTTGATGTAAATTCTGACAAAAACCGGATTATTTTATGCCTTCTTCCTGCTTCTTCCCCCTCCCACATACATGCCATTTTGAAACTCGCCCCAGTCCTCTCTTAATTATCCGAGAAAATGCGTGTGGTGCGTACTTTCTACAGCGCTGCCACAAAAACGAGTACGGTTACCCCCATTTTTTATTTCATAATTTTAATAAGAACAGTGCTTCTTTCCAATGAGAAAAAAACTGGCAGGAATCTATGTTCAGTTTTTTGGCAATTTTACTAAATGGTACGGATTGAGCTATAACGAGTTGAAAAGCGCGTGTCCAAATTAAGTCTACTTTGGAGCGTTAAGTTAAAACAAGGGCATAAAAAGGCATTTTTCTGGTACGTAAGTGGATAAACAATTCATTTAAATCAAATTCTGTGCCATACCACCTCCATCATCGAAAAAATCGCTCCTTTTTGTCTAGTTTTGGGTTGCGTGCGGTTTTTGCCAAAGGGTCCTAACTAGTCGTATTCGTCAGCATTGTGACGTCAAAACGAGCGCGGTGACCCCCGCTTTTTATTACTTTTTTATTATTGTCTTGAATTGTTACATCAGTGTACCAAGTTTCATCTCCAATCTATGTTAGGTTCTTTTACTAGGGAATCACCACCTTTTAAGCCGAGCAAGCGCCGAACTTTTGAAAGTCTACCAATCAGAGGAACTCTCTGGGATGCCTGTGGAAAATTCCAAAACTTTGGAGGATACTCGGGGCATCTTACTTGAAGTGTTAAACGCAAAAAAACACATCGATTGAAAAGATGGGGGACGATCAAGATCCAGGTGAAAGGGTGAGAAAACTAGTGCAGTTTGCGGGACAAGTCCACGTTGATAACAGTATAGCGCCCAAGAAATACTTTAGGTCGGGTATCGAAATGGAGAAAATGGTGAGTCTTTATTCTGTAGTTCACAAGCTAACAACGAGCTGCCGCCAGATTTCGCAAGCTGGTGTCGATATAAACTAACTGTTAACTTTTAAAATCATGCTTTCCTTTTTGAATTTTATGATATGAAGAACTGTAAGTTCATTATAGCTAGTATTTAGTTCAGTTTTTTGGGCTTATTTGTTGTAACTCTTATTTGCAAACAGCGTGCATCAGCTTTTTTTACGGGTTCATTACTCGAATTATACTAGCCCTGTCAGTTCTAAAAATAGGAACTGAAGTAATTTTTTTTCAAAGAATGATATACAACAGTGTTTTTTATTATATGCGCATCCGTAAAAGTCACTAAAGTTTTGGGATTTCGTTGCCAGAGATCGTTTTACCAAACCCATTTCCTTCAGCAAGTTTCTCTTGTACAAAGCTCTCTAATTCTCTTAGAGTGTTTAAATCCACCAGGAACCTTCTTAAGTCTTAACAAACAGGCTACAAATTTTGGAACTTGATCATTCTCAATAAATAAGGTATAGTGGTGTGAAAACAAGCTGTTTTAAATGGCTGAAGACGAACTGACAAGACATAGATAAAGTTAACTTTCCAAGCAGATTTTTTGAAATATTTTTCAACCTCCCCATTCCCCTACCCAACTTCCTGACCATGATCCACAAGATTTTTTCCACTAGTGGCTTTTGGGCAGAGCTAGCTTAGCCGAGCAGTTAGAGCGCTGGATTTGTAACTAGCATATTGAGGCCCCATGTTCAATCCACTCTCCAACCACTAGCTGGCTTTGTTTTTAGAAGTCCTGAATTCAACTCCTTGGTCATGCTTGTAAACAGGCAACTGATTTGCCTGCAGCCAGTTGTGATTCTTAACCTTGTAAGCCACAGTGAAGACTGTTGGTTTAACAGCTGTAATTGTGTAACCCCTATAGAGTTATTTTTTTCTTATAAAGACAATGACAGAGATTAGAGAGCAGTTATGTGAACCAGAAATAAGCTACAGTTGCAGTCAAAATTGTTGAGACGTTTTTGTGTCTTCTCCTCCTCTCAATGTTGGTGTACACGATTTGCCGACTGAATCGCAATAAACAACATTGGGCGGGAAAAGGGAAGCACGGGAAGGGAAAAAAAGGGGTTTGCGTTAAGTGTCCCAACTATTTTTGTCTGAGACTGTGTCAGAGAGGAATTTGAAGCATTGTGACAGATAACAAGATTAATTCATAGTTCGTACATATGTGAGGGAGTTTAGTGAGCTGTGCCGTTCGATGCGGGGTGATTTGCGAACGATTCTATTTGCAGTGAACTGATGTAATGAACTGCAGTAGTTACTATTTTGGGAATTTACATGTAATAAAAAGAGACCCGCAAGACTGAGAATAAAGAGTTAGTGGACTGACAATTTTCTTGGAGCGGTATATTGACAAAAAGCAAAATGGTTTTTAAGGGCACAATTAATAGCATGACATGAGCAGGTGCATACTATCTCTGTAACATCCAGGGTTTTCCCATACAGAAAGTTGCCCGAATGTGTCAGATTTCTAAAGGAAGCGTGTGGAGAATCAAAAATGAAGGCCTTCTCGGTAACAAAGACTGTAAGGAACACATACGAAGGGGACGACCTGTGAAATTTAAAGCACAGGAGACGGGAGGCAGTTGGTGCGAGCCATTCAAGAACTTCGAGAGAAAGAGGGCAATTTTTCCTGTCAAAGAATAATGTAAGAAGCCGGTATTTCTGTCAAAGATCTATCAGTTAGAACGGTGTCCTGCTTTCTAAATTCGCAAGGGTACTATTATCTTCCAGTGCGTAAAAAGGGTGTTCTAACAGTCACAGATAAGAAGAAAAGGCTACAGTTTGCTTGACGAATGAGAAAAGACTATGGAGCTGATGTCTGGACTAAACAAATCGCTTTCTATCTGGATTGTGTGTCTTATGTGTACAAGAGAAATCCATTGGATCAGGCTTTGGCTCCCAAGGCATGAATATGGCGAAAACATGGCGAAGGTCTTACAACTGGCTGCTTGGCAAAAGGCAGGAAAGAAGGAACTGGCAGAAGATATGTGAGACTTATAGTAGCTATATCCTATGATAAGGGTATAATTGCTTGTTATCCATACAGGAAAATGACTGGCCGTTTATTTGCCAATTTTATCGATGAATATTTCACGGGAATGTTTCTGCAGGCAGATAAGGGGGGAGACAACTTATTTGTACAAGACAATTATTGTCCATGTCAGAATTCTGTGTTGGCTAAACCAGCCCTGAGGAGAACCCGTGCAAATTTACGAAAGTTTCCAGCGCGATGTGCTGACGTTCTTTGCCATGAAAATCTTTTTCCTGTGGTTGCTCGTAAACTAGAGAAACGGGCCACTGAACGCCAAATAACGAGGGAGTCGTATAGTGAGTTCGAGGAACGAGTTATTAACATCTTTTATTCCATACCAATATAGTCTGCTACACAGCCATTTTATTTAGATCTCTATAGCGGGAGGAGCGAGCGTATTTTAAAAAAGCTTAGCAGACTGTACCAATAGGGACTATTAATAAAATATTGAATGTTACAAATGTATTAAACAGTATTTTCCTTGCTGTACTAACAGTATAGTTCTAACTGAAAGGGGAAACTTCTTTTGTGAGGGACAATAAACTAAACGGTATCACTTGTAAACGCTCTTGACATAATAAATTCTTAAGTAAACACAACAGACATGGTACGCGTGTGCTTCAATATGAATAATTATACCAATCATGTGTTCAAGTTGCTCTACTATCCCAAAAACATTAGTTATGTATCATTTTGTTCGAGCCGATGAGAATGCTTTTTTTTTCCTTTTAAATTTTCAAGCACCAAGAAAGTTCTCAAGATCATAGCTATACAAAAGAGCAGGTGTTAAATTGCAAAGTTTCGAGATGTTGTGTGTACACAGTATTTTGGCTTAACACCAAATGGTGACATCGGTTGTCAAACTTATGAGCAAATATAGACGGAATGAAATAGTCATACAACCCCAAAAATCTGCCATAAAAGAGGGAAAATCCATAAAACTGATGACTCATCGCAAAAGACGAGAAAATGTGCCCTGCTAATGCCAAAAACAGGCGGTACACTAAAGTCTACACGGGTCACCGCACTTTAATTTAATTAACAAAATAGCATGTTTCTTTTTAAACCGAAAAACTGTGTCACCATGCTCCAAATGTACATAAATTCTCTTGTGTGTATCAAACAGCACTGAATACGGGCATTTTCATTTTTGTGTGAAACACACTTGTCTTTGACTTTTTGATTCAATTGTTTTTACTGAACAGGTCATAGTAAAGGCCCGGTAAAGTACGGTGACCCGTGATGGTGACCCGATAAACATGTCACCATCCCTTCACTAGATTTGCGGGAAGATCAGTTTGGCAAAACGATGGAGGCAGTTAGGAGTAATTTGTTGCTCTTCCTCGGGAATTGGGCTTTGTAGGGCGAAAACCTTCCAACGAACTCTCTTCATCTGCGATTCCCTCTCGTCAAGTACTCCACCGCGCGTGAAACTGAGTTCCTCTTTACTAGTACAAAAAATCGGAGTATCACGTGTAAACTCGATGTCCTGAGAGAAGTGCGTTTTCGAAGCAGGAAGATGTACTTTTTGCCCCATTTTGCCAGTCATGACAACGTTTCAAGACATGAGTTCGGCATACCTCAAAAACTTCCTACATTGCAAATATTCTTCCCATGAAAATCACGAAATATGGCTTACAATAAAATAAAGACACGTTATTTCATGCTCTGATTGTGTTCTACCGTGATATGTCTTTTTTTCCAGTTCGGAAAACAGTGCTAGACATATGTACATATCCCTCATGATTTCCCGCCAGTAGACCCATAGAGTAGTCACATTCCCAAAATTCCTCTAAAACACAGTCGCAGTCAAAATTGTTGGGACGTTTTTGTGTCTTCTCCTCCTCTCAATGTTGGTATACACGATTTGCCTACTGAATCGCAATAAACAACATTGGGAGGGAAAAGGGAGGCACGGGAAGGGAAAAAAGGGGTTTGCATTAAGTGTGCCAACTATTTTTGTCTGAGACTGTAGCTCATGAACTTGATGCTGTTGCTTTACTTAATTTACTTTTACTTTTTGAGAAAGCTCTGCTAATTGACCACTTTTCACAAAAATAAAGTACATTGTATAGCCAAAATTCATGTACTTATGTTTTATTGACGTGTGGTGTGAGATCCTGTGAGTCCTTGATACCTTCAGTTTTGCAATGTTATGTTCTGGACAAATTCTTTGATGTGCCACCACATGTTGTACAAAACGTTTAGGGCTTGCAGCCCCACCTGAGTTAGCATATGGTATATGCAGTCCCTCAACAGTTTCATGAAAGCTAGCCTGGCTCCTTCCAATTGGCATTACCTCACTGATCATAGACCCCTGTAATATATACTAGACCCCTTTAAGGGGTTGCACAATGTCCTTTACAAGTCTGAGTTTCAAAAACCTTTAGTTTTACATGTTTGAGGAGAAAGCCTTGTTCATGACGCAGCTTCAACCCATCTATGTGTCGTTTGTTGCCATTCCAGCTGTCTTAAAGAAGTTACCGTTTCAAGGCCATGTGGCTTGTTAGAAGTTAACCATAACAGGGCCCTATGTACTAGCTAGCTAGCTCACCCTTTTTCTGTTCAACTCTTGGAATTTAGGCAAGGATTTATCATGATGAAGGAGATTTGGAAAGGGCATTCATTTTATATTCCAAGTTTATAACGTGAGTATAGTGTAGTTAAATTATTGAAAGTATGATCAGACCTGGCTTAAAAAGAGCTTCTACAGTGTAGTTCCATTATGGTTGACAACAATCATGATGTTGTAGTTCATAGTGTTTATAGGGTGCCCGGTAGAGCTCAAATGTGCCACCAGCTGGTAGAGATGCTCAGTCACTCATTAAACGTGAGTTAATTTGCTCTCCTTTTTCCATCACAAGTCCTAGGATTTCATGGTAACCATCATTTCCGGTAGCGTGTTGTTACCACGGTCTTAAAATAAAGGGACACTCTTTCTGGGTCCCGAAACCTGGGTTTAACCTCCTTTCAGGAGACACCTTAGCACTCGAAAAGTGACTGACCACAAAAAGTGTGGATAAGTTGAAGTGAATGCTAGTCACAATGACAACAACTTTCGCAACATGAACTATTAATCAATGTGCCACACTTGTGGGATTTTAACACAGAATTTTGGAGAGATAAGTTGATCATGATTTTCTTTATTCATTATTTAACTGCTTGAAATATTGACCACAGCAGATAGGGAGGGAGAATAAAAGAAAAATGTATTTTATATGTAAGTTGATTATTAACAAATCCTAGCCCAACCTCCATTCACGGGACACCTCTATTCAGGGGACACTTTCCCCGGTCCGGAGGGTGTCCCCTGAACAGAGGCTCTACTGTATACGGAAATATCCTGGATATTGCCAAACCTTGTCATAGCAAACATATTTTTCCAGTCTCTTGACAACTCATTATATAAAGGTTCCACTGTTACAAAGTTTTCAGCCGTATCTGAGCTGCCTATGAATTATTGCATTTGTCCTCTGAAAATTGAGCTATGTTAAATTATGTGTGGTTTGCAGGCTGTTTGTGGAGAAGCTTCCATTACATCCAGAGTATGCTAAAGCACCACCAATTGATAAAGCAAACAACAAGAAGGTCAGTTATTTTTCAAGAGTTAATAGTACATGTTGGTGATTTTAGTTGTATTAAAAAAGATACAATTGGGGCTAAGGGGGTAGGGCCAAATGTTTTTTTAGATCTTCAGGGGTAGCTGGGATAGGATATTTCTGGGCTAATATCACAGGTGACGAATTACTCCTTAATTTTGGCGCGAAATTTCAGCGTTGATTTGTAATTTCACATGTGAAATTTCAAAATTGCCATGGCAACCTTCTGTACCTCTCAGTGTCAAGATGACGACGAAGTTTTAAAATGCCATGAATGAAGATGTCAGTGCACAAAAAGACACTTAAGAAAAGCTGAACACACAAAAGAGCACATCAAGGAGGATTCTAACAGGTATTTTGTTGAAAAATTCCGAACTTAAGCCGAAATTAAGGTCGATACTATCTGGATAAACATGTCCAAAATTCACAATTACTAATGTCATACTGCTAAAGGAGAAATTTCTGCAATTTGATTGGCTTAGAGCAGTGGTATTTCAGCTTAATTTGAAATACCTACATGTGAAAATTACAAACCTTTTCCGGGTAGTGGTGTAAACAAATAATAGCATGATTTGTATGTGATATTTGGCATAAATACCACTCGTGATATTTCAAAATTGTCTCCAATTTCACTCACCTAACGGCTCGTGAAATTACGTATAACAATTTTGAAATATCACTCGTGGTATTTCTGCCAAATATCACTACAAATCATGCTATTACCTATACTAATTCGTCACCTATGATATTAATAGGTAATCAAATGGTATACTGAGTCTCGTGAAATTAGGAAATAATTTCACTTGCATTTTGTTTTGGACAAAGGGCGTGTAAAATTATTGCCTAATTTCACTCGTCACTATTTGATCACACATACTAATTATTATTTACTGCAAGTAAAGTTCATGACAAGAACAGGAGATCCCCTGGTATCTTACTCTTTAGTCTTTCCAAGCCAGTCTTGGAAGCATTTGAATTAATTTCCCTGAATTTATGGTCAGGTGCTCTCCTCTTCTTCTTTTAAACTCTTTCTGCTATAATTTTGCATGTGAAAATGCCTTAAGAATTTTTGAGGCTGCAGCCCCTTGGTCATGGGAAAATCATCACAGACCTCAGAAACTCTTGATAATTATGTATTACATTATGGGTTTTGTAGAGCCTCAGAAAGGCGTTCACCTTGGCAGAGGAACTAAAAGGAGTTTTAAAGGAACGATATCAGCAGGAATACAACCAGTTCTTAGCTGAGCAGACCAAAAAGGTAGGATCCATAACCAAGAGAAACTTTATTGCAAATATTTATTTATACCTATGTTGAAAAAGTTTATAATTGATTAATTATGCATAAATTAATGTACATATATAATTAATTTATGTTCCAGGCCCCGGTTGTTCAAATGTTGTATAGCGCTATCCACCGGATAAATCACTATCCAGCGGATAGCGTAATTGATTTCCGTAATACTTATCTGCTGGATAGTGATTTATCCGGTGGATAGCGCTATCCAACGTTTGAACAACCGGGGCCAGGTGTTATATTGACTTTTCCTGAGAAAAATCTTTGGCATTATAAAACTTCTAAAACTTGTCTGTGTTGGTTCGCATCATAAAAGTTGCTCCACAGTATTAGCCTGGAGTCACACAATCAATGTTTTTGTTACAATATACAGTCAAAGCTCTCTTATAAACAACACTCTTGTAAGTGTTCATCTGTACTTGTCACTGCACTGGAGGAGGATTCCCCATAAGCTTTAACTTCAAGTCATTGATTGTTATTTGCTATACTTATTGTAGAAAGAGGAGGAAGAAGCAAAAAGAAGAGAGCTTGAGAAGGCACAAGCAGAAGAAAGAACAAGAAGAGAGCAGGAGGCTCAAAGAATTTTACAGCAACAGAATAAAACCGAGATACCTGCAGACACAGGCGTGGCTACAGTTGTCACCCCAGGTGCCCCTCCATTGATTGGAGATTATCCAGCTCCACCTGTGTCACATCAGGAATCATCTTTCAGTGACCAGACAGAAGTAGGTGGGAATCAGCGTGAACACACTGCACCCAGTGATGTTGGACAGACACATGAAACTGTGCAGCCACCAAGCTATTCATCACTCTATTCTGTACCAACTCCAAGGTGAAAAGATCAGCCTTTTGACATGGGTAACGATAGAACAAATACAAATGATTTTTCTTCAGAAAGTGAACATAGGCAACTCATAAATATCTGAGTTCTCCTAACAGGAGACAAAACTATGACCTAGTCCTGATGCTCTACCACTAAGCTACAAAAGACTTGCTTTGTGAGGGCTGAGGCCATAAAACTCAGTTTTTGTGATGAACATGCTGCTACAGCTGCTGGACCAGAATATAATATTGATAGGTTGCACTATGAGCGCTATGAGCATTAATGTGATGGTGAATGTTAAGCCGTGTGATTATAAGAGAATGATGTGCATTCCTACATTCCTCTTTCTGGTGCCATACAGTTTAATCAAGACTTGCTTATAGCTTTTATTTTTATCATTGTACACATGCAAGTCAGTAATTACTTGATTAGTGTTATATTTTTTTTTTTCAGAGTGCCATCAGTTGACAGGTCAACTAAACCAGTGGTGGCTTCAGGTTTAAAGCATGCATTTTTGAATTTATGTAGCAGTGAAATATCTAAATACATGAAGGCATATCTAAACCTAGGGAGTGAGGGTGGTGGTGTACTTGTGTACCAAAGACCGGATGGGTGCTTTTTTGAATCAAAAAGCAAGGGGTTGAGCGCACTTTTTCACAATTGAAATTTCAAATTTCTGAAGTCACCAAACTTCGATTCTTGCCCATGTGTTTCTGTGTGTTCTCGTACTGAGAGATTTTGGCAGGCACTTACAGTGCATAAAGGGTTGACATACAGAATGATGTAATTTGGCAAGCAACACATTGGTATCAAATTGACTGACAAGCTTACATTGGATTTATGGGGAAAAACATTAAAATCAGACTACACTTTTGACACAGGAATATTTTTGAGGTAGTTTTGTGGTGGACCTTTTTTTGTTTGTACATGTATGGGGGAATGGGGGGAGATGGGATCAAAATTAAGCTACATCCCCACATCCTTGTTACTAGAAATTAATTACAGAAGACTTAGGGTGATTTTCTGCAAGGCATTGAAAAGGTGGTTGAAAGTTTATCATCAACAGCATTATTTAAAGACTGAGAACTATTGATTAGAGGAAAATTTCACCATTGAAAAGTTTTCTCTTCACTGTTCATAGATGCATCCTCATCATCCCTTGGTCTTAGAAAGATTCATATTCCTGGAGAACTTATTAGCCTATTTCTACGTCTCGCATCAGAGAACACTCGAAAGAATCTGGAGACTTGTGGCATTCTTACTGGTCGCCTTGTAAGTATCATCAATACTTAGTATTGGCTGATTCAGCCAATGATAAAGTTCTACACCTGTTTGTTTCTTGGTACTTAGAGTATTATTTTAACTCTAACATGCCACATAAGGATAGTGCATTGTGGGCCTTTTAAAATTATTTTATATAACATTCTCCATAATCTTTTTTGCAGCAAAGCAATATGTTCTGCATTACTCATTTGATAATCCCAAAGCAAACTTCTACGTCAGATTCATGTACAACTCTGAGTGAAGAGGAACTGTTTGAAATTCAAGATTCTTATGACCTCTTAACTCTAGGCTGGATCCATGTAAGTATACTCTTGTGCATGATTAACAGAGAACAGTACCCTGTTCTTGCAAGTATTGTATAATAAGCAGTCTGAGTATTTTATTAGTGAGTTCAAAGCAGAAGGTGCAACCGAGCACTTCAAGTTCATTCTTTCAGTAATCTTAGTTCATTAATGGGCTTTTGATTATTTTCTGTTGTTTTATCAGATTTAAATACACCCATAAAATTTAGATTTACTAGTAAGTTTATTTAATTTTTGTATTTTCTTGGACTGAGTGAATGAAGGGGTGTATGAAAAGAAAAGAGGCCCTAAGTGACCGTTGGTCAAAGTCTCCTCCTTAGTAGACTGTTCTGCTTCACAAGATTTTAGCACAACCAAGCATATTAAGTGCTTGTACATTCTCTCAAGTCCTGCCAAGCCACGACCTGACAGACTGAATAGGGACTGCACAGTTTACCATTGCAGAGGCTCTCACTGGCACTCCACACAAAAAGAGATGATAATAATAATAATAATAATAATAAGGGAATTTCCCCTCCCCAGCCTCTGAGTGCCATTAAAAGCCCATGGGGGTGGGACTTAAGCAGTATTTATTTCTCCACAGGATAAACATGTCTACAGAAAAGAATAATTAAGATAAAGAGACTCCTGTATGAAATATAGGACTCCAATATGAAAGAGAGGTGTAGATGCTTGTCATCTTGGTTAATGGCGTAAATTGCACATTTTGGTCTTGCTTTTAACACTAGAGTGTTAAGGACAGAAAGCCCATCCAGGTCTCCCTAAGGGTTGTATGTAAAGAATTATCTACATAAAAAAATAAACCACAGCCATACTGTGTTGAAGACAGCATATATTAAATTTTTAATGTCAACATTTTAAGAGCGAATGCACACAAAAATCGAGCAAATCGTGGCCACAGCTCAAAACCTAACCTACCCTCATTTTAAGTCTGTAATAACGTTTTAATGAGTTTATAACACTGCTGAGGTTTAAATTTCAAAATGCGTTCGAATTTGGGAATTATTTGAGATTTTCGATTTCAACGGTCCGCGGGCCTAAAATTAGCCGCCGAACACGGCAATATAGCCTAGCGACAGAAATGAGCTGACTTTCATAAACGAGCGAATATATTGTCAATCTTCCGCTTAAATCTCAAAACACAGATATTTACAATTTCTAAACAGCACATTTTTTTAGATTTAGAGCATAAAATATCGACGAACGAGCACAATTTTGAAACGTAATTTGCATAATGCTTATAAATACAACAATTTACCGCTAAAACCAAAATTGAATTTTCTATATGGGGGAATTCTCCAAATCTCCCCAAATCCCGCTTACTACCTAATGAGATATAGTACTTCAACATTATCTGAAAGTTAGTCTGGTGTTCTCGCGAACGCTTGTAAAATAGATTGATTATTTTGAGGTTATTTTCACCCAAACAACCGCTAATTGACCCCAGGGTCAGTTGACACGTGCACTTCACCTTAGTTTTTTATGCATCGATTTGAGCTCGTTAAAAGGGCGAAACTAACAAGATTCTTTTAATATGTACCTGTTTAACGAAATACACGCAATCTTCAAAAGGAGAGGCCGTTCAATGGGTAATGTCTGTTCTTGAGATCTTGTAGATTGTACCATGGCGTCTGCAAGTGGACCTGAATCTAGGTCTGTTTTCCCGTGACTGCGAAATCAGAATAACATCATGAAATAGTTCTCGCTCGAACCTTCGTAAATGAATCCGCTTTGCAGTGCCTTACCTGAGATAAAAAGTGGGCCGAATAGAAAAACATTCTAGCGCAATTTGGATCCTTTGCAGCACGTAGTGCTAAGCGGCGATGGTATCAGTGACTTTTAATTAGTTACTCACCTCCGATTGCGTGACCAGGCAATTATCGATTGTCTCCTGCGAAAAATAAGTGCACGGGAAACCAAAGCTTTCGGGATACAGTAAATTCATTTTCCTGTATGACCAGGTGTCCTTTTGTCCTATTTTAAAAGCGGTTAACTAAGATGATTAGCAAACATCCTGTCCCACTTTTAAAAATGGTACAGTAACTGAATGTTCTGTTCTTCTGATTTTACCCCCAACCCCGGAGTGTTCAGAAGATATATTTGCACTACGCATGAAAGGCAAATGGATTAAATTTTAAGGTTCAAGGCGGTTTTAAGGCATGGGTTACCAGTGGATTAGTCAGACTTGTCATAAGGTGCATTGAACGGAAAATTACAGGCATGATATCTCTGTTATTGTATATATGTCCATTAAGTGATTTTCCAGCAAACATTTTTTGACTTTTTTACCCCAAAAGTTTTTTCCGTTCAATTCTTATCGATGAGATCTAAACTTAGTTAAATTTCTGTAATTTGTTGTTAAATGCAATTCTGCAAACAACTAAGTATTTAATTTTGCGTAAAAGCTACATGAAATTGTACTGTTTAGCCGTAAATTATAAAAAAGAGAAAGCATCATGCTTTCTCTTTTCAAGTTAGTAGGACTTAAGCAATGGCATTGCTTAAGTCCTAGTAGTTGTTCTCCATGTCTGCTAAGGAGGAAATAGTTTGCTCTTTTCAAGAAATTGTTCTTGCCCATTGCGGTTTCAAACCAAGGATAGCAGCAAGTCTGTCGTGGTCATATACTGCTACTTCAGTGCAAACGAAGCATAGGCGCACAAGTCAGCGCTTGCGTTTAGTCAGGTGCTGAAAATGAAGTGGAGGGCGTCCATGTTCGCTCCGGCTCGAAAAGGTAGAATCAGTTGTGCAGTAAAAAGTAATGCGAAAAACCTGCGGGGGCTGGGGAAAGAAAGGCGTCTTATTTTTCTTTGGCTTGTTCTGTTTTCGCGACGTGGTACAGGCTAAGGGGTGGCGAATGGTAAAATCCGAGACTCGCCGAGACGCCGAGATCCTAGTTAGAAATCCGAGCCCGAGACCCTTTGGTGAAAATTTTCGAGACTCAAAAAAGTAAAACAAACCATGAAAAAACGAGACTTCGAGACTTATCAAAAACGCTTCCGAGATTTCGAGATCCTGCCAAAATTTTCCGAGACCCACGTTTTTCGAGGTACCATTCGGCACCCCTAGGCTACGAAATACTGACAAGCTCAGTATATGTCGTCACCACCGAGAGTCACTTGCCCTTAGCCGGACACGCCCCTCACGTATCATGTTTCGTTCCTAAAGTTATTTCAAAGCACAGAACCAAACCTAATCAGCGGCCAAAGGCAGAAAGGGGGATGAGCAAACGGATGTCACAGCATATTTTGCAAGAAACTGGTATCCTTGTGCTTATCGGCTCAGGAACGATCAGGGTCAGAATTTGAGTGCTACAATGGGAGGGAAGGAAGAAAAGGAAACCGCCGCGCACACCTGTTAAGTCTTTTATAAACTTTCTCGTCCTGACGGTTTCAAGGAAGGGCGTTGTGGCTGCTATAGAGTGTTTTTCACATGACGTCACGGCGGCCATAATGGTGTCCCAAAACAATGAAACGGCGGCCATGTTTGTGTCCCAAACCAGTCCTGTGGGAGTTGAACTCCTTTCTTATGCAAACGCTTTCTTTTGTTCCAATAAATTTGCATAGATGCTGGCTACGTCAGTGAAAACACTCTATTTAATTTACAGTGTCTGTTGCAGGTGTCGAATTAATCTTACAACAACCGGAAACGTGGCCACGCCTGCTGAAACTGAGATTGGTTGTAGGATGAACGGCTATAGTTTGGTATATTCACGAGCGCGTTTTGTCCAGTGAACTGAGAGGGTAGTTTTTCTTAACGAAGGGATGGGGTGGGTCAAGTGAATAGTTCGGGGAACGATTCTCATGGTCTAACAGTGCGAAGATTAGACTTCTGGTAAGGTGGCAACGATCAAGGCCCGCATTATAATTCATAATAATTGAAGGTCATGATGTGGAAAAAGCGACTGAAATGGTGGATGCCATGCAATCCTCTCGGGTGGGGGCGGCGTACCTGGCCTTAACGGTTGCCCCTGCGACAGAATGCAAGCATGCCCAGATTGTCCACGGGTTGCTAAATGAGACCGTCCCTTTCTTAGTACCCGTTCCCTGTCTTATAATTAGACCCGGGCAAATTTCTCGAGATTGCACCATCATTTTGGGCTTAAAGCTTCCAAACTCCAGCAATAATAGCGCATGTTCGCGATGGTTTTTTAAGTCAGTCAAGTTCTTAAACCAGGCCTTAAACGGCCAGTTTTAAGTGTCGATAACAGTTAAAAAGGCATACAAGCCTCATGCAAAAGACAGTGGGAAGGAAGTGCACGTCGGTGATGGGGAAAAGGAGTAGCCTACAGTTATTTAGGGGTGGATCTTTCGAAACATTCTTATATTCTTGGACAGATATGCATTGTTTAAAGTTTTAGACAAACCAGGTGTAAATTTATAGTAACAAACTGTTAAATATACATCAGCAAGATTTTTGCGAATCCTATTTTTCGCTGGAGACTATCGTTTACTGGCTGGTCACGCAATCAAAGGTTACGTACTTTCCTACGTTTGTTTACTCACCTTTCGCTCAGCAATACACTGCGTTCCACAAAGGATCCAAATTGCGCTAGAAATGTTTTGCTATTCGGCCCACTTTTTATCTCAGGTAAGGCACTGCAAAGCTGATTCACTTACGAAGATTCGAGGGAGAATTATTTCTTGATGTTATTCTGATTTCGCAGTCACGGGAAAACAGACCTAGATTCAGGTCCACTCGCAGACGCCATGCTGCAATCTACAAGATCTCAGGAACAGAAATTACCCATTGAACGGCCTCTCCTTTTGAAGATTGCGTGTATTTCATTGAAACAGGTACATATTAAAAGAATCTTGTTAGTTTCGCCCTTTTAACGAGCTCAAATCGATGCATAAAACTAAGGTGACGTGCACGTGTCAACTGACCCTGGGGTCAATTAGCGGTTGTTTGGGGCACAATAACCTGAAAATAATCAATCTATTTTACAAGCGTTCGCGAGAACACCAGACTAACTTTCAGATAATGTTGAAGTACTATATCTCATTAGGTAGTAAGCGGGACTTGGGGTGATTTGGAGAATTCCCCCATATAGAAAATTCAATTTTGGTTTTAGCGGTAAATTGTTGTATTTATAAGCATTATGCAAATTACGTTTCAAAATTCTGCTGGTTAGTCGATATTTTTGCTCTAAATCTAAAAAATGTGCCGTTCAGAAATTGTTAGATATCTGCTTTTTGAGATTTAAGTGGAAGATTGCCAATATATTCGCTCGTTTATGAAAGTCAGCTCATTTCTGTCGCTAGGCTATATTGCCGTGTTCGGCGGCTAATTTTAGGCCCGCAGACCGTTGAAATCGAAAATCTTAAATAATTCCCAAACTTGGCCGCATTTTGAAATTTAAACCTCAGTAGTGTTATAAACTCATTAAAACCTTATTACAGACTGAAAATGAGGGTAAGTTAGGTTTTGAGCTGTGGCCACGATTTGCCGATTTTGCTCGATTTTTCTGTGCATTCGCTCTTAAGCACAATTGAAATCACTATTTTAAAATAGCATTTATTTGGTTGTGTGCTTTAGTATAGTCTCCCGTAGGGGTTAAGGTAAGCCTGAGAAGGGTCAACATCGGTCTCCTTTGAGAGGTTTAATTCTAATTTTCTGACAAGCCTTCATCTCCCTCGGGACAAAGAGGGCCTCTGCGGAGCAGAGAGTGAGAATCTTGAAAGGTATTTGTCAGTAGTCTGCTTTCCTGATGGGTCCCCCTTTATTTAAAATAATTCAATAATGCAATGTTAAAGGTAAAATTTATTTTATAAATATAACTGTGTTTCTACTGATTTTCATCAGACACACCCTTCTCAGACCAGCTTCATGTCAAGCGTAGATCTTCACACGCACTGTAGTTATCAACTCATTATGCCTGAAGCTATTGCAATTGTGTGTGCTCCAAAATTTAGCGAGTAAGTAGTAACAGTAACTATCAACCATCATATTATGATGGTGTCAGCAGGTGTTCCTTCCCCAGAATGCCTATAAGTGTACATTGTCACATGTGCTGCACAATCAAGTCATGATTTTAGGAAGTTTGATTTAGAATGGGGTATACCGGTAACCAATAATAATTTTTAATACCTTCACAAAATCAGGAAGCTTTTATAATCATCACTGTTTCCATGAATCACCTACATGTGTGATGCAGGTCTTTTGTGTGGGCAACATTGTGAACCTGATTACTAAACTTGTATAAAAAAAAATCCTACTCCTCCTGCACTTTTTTAGGAGAGTCACTAACATACATGTATAGTGCACGTTTTCAGCTAGAGCTTGAAGCGAGAACCCCATGAGGGAGAAAGAGGAAAAAATCACCTGCATTCCCAAGAAGTCATTACTGCTATAGTAGACAAAATTATTAGTGTCTGTAACCCCAAAGGGGGGTACTCTCTATAGCGCCCTATAAGAAGCTAGGCCACCCTGAAAAGAGTACATTTTTTATACATCAGGTGCATGAAGGGGTAGGGATTGCAATGGTTGAAGTATACAGAGGGTAGGGAAATCTGTAATTTGTTCTGTAAAATGACCTAAAAGGGCTGACAGACGCATTTTAAGGCTGTGCAAAAAACAAGAAAACTTCTTAGTTTAGTGATTCCTAATGATTTAATAGTAAGTAAGTAGGTAAGTAAGTAATTGGTTTAATAACAGGGTTTCCATTGCGGCCCTTTATCTGTTAGTTATAACTAAAAAATAAAATATGTATCAAATAAAATAATTATACTAAAATAGAAAGTAAAATAATATGCAAAATAGAAGTATTTGCAGCTGAAGAGATGCCGCATTCTAAACTGGGTATGTGAAAGAGGTACCTTTTCTTTCAAAATTTGTATGGAAAAGAGTAAGTTGTTGGACCTTGGGGTGGAGCCTCCTCATATAATACTTTTTTGAGTGCCCCCCAGGATGTGATCAATCTGCAGGCTGAGATGTATTGTTTGTGGAATTTTGCAGGACTGGAGTGTTTTCACTCACACAGGAATATGGTCTTCAGTTTATTTTAAACTGTAAAAAACCAGGATTTCACCCACACCCTAAAGAGCCACCTTTATACCAGGTAAGTGTTGTTGTCTTACACACTTTCTCCTTGTACTGCTATTCCTATTCACATCTTTCCCAGTCAGTTTTTCAGTCTCTCACATCAAAGTGATCAATTGCCTTCTTGCTCTTACACAGAAAAGAAATGAATGAACTCCTTTTAACAATGGCCTCCGCTCCTAATAGCAGGAATCTGAGTACTAAAATGCTTTCTTTTTACTAATTGCCTTTCAGGAAAGTTCACACATTTTGTGGGACAAAGTTGCCAGAGTTGAAGTGATTGATCTAAGATAAAGAATTTTAATTCTTGTAAAGAAGACTATGTAATCAGTAATACCTTATGAAGGAAATAAATAACAGAATTATTCCCATATAATCGCCAGGCGATAATATCTGATGAAAAAAAATTTGAAGGGGTCAACATACGGTGAAACCTGTATTAAGCAGACACCTTCAGGGAATACTGTTGTGTCCACTTAATACAGGGTGTCCACCTAATACAGGTGTCAATAGATAACGTCAAATGAGGTGTCAAATGCCATTCAAATGAACAGTGGAAACGTTTAGAGATTGCAACTCAAATTTGAAGAAATCAGATAAGTGGAACAAGCTCCATACAAACAAAACGAAATAAAAAACAATACTACTGTGAAACTAATCAAGTAAAGTCGTCTAGTCACGTTTTTTAATGTAAAAATCGAAAAATTTGTGGGTGGCAATTCAAGGCAATCTTTCACATTTCTGGTGTCTGGCATGTTCGGTGGTTGAATTTAATTACAAGTGTCCGTTTAGTACAGGTTGGCAACAATAGAAATTACCATTTCAGGTACTTTTTAGGTGTCCACGTCCACTTAATAGAGGTGTCTGCTTCCATAATAAAGGTTTCATTTAATCTCGTTATTCCAACCTTGCATTGTAGAATTTTGTATATATGGCAAAAATAAATATGGAATTGAATTGAATTGTAAAAAGTAAATAAGGGACATAAATTTGGGGACTTCAACAACTGTCCGCTTAATAGAGGGTGACCGCCTAATACAGTGTCCACTTAATACAGGTTTCACTGTAAAGTAACGTGAATTTTATATTATAAAATCAGAGATCTGTCCTCCAATGCATACTTATCTGTAATTGTATGCATTTGAAATTGAGATGGCTCAGACCAGGCTTGATACTTCAGAAGAACAATGTAAAATTAGTAGAGATGCTAAGTTTGAACGTGATTTGTTGAAAAATAACAAATATATTAGCTCTGCAAAAACACTGTATTTTACGTTTGTACAATGTATGGTGAGGGCAAGTTTTGTGCCCCCCACCATACAAACGTCTGTAAAATCTTTGCTTTGCAACTTTACGGAGCAATATCTCCGCTCGCTTTTAACGTATCACTTTTAAACTTGGCAAGTTTGCAAATTTTAAGGAGCTCTTTCGAGCAGTATCAATGGATATTTGCTATCTGGTCTTTATCAAAACTTGAAAAATAGCGTGGAAGGGTCTGTTGTTACAGAAAAGCAATAAATTGTAGACCAAAGTCCTTGTGACAAATCTTTTTATTTTCCTTGCAATTCGTGATTGCACTATAAAGCTATATAATAAAGGCACGCTGAAAAATTTAAGGCAAAGGTACATTTTTACATGTCCATAAAGTAATGTAAACAATCAATTAATAATAACTCTCCTAATAAATAACATTTTGTAAAGAATTTTCTAAATGCTATGTTCTACAGAACACTTTCTCTGGGTCTGCCAAATATTTTAATTTTCTCTTCTACAACATGTATGTAGTCCAATTCATTTGAGTCTAAATAAAAATAATATTACAGCATTTTCAATTATTCTAGCCCACCAGCTATTAAATCATTCCCAAATTCCCAATAAAAAAATAGAGCACACTATATCAATGTATTGAAAGCTGCAAACCAATGAAATGTAGGTGCATACCTCAAGTCATAATGACTCACTCAGACCGGATATTTTGAAAACAAAATTTGCTTCCATAGTTTATACTTAAAACCAATCACTGCCATGGTTACTGTTTTAGAAAAAGACTGCTTCTGAGCCCTTCTCAATGTTTATGATTTAAGCTGGCAGGCCCCTCCATACAGTGTAGACATCCTTTTGTCTTATCACAGAATGGTCTCTCCCCCTCTCCCCCCCCCCTGTTTTCAGGGAAGAGTGATTTGTGATGAGTCAAAAGAATACCTGCATGACGGGGGGGGAGTTAACCTTGCAATACTTGCCCATCTCTTTAATTGTTAAAGACAATAAGCTGCCTTCTACAGTGTTGAAAAGTCACTACAGTAACCCTATTAATTCAAGAGATGTTCAACTACGAAACTCAGAAAAATATTTCTGGAATGTTATTGTGTTGCAATGAGAAGCCAATCAGGTGTGAGAAAACTAAACCCCAAGCAGGAATGGCAAAACATTTGTTGTTTGTTTGCATGTCTTGATCTTTACTTTGAATTGAATGGTCATAACACAATAAACATTCCTTAAATATTTCAAGAGTTCATGGTGTTCTTGGTTTGACAGTAACTTTAAACAACTTACAATTTCAAGTACATGTCAAGTTATTGACCAGTACTGCAGATTTACCAATAGTTTTCTCAGAAATTGAAAATGTAAAATGACCACAATTTAGTGCCGGCTGTTCAGTAAATTTTAATTGAACAGTCACGATTTCCATCTGTGCTCACAAATTCACATTGAAAATTCTTTTATGCAAGGGAAAATTCCAACATTGAATATTGACATCTTCCTATTACCAGCATTTCCTATTTAAATTCAGTGGTCTTGCACTCGTAAAGGGTCAGCAACAGCTTATGTGTCAAAAAAGATGCCATATAATGTATGTAAACCTCAGTTGCTGAATCAGAGGATAAAATTTCTTGTCCATGAAGAGAGTGCCAGCATCAAATGATATTGTTATTTGCACACTCAGGATTCTGGGCTAGGATTAAGAGGAGCACAGATATATGTAAGATAAAGATAAGACAGCGGTGCAGAGGTTAAAAAAAAGTGGTTAGCTCTGCAGTATTAAAGATTAAGCAGCTATCATGGGAAAGACTAGTTAATTTATCGAAAGGAAGGAAAAACAGCAAGACCTTGAGACACTTTAGGTACCAACTCAAAAAAGAACATTGCTAAGTTTGAGTTGACAAAACACTTCACTTCCCCAATTTATCAAAACAAATTCTTTTTATATAATGTACTGTTCTGTCAAACTAGCTGAAACTTTATCGACGTAGGTCTAATGGTCTTGATGTTTATCCTTTCCCCTAGACTGGCAATGAAACCCAGAGAACAATGTTGGTGTTGAACACTTTGCTACAAAATGTTAATGATAATTCAAAACAGAGCTAATTGTTCACTTATATGGTTATGATCAGAATCGTACATGTGAAGAATTAACTGAAACATACTACAACGTATTAGCTAAATGATAAGATACTTAACTACTTAATAACCTCTACATTACTACAACCCACTCATAGATAATTACATAACAAGTTAATGTTACTAATTTACTCTAATTTACTAGATAATTACTTTACTTCACTTTACTAATTTGCTCTATTTCAAAATGCAATATTACTACAATTTTCTACCGAGTACAAAAAATGGTTTATCACTGATTCTTTATAAATACTCGAAAAAATCCACATTTATTTTGTGCAAAAAGATATAAAAACAGAAACATCCTGTACACAATGTACACAGGAAGGAATCTATGGTTATATGAGAAAACCTTGCCTTTTGCCTTAATTATCAATAACATTTGATGGAATTTCTGCATGAACATCGATAATATGTAAAAAAAATTGATTTGATAAGATTTACATGTAGTAAGAGGCATTATAAATGTCAGTGGAAGATGTTGCAAAAACGAGGTCAAACACTACAGTACTGTATTTATTTCACCCTGATTTATAAACCCCAGCTAATAATTTGAACCAACCCCTGAACATTCTGCATCAAAAACACGGAATTCCGTAATTCAAACCTTGTATGCTTCAGGTTATGTACTAACCAATAAAATGACCAGTAACAAATTTTCTTAACATTATTTAACAATTTTTGCTTGGTAATTTATATATTAGGATTCTTCGTACAAAAAGACAATGTACAAAATGCAAGTTTATAAACACTCTTTACAGAGAATAATTATAATGACAGTTTATACAAAAATGCAATAATACAACCCTGAAACTACCAAACCTCTCAAAAAAAACAGCCCAAAAAAGATAATTTAATACATGACTTGTGCGCTATTTTAAATAAATGCAAAATGACTGCTGAATTAACAATATACCGTAAAATTCTGAAAATAAGCCCCTCCATGTATAAGCCCCTCCAAATATAAGCCCCCCAAGCAAGTAATGCAAAAACCCTCTGTTAAATCGCCCCTCCAAATATAAGCCCCCGGGGGCTTGTACTTGGAAAATTGCCCTCAAATACAAAATAAAACAAAGCAAAAACGGTAAATTTACTTCCAACTATAAGGATAGCCCAATCGATTTTGAAACGCAAATTTCCCTCCATAGATAAGCCCCTACGAATATAAGCCCCTCCAAAAGTAAGCCCCTCAAAAGGGCCTTTGAAAAATATAAGCCCCAGGGCTTATTTTCGGAATTTTACAGTAATATGGCTTACAAAATAGCCTTGAATTTAAGCACCAGCATGAAAAACGTGTCCTATCATGACATGCCACAAGAATTTTATGGTACTTGCGTGGGGTGAAACTGCGCAGTTCTGATGACTGTGACAATTTGTTTTGATAATAATTCTATAAAGGGTCAATTTTGTCTTGGTGTGAGATTACAGCAGTTTGTTATTAACCCTTATAAATGGCCATAAAGTAGCTTTCTCTGACATTTCTGCCCTTGTAGCCAGTAGTTAGATCTAAATCCCCCAAAGAACTAGAGCGCTTCATCTGTAACATGATAGATTCAACAGACCTGCCGGGGCCTCGAGGCTTGTCACGCAACTTGCTCTCCAACTTTGAGCCACGTAACACATTGACGTACATTGTGTACCTTTTGTACTGTGAAGAAACAATGAATACGGCGTTTTGAAAGTTTATTTCATTAATTGAAACCAACCATCACATTTGAACATTAATAGGAAAGTCTGAATTAAGGAACAAAGGAGATAGATCTGATATGATCTTGATTACCAGTTGTCAGATAGTGGATTTTTGAGTTTTTATAATTATTAGCAACTATTTTCTTTCTGTGCTTTTCCCATTCAAACAGCTGGTGCTCTCTCATTTCAAGTTACAGGGCAATTAGGTGATACACGTATGGCTGGGGTCAATTTTCACAATATTAGAAATTAATAGTGGACAACAATTTAAAGGGAGGAAACACGCTCCCAACCAACTAGTCTAGAGGCTTGACCATTTGGCTATTTTCAAGATTATCATCAAGGAGTTGAACTAGGGCTTATAGAGAACATCTGTTCATTGAGGTGCCAAATAACAACTCAAGCCTCACCCCTCAGGGGGTTAAATGTCAGGGGGTGGTGGGGCGGGGGCTTCAACCTAGGTTTGAAATCAGGTGCGCTAATGTAAAACACTTAGCCACAATACATGTAATGATAAGATAAGTTTTCCCATTCTGATGGTCCATTAAGAAACTGGAATTTGAGACTGATCATTTTGAGAGCTGATCTTAGCTATACAGTGTACTTAATTACCTCATACTCCAGGAACTCATGCTTCTCCTGCCATTCCTGAAACAAGGTATATAAGCAAATATGCATTCAGATAATTGCAAAGGCTATTATATCTTCTTCTACACTGAATTTTAACAGTTACACCTATTCCAAAGCTTGGCCAGTGAAAGAATTCTAGAAATACTCACGAAGTGCTCACGACCAGTTTTTGATACTCTTGCAGCCTGTTTCTTAAAATATATACAGCTGTTTTGAGAAAGGTTGTCGTAAAAATGTGCATGCGCCACAATCCAGAAAGGTAGTATGGGATATGATCAATACACTGTTCCTGACACTGTAGCTGTCGATCCTACTTTGTTGCTCTCCTTCAGCATTCAGAAACATATGTCCATGGCCTCTAATGCTGTTCTTTCAAATTTCTTTGACTAACAGTGAACTCAAAACCACCCACAATACCTTTCAGGATTGTCACATGCACTTCTTCCGACAACCATTCTCGGAATAGCTGCTTTATCTCAGAGGTGCGAAAAGTGGATCTTCTGTAATTAGTCTAACTAAGAAATGAATCACCTCTAGTTCTCTGACTGAACCACCTGTGGGTTTACTTTGTAAACTTTCAATTAATTGTCCCTCAGCTTCTGAACTCTACAAAACAAACAAATTATCTTGACAGTTACCATTTAACAGTATTCAAAACAGAGTTAACTGAATTCAAACAGAGTACATTGATAGCATATCTTTGATTCACAGTATATGCTGATTCAACAACTCACCTTCTTCTCATGATGTTCCAGTTGTTTGGCCTGTTGAATTGAATAAGAGTGGTTTACAAAATAAAGAAATTACCTTTAACATCAAGTAAAGTGGAAGGTTAAAATAAAATGTGCTTTTATGCTGTGTGCGCTTTGCCCATGATCAGTCATCACCTTCAATCTCTAACTGTATCATCCTTCATCATAAATTAAAATTAAACTGAACTTCGTAGTGTATCAAGTGCTTGATGGCTGCTTGATAGGGGTGGCAACAACATGAAAATCTTGTTAGGATAGCCAAAAGGTGGTAGTGTTTTTAAAATAGAGGTTACAATATTCTTTTCTACAGTTATTTTGCGACTTTAATTACTGGCTGCTCAATGGAAGTTTAACTATAGAAGATTTTAAAGCCAGAATTCACTAGCCTGATAACAAAATCCACTAGCCCAGGGCTATCGGACACTACTTTCTTTGTACGCTGGAATATCACATTTTTTGCCTTTTAGGGGTTGGAAGTCTGGAACAACCTGACTATTGGTCCGGCCCTAGAGATCAAACCCATGACCCCACCATTCTGCAGTCAAGAGCTCTATTGACTGAGCTAATCCTGGCACAGTCAAACAAGAAGGTGCAGAAAAAACAAAGGATGACACTTACAAGTGGCATCTGAGAGCGAGAAAAAGGAAGAACAGGACGCTGAAACCTCTTGCTACAAAAAAGCAAACATAAAACAAATGAAGATCTATACATTAATTCGCTAGCTTCAAGAATGCTCCAGTGTGACCTGAGATTAATAACAATCACAAAATGTATTGACCAGAGACAACGTCTGAAAACATTTTTTCAAGATTTGAAAAGGTCTGGGGAAAACCAAAGTTCACCTAAGAGTCACTGTAACTAGCAAAAAAAACTATCTCACATTATTAATTTGAAGAGGGTTGGATATGACATCTCCAGAATTGATAAACCTGTCAGCCTCGAAGTATTCCCAACTACTTGAAGACACTTTCCACATCAAATTGGAACATGGATTTGTTAGTTTTTCAGGAGAAGGGACAACCTGCTGTGGGTATACCCAGAGAAAAACCTCTATGACTAGAAAAGGGAGCCAGCCACAAACTCAACCGTCCCACATGAGGTCAATGCCAGAACTCAAACCTGAACCATATATATAGGTGGCAAGCAAGTGCTCTAACCACTGTGCCATCCCTAGCTCCCCAAATTCAACCCTCCAAGCTGCGACCATTTTAGGCGCCATGGCAACTAAAATTTTGATTCTGGCGACTTGATTTGGAAAATAGTCGCCAAGTTGGCGACCAGAGAAAACTGATACTTGAAGAAACGACATGGATGTTACTGTTACTATGCTGTTTGGAAACATTGTTTTGGCTGAACAATACCATTCTTCAGCCCACATTAATTCTTAACCAATTATTAAAACTTTAATTATTGATATATATTTTGGTGCCTAAATAATCCTTTGGCGACTAAACCTAAAGAGTTGGTCACCAACTAGCCACCAGAGGAAAATTTTAACTTGGAGGGTTGAAATTATATTAATGGTAATAGAAAACGAATTACATTGAGTACAGTAGTTAATGCCATTATTGACATGATGTTAAATAACTATGTAAGGTCAAGTAATTAAGTCATAACTATGTATGTATTACATACCAAGAACCAATAGGAGCTGGTAGGGGAGGTGATGAGTATGTGGCAGCTACAAGATTTATGGCCTCAATCCATGCATTCATTTCCTTTTGATTTCTGCAAAAACAATCAAATGAACAAACAACATCTTGTCAAGGAATTTACTACAAGAAAAGGCTTCATACTCTATACTGGTCTAAATCAAATTAGTTTATTTTTATAACCATAAGAAATCTGGTTACCTGTCTAGGTGGATAAGCTACCTAATAATTCTTATCTAGTCTTCTATATGTTTCCAGAGAACTTGACAGCTGCCAGTACATTACTGCCAAAGAAGAGATGATTCTCCAGCAATTAAACTCCTGTATTTACTTCAATAACTGCAGCCACACTTATCAAATTTGTCATGCCTCAAATGCGGCACTTATTTGAGGGTGGTGCTTTCTTGAGGGCAGCCTTTATTTGAAAGTTGAACACAGCAAAGAGTTGTATTAACAATGGTTTAAACTAACAGAATTAACATCTTTTGATTATATCAGGGCCAAGGTGCTTATTCGAGGACGGCCCTTAATCTGCGGTATTTGAGTAAACATACTGTATGGAAAACACATACCACTTCATGACACTGAGGTAACTGCTACAGATTACTTACGCTGCTTGAAAGAGGAACTCCCTCCAATCTGAAGTGACAAATCTAAATACAAAGGGTTTCTTGACATAATCTGTAGCTCGACTAGCCAAAGCATGGTGAACTCCTAAACAGTTCCTTGTTCGTTCTGGAGTGGTAACTTCATCTGACTGGAAGGAGTGCAAAAGTAATAATGAAAGATTTATGGTCTTTTCCAGAAAAGGTATAATAACTGAAAAGCAATGATATTATTACTTTAAATTATTATTGTGTCATTCATTGAGATGGCAAAAAGATGAAAAGAGACAGAAAAAAAACATACCCAGAGAGAAACAAATTTGATCACTTTCAACAGCTTGTAATGTTGAGAAGGAGATCCATGCATTGGGGGCCCAGCCAAAGAGGCCACATCTAAATTCCCCACTCCATTCGGCTTGAATTTATTAACATATTAATTTTAATATAAATGTACATTTTAAAAACGTTTTTAACTGTTAGAGGATATGGAGCATATGACTCCCATTATTTGAATTTCTTGATCTACACATGATGAAATAAGAGAAAGGCACTGTTCCTAAGACTTCATTAGTACCTTGTGGAGAAAAAGTATCATTCCTTTCAATGTGCCAATAAAAGGCATCCATTTTCTTTTCCAAGCTGAGGCTAAATGAAAAACAGGTATATTATCAGATCTCTACTTTTAAAATCAGTTTTTAAAAAACAGACATATATAAAAAAATCCCTTTGAATCACTGACAGTGTGCATGCAATTTGGGTGTTTAAGTTTTAATTTCTCTATTATCTTAAAATATTGGGTTGCCTGTGGTCTCAGTTATTTTTGTGTCTTTACATGTACATGTAATTTGGAAGAAGGAGAAATCTAACACCAGGAAGCTAAAAAACAATTCTGAGCTCCAGGTGAAGATCACACTCATGACCCCCTGAACTGAACTGCTGGAGGCTCTATGGCAAGTATGGTCGAAATTTAATTAATACTATTAATAAAGATCTCACTTGGAGGTCAGGTTTAAGGGAAAACATGACCACTGGACTGTTAAGCAGGTATTATAATTATTTAACACTACAATCATAAACTCACTCTTCCTCCCCTCTGAATCTACGGTGACCTTTCTGTAGAGTAGACCCTCTTTGTAAACCTTGTCACTATCACTTGCTTGAATCTATGATCCCACATGAATCATTATAATTATTTTTAAAATATTACAATAATATTACAATAAAAATATTTCAATGATTCTAGAATATTACAATTATGACTACATTTTAGACCATCATCATAATTATTGAAATCCAAACTAATTTTCTCTAAACTGATGAACTGCTCAATTTCTTCATCTTTAGAATATTACACTTTTTTTTTCTTTGCCAGCTTAGTTGACGGAACCAGATTTATGGGTTTCCATTGATAGAATTGATAGAATCAAGTATGCAGAACCATGAAAGTTAAAATTTTAGGTGTCACATAAACAAAGTTGTCACTAAGAGAGGAACAAATACAGACCAAAAGAACAAGCATGGTTGAAATTATTTGCATCCCCTGTGTCAATGACTGAACAAACATTGTCAGTTATGAGGTGGTGGTGCTCATGTGATGGTTACAGGAGGGGTTGCACCAAAATATACATTTGTTTTTGTGAAATTTCACTGCAGCTATGTCATTAGAATTAAATATTATTGAGAAATCTCAGAGAGTATACAACGTTGTTATGACACAAACAATCAAACTGATCTGAGTTCTGTGATTATAATATTAAACACTATGTGCATTTACCTCCACAAAGGGATTGCCTAAAGAGCTTCCCTAGAAATGTAAAAACAACACATAATTTTATACAATGTAATTAGAAAATGAGATAACAGCCAGAAAAAAAGATTTCACAAAAAATACAACATTACATGTAACCTGTTCGACAATGCAAGTGCTGATACTTCCTCAACTGTACAGTTGCGATAGATACCCAGAAAATATTACTTCCAAAGAGCTGATTAAATTTTATTTAATAATCTAATACAGTTTAAACCTCTGCTTACGAACACCAACTCCTACAAAACTCCTGTAAGCAGACAACTCCCTTAGGTGGATGACTCATGTGAACAAACACGAAGTAATAGTCTCACTGACATACTGTACATACAAACCTTGCCTTTTTAACCTTTTCTAACAAAACGCTTTCTCTGATCCTACGAGTGTCCACGTACTAAAGGTTAGACTGATTAGACTAGATTAGCACGAGTTCTCTGATATCAGGTCCTGAAGAGCTTCATCGACCTAGCACATCTCTATCCACTGAACCAAAAGTGCATTAATAATTTATTCAAGTTACCTTTGACCCATTTGGCGTGAGAGATCTCTTGGAAGGTGTTGGTGTTGGTGTTTTTTCTTTAACACTAAAAGCAAATTAAAAACCAAACAAATTTACATTTTTGCGTCCCCACTTTCATAGATTGAGGGTCTACTGGAACACTGTACTAGATAATCAAAGGGTCAGTTTATCATCAAAATTCATCAAAAATTCCTCTCTCCACTTACAGATCTCAAAAAGCGAGAATGAAAAGAAACTCTAGGGACACTTGCACTTTTATAGACCACTAAAACACCTCCACATGTACTGCAGTACCATTGGACGAGATACCACTGACCACTTTTTAAAACATTTTGACAGAAAAAATGAAAATTAATTATTATTATTATCTGTTTTCCTACAGTAAGCAGTTTGCCACTTTTTTATTCTTTTGACTTGACACTACTTACCCAAATCCTTCCAATGGCTTACTTTTAATTTCTTGATAAATTCCCTGAAAAATCACGGAGCACACCACTGTTAACTCCTTTCTTTCAATTCAAACTAGGGGCAGTAATTTGCTTTTGGTTGCGAGGAAGTCCACTTGAGATAAAATTAATGATAGTTTACCTGTTTACAAGAGCACTTCAGTAAGGTAGTTACTGTTCAAGTGATAGAAAACATTTCCTGCGTTTGCATAGCCTGATATAAACACAAAAGCCAGGGGTTGGGAGAATTCTCCCAACCCCTGGAGTGTTTACATCAGGCTATATATGCAAATACAAGAAAAAAGTTCTCTATTGCTTTTATAAATTAACTCTCCTGAGAAAAAATGCAAAACTCTTTGTTTTGGCACTGATTAAAAGAGAAATTCTTACCAGTTGTGAAGCCTTGTACATGTATATGAAGTTTCACACGCATATAATCAGTTGTTGTTTTGCATAAAAGATGCTGTCCAAAATACGGATTTTTCTCGCTTAAAATGTCAGCTTAAGTGAGAAGGAAATTGACACACCATGTTTGTAAAAGACTTTCCAAGTTTTGGCCGATGAAGGATAGGTAAACAACGTAAACTTGTTGAGTTTTCAACTCAAAAACTTTTTCAAATTCGTGCCTGGAACTTAACAGCAAGCTAGATCTGCACATTTAACATTATGTACCTAAATGTACAGCATAAATTATAAATCAAGAGACCAACACACAATGAATTAAAGTTCTGAGAAGTGATAAGTTCCTTTTAAATAGAGCAACACCTGTTTAGGTTATACGTATGACTTGAACAAAATTCCGTTTCTTACATGCAGGTGTTCTTATGCAATTTAATCCTTTAATATATTGTGCATACCTTGAGCAAATCTTTGGGAAAATCCTTTCCATCACATAATCCTGTTAAATTTTCTATAAACTGTGCTTGAGTCATCTTTTTATGAAGATTCTTCCAAATTAAAAACAAAGGAAAAAGAGATATTAAGTTCAGTCGGAAAAAAACAACAACGATAGACAAAAAAGGAAAGAAATAAGGTCCTAAATGAAATCTGAGCTAATATCAAATTTTCAATTTGATTCAGAAGCATTGAAAGGACAAACTGGAGGGTGAAGTTTTTCATGGTTAGTCTATTGAAAATCACTTGGAACTTCATTTCCAGGCACCACCAAGGAAGTACTCTTAAAAGAGTTGCCACAAAACTTCTCTCAACCATACTGTGAGTATTTCAGTGTAACTAAGCCAACCAACTTTTTCCTGATGCTTTGCACTTTTTTACTGGACTACTCTAAAAGCAGCAGAGTTGATATCTTTATAGAAAACATGAAAGATGAGAACTAGGTGTTTGTACTTTGATCAAAATACACTTCGGTTGGAGACCATTATATGTATCTCATACTTCAGCTCAATCAATGTGATAGCACTGCATGGTCAGGTTACTCCTTTGGGTTAAGCATTATTATTTTATTCACGCACCAACAAAAAATCACCTAAGGAGACCCATAAGCAGGTGATCAGGTTTGCAGTATAAAACCCAGTCACTTACCTCGCCATGAAGGTCAGAGTTGAGTAAAAGAATAGCACACACTAATGTATGAGTAGCATCTAAATAGAAAAAAAGAACTTTCATAAGTGTTAAATTGGAGTTTTTGGTATAGATCAACACCCTTATATACAGTTAGTGTATCACGACTTTTTATGAGTAAAGTGACAGTAAGTTAACCCGGTCGTTTGAATGACAAGTAAGCTTAAACAAGGAAATTAAGGAGTTTAAGATGTTACAACAATGAAGGAAACAAGATCTTCAAAAAGGCAGTATTTTTAATTATTTTAATAACAAAACAACAAATTTGCATGCGCAGCCCACTTTTTGGTAGACATCTTTGCCTTCACTGCACAAGTAAAGTACGACATGACATTGCCTCATTTCATATTTTATGGAGGTCATAAACTACAACTTGGGTGTGGTTTTTAGGAATTTCATCACTCCTGGACAATTTGCCTACATTAATTTGACAAAGTGATTTAGGTGTTCAAAACATTGCAATAAAGGTTAAAAGAATGAAAAACCAATTTTAAGTGGCATTCTTGCCACATTTGCCATCATGGTATCCCCTATCAGTTCTCCATGATAGACAGTCTGTCAACACTGGCACGTACTGATTTAACATGGAAAAATGTCGCCAGTCTCTTTAAAGATGAGTCAAGAAAGTGGTTGAAGAGGACCAATGCTATATGTCCAATTTAGGAAGTTACCCTTCTTATGGAGGTCTCCATCTTATAGACTGAGGTATCTGGTAATAAAGACTTGACTGTAATAATAATATTTATTTTAGATAAATTGTATTAAGTTGGAGTGAAGACAATGTTAAAAAAAATGTACTCGAGCAAATTTTTTTATCCAAAATCGATCTGTAAAGAGATGCCAAACATTTTCAGATTGAAAAATGCCTCACTTTTCAAGTGCCCAAAAAGATTACAACTAAAAAACATGTTTGGGTTGGCATGAGAATATATTTCATTACCTTCTGATCCATAATCTGGATTATTGCACTCTTGATATCTCTTGGAAAAGGGGATCAAGATTCTTTCTCTCTCCTGGGTCTCGCCACTCAAATGAAAGGCTTTGAGGAATTTCTGTAGTGACTGTGTAATGGTTTCACTACCAAAGTCAAAGAACTTGAGGTATTCCACGGCCACCAATTTCCCATATGGAGTACTGAAAAAAGTTGCAATATTAGTTACATGCATTACTTAAATGTTTCAGATAAATAGTTCACTCCCATCTACTATCTTGACAGGGACTAATAGTGCGACTGACATTAAACCTGTTTGAAGTGTTTTATTTAATGTTTTTCTTTTCTTCAATCTTTTTAACCCTGTATTCTGTAAGTACCAAGAATGACTATCTGGAGAAAAAGTTATTATGGCAATATTATTCCTACAATGATCAACATTTAAAGAGAAAAATGTTTTGATCATTAATCAAATTACAGTACATTTTGTAGAACCCCGATAACTCAAACTCTGAAGGGAAACAAAAACCTGTTCAAGTTATCACGGTAAATTTCAGTGAAATTTTGATCAAGGGAAAGGAAATTTAGTTCGAGTTAGCGGGGAATTTGAGTTATCGACGTTCTACTGTATCTCAACTAATTCTTGAGATCTAAGCACAGATAATTTGTATGTGGATATTGCCCAGGGCTTGAACGGCTAAAGAAATAGTTCCTGGTTAAAGTACGGAGGGGACCAACTCTAAAAGAGAGAGAGGAGGAGGAGGACTGCATGTGTGTACATATCCACAAATCATTGACATAATCTTGCAGCCAAAAATAAAATGACCGTACGTCACCACTTTTAATTTCCTTGTGTGCCAAGGAAACAGCAGCTCCTTGACCATGATCCAGTATCTCTGGACATGGTCTCTGGCCAATTTTCTATCCACTGACACCTTTAACCCTTAATCTCCAATATCCACATAGAAATTCTCCAAACTTGCCTCCATAAATTTCCATAAGGGAATTTGACAAAAGATCATTGCATTTGCCCTTCGGCAATCATTTCATCAACTCCCATAATCATTTCTATTGATTATGTATGGGGTGATGTTGTGAGGAGAAAATTGATGTTGGTTCCTTTGGGACTTACAGGGTTAAATAACCAGTCTGAGCAATGCGTATGCAGGATCTACATGTTAGTACATTTCTGTACTGTACCTGAGTAATGAAGATTTCAATCTGGTTCGGTTAAAAAACGAGGTACTAATACTTACTTTTTACTGAGTTCTGGTGAAACTTCATCTCTGTCAAATCCTTCCAGGTTGAACAATCTCTGTGCTAGGGCACTTGGAGTTTCATAAAGTAAGTCATTAAACTGTCTACCAGCAGAATCAGGAGGTAAAAAGAAATCAGTTTTAAGGGTGCCATTTAAAACAGAACTAGATTCCTTGGAAGGCTCGTTATTCTTGGATAAATAATAACCACTATTTCCATGCATTTGTGCAGGTTTGTGATTTAAATTTCCATTGACTTTCTGTGATGATTGTGCAGTTCTTTGCGAGGGTAATCCAAATGGCGAAGTTTCCAATGTCCGATGTGCAGAATAAGGTGTGCCGGGAAGACTGCTTCCACCAGATGAATAATTCCTTATATGTCCACATTTTTTACATTTTAAATACTTACTTGCCTGAGTTGTTTCGGCTGATGAGTTATGGACTAAATCTCTAGAAAAATCTATGGGTTGTCCACAGTTTACACAATTCTGTGGTAAAGACTCCTGGCTACTTCTTTTTCCGCCATTATCTGGCCAACTATCTCTTTTATAATTTTCAGGTCTTGTTATTTTATCTGTCCTACTTGAAGAAGAGTTGTTATCTACTGGAAAGTCTGTTATTACCCTTTCCACAATCTCATCTTTTCTTCTCGCAAATATTCCATCAACGCCTTGGTCAACTCCTAAAAGGCTCCACCTGCCTACAGCTCTAACATCTTCAGAGCTAGTGCTATTTCCCTTGTGCATGTTTCTATCTTCTTTCTGTCTGCTCCCTTTTCTTGGAAGTTGATCAGTGTAGGCACGTCCTCGTGGGTGATTTGGTGCAGAAGCTGATCGTTTTACTCTTGCTTGACAAATTGCAAGTTTAGGATCAGCCACTGCAAATCGTCTGAGGTAAGGTCTGGCACGCTCCCTTGTACCAGGGTCTGTTGAACAATTTCAAGAAAACGATTATTCTCTAGGAATTCATTTCAAAATCTGATTATCATTTTCAAAATGTAACATTATAGTCTTTCAAAAAGGCAAAAAAATGACCTGAACAAGGAGTCGTACAGTGTATACAACAAGTCATCAAGTTTTGAAAAAGGCATGGCACGGTTTTTTAAGGAGAAGTGAATGATGTTGGGTAATTCTGAAGAACAACTCTCCCAAAAAACTGTTGGTTAACTGTTGTCCGACACTCAGCTGCCAAACAGTCAACAGACAGCTGTCAAACAACCAAAGGATCACCAACAAACAAATGGCTGGAAATTGCCAGTGGTTTTAAGTAATAATTTGGGCAACCTGCCAACTGACAAGAGGCCAACAATGTCAGTTACCTCAGTATAGTGATATGAACCATGTTTTACAAGACAGTTGAGGTTTCTGTCAAGCCAAGGCAACAAACGAAAATTCCAATAACATTATGTAGACACACAGTTACCACTAACGATGAGAATCTGTGAGACTTGTGGTCTCTGTAACTGTTCTATACACTGTGAAGAACAAGTGAGACTAACACAAGTACATGTAATAGTTACAAAACTACAAATTTAAACTCAATGCTATCTAACAACAATGTAGACCAAAGACAATAATATATCTTTTCACAATCAAGGGAAAATAAAAATATACATCTTTTGACAATCAGGTTCAAACATACATAACAATAATAATATTACAAATACCTATTTCAAACAAACAAAGATGGTAGATATAGTCAGCAGCTGTAAGAAATGACATGAAAACCAGTCTTCTTTAGCAAAATGATAACAAATTATGTCATCAGCTTCACGATTGATATGTCCAAAACAATTAATGTTTTTAGAAAGTCAACATTAATTAGTCAAGTGTTACCATTTATTCTTTTTCCACTCATTGACTTCCAAAAATGTTAACACAATGAATGAAAATCCTGTGTCTTTGTCTATTTTTCTTTGCAAAAATTTAATTGATATGCAAAGGAAAAGAATCAAGTCTTTCATGCACCCACTCAGTGAAAGTTAGAAAACTGTCGTAAAAATGCAATAGTAACAGGGACCCAGTTGCTCAGAAGGTGGATAATGCTATCCACTGTTTAAATCTCCATCCAGTTGATAACACAAATTGGTTCGACCTCCAAATGCTTATCCGCTGGATAGTGATTTATCCGGTGGATAGGAATATTCAACTTTCCAACAACAGGGATTGACCTGAAGAACGGAATGAAAGTATATGCTACTTGGCTGCACTGCCATTTTAGGAATAAAAATCTCTGCTCCTTTATATTGTCTCTCACACTGAACTTTCTCTGGCCACAAGAGATCAGTACTGGAAACATGAACAGCATTTATCCACTGTACAAACCTCTATCCCGTGAATAGCACAATCAGGGCTGTCATTAAGAGACAGGGGCCGGAGATTTCCCCTGGCTACTTTCATAGGAAAATAGAAGAAAAATAGAACCAAAAGAAATCCCTAGCTGTTTGATTCCCTGCCTACTTGTTGTATTTACCCTGCAACTTGAAATCTTGGTGACAGCCCTAACAATGTTGGATTGTTCTAGCATTTATTAACCACAAGATAGTAAAACCTTTCCTGGTACATAGTGCTATCTAACCTTCTTACAGTTATTGTTAGGTGATCAATAAAATACTACATGTACAAGTATGTAGAAACATCCAGTACCCTGCATATATATATACTCAGTGCTACTTAATACCTAGCAGTTGACAACTGGCACAGTTGAAACTAGTACACTAAAATGCACATAATGTTTATAATGGGACATTCAAAAGCTTTTCACTCATACTTTCAAATGCAGGTTTTCACAGTTTTCAGTTAAGTTACTTGCTGGAAAAAAAGGATAGTTCTCACTTTTGAGTCTCAGAATCAAATAACAGGAGCACCAAGCATTTCACATATATATACATGTGTTTACTACAGGAAGCAATGATACTGCAATTTTTAAAAAATATTTGCCCATCACCTCAGGAAACCCATTGTATATCAAGCGACCATAACTACAGAAGACAGCAAACCTTAACCTTACATTGAACTAACTGAAAACACTTTTAAGACGCACACGCGAACAACAAAACATCATTTAACAAACCTAGCAAAAGAATGAGCAAAGAGCTAAGTAAACATGTATGGAATCTTAAAGACAGTAACATAAACTTCCAGATCATCTGGAAGATTTTGAAACAGCCTATCACCTACAACCCCTCTTTCAAACGGTGTAATTTATGTCTGTGGGAGAAATATTTTACAATCTGTAAGCCCCATCTAGCCACTCTTAACAAGCACAATGAGCTGGTATCTTCTTGTAGACATGCTAGCAAATTTCTGTTGAAAATTTTCAAGTCCTCTTCTGTTACACAATAGAATCCATAGAAACAGCGTTGAATCCGTAGCACAGGTAAACGCATTTTAAAATTTCAGTTTTAATCAGCATACTGTTGTAATCTACCTTAAGGCTATTTTATCTAAAAATTAAGTGCTACACCATGATATAGAAAAGAAACTGTATATAGTAATAAAATGTCTACTCAAATCTTCAGTTGATAAAACATTGTATTTTGGGTATTCTTGCTCTAGTCCTTCTATTAAGCACTCTGACAGCAATTCTGCATCAGCTGAAATCAGGCATAATAATATATGTACATATGATTTGATGTTTAGTTTTAGTCTGTCTTTTTATAAAAGGCTTAAAACGGTACAAAATGGAAAAGCATTTGTGAAATTAACATACATTTACAATAATCATGTTCCTACCTTGTCAAAAGCATACATATTACAGGCAGTTAAACATCTCTCAGATGATAATTTATAACAGATTTTGAGGCACTTCACATGAGATTAGCAATTGTGTCTTTGTCCATGTGATGTTTTTAGCATAACAAGAGCAGCAGGAACAAATTAAGACCATCACAAGCTATATTTACAGTGCACACACAAAAGACAATGAAAACACTATCTTTAGGTTATATCTTAAGGAAAAACATGAATTCACTATTAGCTTGACCTCTGAAACACACTCAGTATTATCAAATAACTGAAATGGATACAACTCAAATGTCTTAAATCTTTCAAGCTAGGTTACTGCTCAGAGATTGGAACTTTGAAACTACATGTACTCTAGGATGAAAAGGTTTAAGAATACTGCTTTGGAAATCATACAGATGTACCTGCAAATTAAAGCTATAGAGCAGACAAAGCCTTGGAGTAGCCAGCCATGTCAATATAGCGTACAGCGAAAAAAGCAATAATTAGCCTCAGTTTCCATAAGAGGTAGATTAATTGGGTGCAACTCATAATTAATTTTTCTACTGTATATTGGCATCAAACTTGAATACAATACCCACAGTCAAATTTTGAACAATATTGCATGTTTCTAACTTGAATCCAAAACCTCACAGTGAACATAATTTCTGAATGAAGGCTTTCAACTGTGGTAATTTCAGTTTTCTTGAGTAGAACCTTTTTAATATTACATTGGTTACACAGTCAGCTGTAAGTCTTGAAAAGTAAGGAAGTGGTTGTGTTGTTAACAATCAGCCATATAAATGAAACGCATGACCATACATGTATCTAATCTCCTAGCACAGAAGAAAGATTACTCAATGCATGTTATTGGCAGCAAAATATTAGCCAAGACAAAACCATAACACCCTGAGAAGCCATTGTGGCTTACAGCACGAGTATAAAAACGAAGAGAATTGTCATCAAGGAAGAAATTAGTTGATCTATATGTTGCAAAAAATCATACCTTTCCATGGTTGTTCAAAACTACATTCCTATTCCTCCTTCACTCAAGCACGCAATATAATATAACAGGATTCAAATTTCACATCCTAGTTTTACAAGGTCATGACATTATAGGTTTGGTTTCAAACAGGATGCTCTTGTGGAAAGTCTCGGCATCCTGCTAGAAGCTTCAGCTTTGAGCCAAGGGTGATAAAGATATGCCTTCATGCATTAAATAATGCTTTACCGTCACTCACAAATGTTTTGGCATCTCATCAAAAAGCAATGACATCACTATTAATTATGCAGTCAGACTTTTGCCCTTCACCTTCTTAAAAATTAATGTTAAATAAAAGTTTAGCAGGTAATTTATTAATATAAATTGAAAAATTGAACATTACTGATACAATTTTCTACTTTTTTTTCCTGAAAGGACAGAAAATAGTTGAAAACATAGCTCCCATATAAGAAAAAACTCAGATAAGTTTGATTTGTAATAGTCTCTGAAGTAAAGAGAAGAAATTCTTGCTTTTAGCAGAGGACAAGAAACTTGAGGCAGACCTTACATTACGACTAGTACAGAAAAAATTACTATCAATTCAACATTTAAGATCTGAAATGTCAATATAAATATAAATAGTCATTATAATATTTTCATATAAATAATTATGTTGACTAACAGTACTCATATTGTACAATTCAATATCCTCAAGAATCAAGTGACACCTGTATAATACACTGTAATGTGATTTATATTTTGCTGTTGAACAGTTGAACAAAATATACAATATCTCGCTCAACCATCAAATATTGAATTTTGAAAAAACTAACAATGAAATTTAACATGCCTACACTAAATACTGCTCAGTGGTCTGGTATATGTACCTGAGAATGTGTAGCTTTTTTCTCATATATTTGGTTAGATTTTCAAGAAAAAAAAATTAGTCCTAAGTTTATTATAAATACAGTGCAGTTATAAACACAACCTTAATATAACGCACAGAAGACAAACAGTTTTTAAAAGTAACAAAATGCATGACTTTAACAATAGTCAAAGTTAAGCACTCCCAAAGCTATAGGAAATGAGTCAAATTCCTTTATCTTACCATCCCTCAGTCGGATTCTTAAGTTGTCCTGTGTTTGGCGGATGATTTCCACAACTTAAAAGAAAAGAGGTTTCCTGTCAGCATAAAATATTTTACTTCACAAATGGATAATAAACATATGTTTTTTTATATGAATATACAAGTTAATCTCATGGTCCCCATATTCTGAATTAAATAGGAGTTTCAAAAACGATGACCCTAATAATTTCATGTGATACATTTTGGGAGTACAATTTAGGAATCTCACCAACATATGTGGAGGAAGTCACAGATAAGACTGAAAGGCGTCCAAAATGATAAGTGAAAAAAGAAGAAGAAATTATCCTTCTTTTTTTGACCTATGCCTTGTACAAGAGAGCATACATTGTACAGAAATACCAATAAAATAAAGTTTATTTTTATTATGTGGCTACAATATTATGCACACTCTGACTGGGCATTACTTTCTTTTAGTGACCAGGCATTACTAGCTAGATGTCCAAGGCATATACAATCTGTGTTTAACTTGATGGTGGACATCCTTAAGGACACCTTTGTTATGGTCAATTAAAAACTGTCAAAAAGGGTATCCGCTGACCAGTGTCACCTGACTGTATCGCGAGGCAAGTGTACAACTCATTGAGGTGACAAGTTTTTAAAAGTAATCTGCTGACCAGTTGTTGGTTTTAATTGATTGCAGGCTCAGGTCCATAATGAAAAGGCCATGTAATAAATAACTTATTAACCTCGTCCATTCAGTCATTACAGGGAAATCTCAGACCTGGGACTTGATCGCTCAGTCAATACATCAAGGCCTCAGTCTGAGATTTCCCTGTAATGACTGAACGGATGAGGTTAATAAGTGGTACAATTGTATGTATATTGCACATTCGAATACATTGGTTGTTGCCAGAAACAAACTTGGCTGACATGTAAAAAGGAAAATAGTATAAAAGAGAAAACATTCCATCAGCTTTGACAAAACTAGAAGTCCCCAAAACATGAATGCACAAGACACTGCTTTGAAGTGAGACCATATAAACAAACTACATGCAAACTGAATTACTGAAACTTGAATTCAAGCTTGTTTTTTTCGGAAACAGGTCAAACATTCTGCTTGCCCTTAACCGCTTCTTGCTCATCTTAGTTATAGAATTTGTTGTTGATGACTTGCCTGGATTCTAGCCCAATGGACAAGAAAACTTTAAAAGTTACTCGAATTGCCCAGCAAGACAATATACTTGTCTGAGACCTGAGACCTGTAACTATAACTTGCTTACCTTGATTTGTGGAGAAATGAGTAATAGGTTGACCGTTGACCTCTAAAATAACGTCACCAGCAAAAACCTGAAGTTACATGTAAAAAACTGTTAGCATGTTAAATTACTTCTGATCATTATTATACATTACAGCACCAGGATACACACAGTCTTGTATAACAATATGATACTTTTTTAAGTGACACAGAACTGTCAAACTTATCCTTTCAAGTCAGTTTGATTGGCTCCCTCTTGACAAGAATCTTGGAGTCACGAGAGGGACTTAGGGTCACGTTTACTGCAAACAGCAAACATGAATTTGCACCATGTGACCAAGTTTTCCTTTCCTTTCCTTTCACTGTTAATTACTTCTACCAAATGATTAGAAGTTTCACACAAGCTTTATTCATAAGAATTGTTTTGGACTGTTTTCATCTGCTCATTTTCCACCTCACGAAATTCTCAACTTGAATCTGACATTTGCCATTTGCAGAAAACGTGATTCTAAATCTCTGCTATTCTTCAAAAGTTAACGTGGGGTCACTTCATACTAGTACCTAAATGAGGTCTTAAATAAAAATACCACTAGGAGAGCCATTGACCAGAGAAGTTAGCACATTCAAAGAGTATTATTTCACTAGGATTCTACTCCAACAGTTTTTAGACATTTGACTGACAGAAAATTAAGTTCTGCTAGACAAGTTCTAAGCTGGATCTCAAGGAAAATCTATCAATACAAAGTCATACCCTTTGCATGAAATACATGTATGCCAAAATTTGTAAACCCCAAACCCTCACATTCCTTTCGTTTAGCCTACATGTACATATTGCAGTAGTGATGAGAACTTATTCTAACATCAAAACAGTTGATTTTGAGTGATCTATCCTTATTTGTAATGCCTCTCTCAGTGGTCAAACATTACACACATTAATTTTGACCTGCTGTTAGTCTCTGGCCCCACTACTGAAAGTACTCATCCCAAACTGACATGATTAATTGTTGAAAAGGACCCAAATTTGCAGGGCTGTGCTCTAGCAGAGCCCGGTGGCCCCTGGCGCCTAACTTTTGCCCTCGGGCGACTAGAAAATCTCAGATTTTTCATACAAATCATATGCTGACTTCCAGAAAAAAAGACATTATTCCACCATTACAATTCTCTCAATTTCTGTGAAATGTATATATTCTTAAAATATTGTGCATCAAAAAATAATTCACATTGAACACAAAACCTTAAAATACATTGTGTATTAACTCATAGTATCACTGAAAACATTAAAGCACCATTTACAGCCCTAATAAAATTAAATCCAGCTTTTGTTACTTTTAGGGGACCATCGCCTTAAAGAGGAAAACATATAAGTGTGCAAGCTAAACAACAAATAATGTTGTATGTTTGGCAACAAAGAACAAATAAAGTGCAAACATAGGTCATTTCTGAAAGCACCTTTTAGCCACAAACCATGGATTCTGCCATCAGGATTTTAGGCAATATATTGTAGATCCAAGTGATAATAATACAGAAAATAGCTAAAACAGACTCATGTTTTTTTCTCCTTCTACATTCTGCATTTGGCGTATACATTTGTCCACTGTTGCATAAACTCGTCATTTTGCTCATACATTCAGTAAGTTTTTTTCCTCTATAAAGGGATGGTCCCCTAAAAGGAACGAAGCCTTAAAACCTGCAGGGGCAACATATCTATTTACTTCTCTAGCCTGATGAATTTCTTCAAGAAGGGACAACATAGGTAGCCAACTGAAGCATAGGATTTGCACCATCTTCTATGCATGCATTTTTAACCAGACAACAATGTACATTTAGGGATAACAAGTAACAAGCTGTCCAAAAATAGGCAGATGTTCATATCTTGAGGCTTGTTTCATGATGCACAACAAAAGTTTCTTAGCTCTAAATCAAAATTAAAGGAAAAGTTGCTGTTCAATTTTGCCCCTGGTTCATATTTCACTCTACTTTGTTTTTGGCTAAGTAATGCATAACAATGAGATTGGAACAAAGGAAAAAAAAATGTGAACTAAGGATAAAGCTGAACAACTCTTTATTCTAACAGCATTTCAATGCCACTGTTTTTATAGCTACCAAAAAAAATGCACCTAATGCTGAACATCAGGAGCATTATTGATATTTTTCAAACAATCAAATTTTTGTGGTTTCCTAATGTGAAAATTAATATTACATGGAATATTTTAAAGGGTGTATGTAGCTTCATACCATGAATACCCTGGAGGTATATATCTTGCCATCTCAATTTTTAAATTAACAGTTCCCTTTGACATTAAATTTAAAAGCAACTTCTCTCTAACATAACTCAAGTACACCTCAGCATGTTTGTTGTCATACAAAAGCTAAGTTTGTTTACAGATATTCACACCAATTAAAGCAATAATTGATTGCCATTCAATTTAAACATAGCTTTTAGGGAAAACATCCATAAATGATGGTAATAGAGAGTGCAGACTTATAGATTAAACCATGAATTTATTGACTCAGCTAAGGAAAGAGGAAAAAACTCATGTTAGGTAAGAAAACTGATATTTCCAATTATGTTAATTTCTTAATAAATCTTTTCGTTTCTGACCAATGCAATTTCACGTTTATTGTTTGCAAAACAGACAGGGCGGTTTTGACATTATTCTCCCAGCACGACAAATATGCCTGGGTAGTGTAAATAACGACAGGACACGACACATATAAATTAAAAAACTTAACCACAGCTGAAAAGTACAAATAAAAGATTCGTTTACACTAAATTCATAACGAGACATGCAGCCTACACTTGTGCACAAATATTTTCCGTAACTTTTATAAGTTAACTAGAACAAACAGAGTTATTCATAATCGAGATTGCTTTGTAAATCAAAATATCGAAAAATGGGCAAACTCCTCCCTAAATCACGCTTACAAAGCTCGAATATTAAATTCCATAGTGTTTTGTGAAAATAAATTGCGACCAAAAAAAATACTACCTATCTTTATTTCAGTCCTTTGAAAGTACTTTTCAACCAACCAGCAATGTACATGTATTAAGCTTAAGTATACAGGATAAGCTGTATATATATGACATTAAACTCAGAAAGGGTTAAAGAGTTACTATCATAGTACGTGGCTCGAGACGAAATGGATCAACATGAAAATCTCCGCTATCTTGATATTACAGGAGCAAGCAAGTTCAGTTAATTGCAGAATACTCGACAAAATTTTACGCGAGAGATTAGCTTATCTTTCCTTAACAAGCAAGACACTAAAACCAGCGGAAATTTTGATAGCAGAAAAACAAAATTGTTTGTTCGCTGTTAACTTGTACTTTTTCTGTTTCGGTAAATAGAACCGAAGTGGAAAAAATATGCTTTTAGTTAACAAGTTCACACGTTTCTCTGCGTCTTCACGATTTGATTGCCACGTTTGAGAGCAAAGTGATCCGGCGTTCAGAAATTGTTATTTTACCAGGAAGAGAAAATAATTCAACGAAATCTCGAGAGGAGAGCCACTCGAATGTGCCAAAACTAAGGGCTAACTGAATGATAAAAGCTTTCATGCAATGATTTTGAAGACAGTTACAGAGATCATGAACACAGGCGCTTACCCTTCCACTTAGTTGCGCGGAGCCATTTTGAACCAAAGCACAGACCATAGGCGGAAGATGGGTGTCCACTCCTCCAATCACACTAAAGCCAAAACCACCAAGAGGATGCCTTTCAAGTTCTACATATCTATCATGAGCCATTACTCTCCTTCCAGCGCTACACGCGGCGAATACATTTCTTGCCACTGCAGCGCGACATTCAATTTCAAGCATCACCCGGTGAGGGTGCCTCGGAGAATTCCGAATACTACCGGAAGATTTACGAATGTTCACGATTGTTTCCCGGATCGGATTGATTGTCACGCTCTTATTGATGTTGGGGGCCGACCATTTAACTCTTGACGGTGGGGTGGGTGATTTGAAAAAAAATTTCCTGCAAGCGCTTGTCGGAAGAAAAAAATTGCATGCAGCACAAATGTAATAGAAAGCTTATGGAAAAAAAAGGGAAAAAAATATCCTGCCCACCAGATTGCTAGAAAAAAATTCTTGATGACCAGAAATCACCCACCCCCTCCCTCAAGAGTTAAATGGTCGGCCCCTTATTTGTCGGCATTCGCTATTTTCTTTTCGTAATACCTGGGCGTAATACTTCCTCCCAATCCTCCCATGAAATTCCGGCTATACGTCATGACCTTTGAAATCTCGAATGCAATAAAACTTACCTGAGATTAGCATCAAGTGGGTTTGTCGCAATATGTAAGAATATAATGGGGTAATCTATAATCCGATTAAATCAAATCAAGTCTCAAATTTTTCGACAAAAACACTCCAAAACATCTAACCGGAAAAAGCATTAGGATGTAACTCGAGCCAACAAAAACCTGTATTTCCGGTACCTACGTCATCACGTGACCCTCACAGGAGGACAACGAAAAGCTCACACAACTTATGCCGAACGCAACAGACGGGTACGTGGGAAGTTTACCTCTATCATGCTGGAAAAAACTTTGTGGGAGCGGTTCTTAGATACGGTAGAGCCTCATCTACCTGAACACCTTCACTGGAATGAAATATGCGTAAGTTTCGAGCCATTTTTACATGCTATTTAATAAAGCGGGTATTAACGTATAGGCTGCTTCATTTTGCAACGTAAAGCTTACCGGTACCGGTAAGTGAACTTGTGCCGCAGTCAAAGCGTTATGCAATCTTATTCTTTTTCATTCTCTTTCTAGTGGACATTTGTTTATTATCTGGCTGAAGCAAGGCGCCATATTCATCGATGGTGCAGAGGAATGGAAGCTTGGGAGGCAAGATAAACTTTATTTTTTTCGAACATGTGAAAACTCAGTTTTACTGGGACTTATAAATAAGCTTACACCTGTGCATGTGAGGTTATTCTTTAAGAGAAAGTTGTTTCTATTGATTTGGTCACTGTAGCTTTCCTTTAAAGAAAATTCTCTCGCCCAGTAATCCATGGTTTTAAGTTATTTTAAGCTGTTAGGTTATCGAGAATTGTGACACAACGTCCAGGGTTTACGTAAAGGTCATTCAGTGCCACACAAGAATTGAACTTCCTAAGTGACATTTGAACGTCAATTTTCGGAGAATGTTTCCCGGAACATTTAGACTATTTTGACTAGTTACCGTTAAATTCTGAAAATAAGCCCCTCCAAGTATAAGCCCCCCATTCCGGTAACAAAAAACCCTCCGTGTTAAATCGCCCCTCCACATATTAGCCCCCCCCCCCGGGGGGTTGTACTTGGAAAATTGCCCTCAAATACAAAGTAAAACAAAGCAAGCACGGTAAATTTCCTTCCAACTATAAGGCTAGCCCAATCAATTTTGAAATGCAAATTTGCCTCTGTAGATAAGCCCCTCCAAATTTCCCTGCTAGCAGAGGTCTCTCATGACGAGGCAAAAATGAGAGAAAGGAGAGAGACCTCTGCCGGCTTCCGACGCGTTTCCTATCACGCATGCGCTGGCGTTTCCTTAACAACCAGTGACGTTTTTCTCATGTGTGACACAACCCACAGAACCGGTTTGCGCGCGAAACTTCAGCTGAAGGCGGGGGTATATGTTGTGGAGAATTCTTCGCAATGTGAAACGATGCCGAGAACTCCACAATCTCGCAAATTTGGGGAAAGCGCGTCACCTCAGGCGCCCATTAAACCAGTTGGGTCTGGAAAAGACGTTAGATGCCTTTTGTGTGGTTTAGATTTTAAAGGTGAAAGGTGTTGACAGGCCAAACACGACTCATAAGCTCGTGATAGTGTGATACTTGACCTTATAGTTTTGCTCTAACGAGGATATCTCCCAGCCATTTTGCTCTTTTATATGAAATGATCGGAGGCTCGTTGTATATTTCTCTCAGTAGTGGTTGATAAGTGCCATTTGCTCATTAAAATGTTTTTAAGGTTCGGCAAAGCAGGGTGGTATGTGGTAACGAAAGGCAGAATTTTCTTTCGCACTTCATTGTTCTTTTGTAAAGCTGACTTCCGTTCGGTAAATTTAACCTCAGAGGTGAGTTTTTGTATGAGATTGTGAGGGTAACCTCTAGCGCGAAGGCGTTTTTTGAAGTTGTAGATGTTCTCATAGAAGGATTTAGCTGAGGAGTTCAAAGGAGAGACAACTAAAACCACTGGTTCCGCAGAGAAGAGATCCTTGTAATTGTAAACAACAGATAACTCGGCCACCACTTGTACTGCTAGTTGGTAAATTAAAAATTTGCCGTAGCCCGTCAGGAGACACGCAAACGTATCGCGTCCTTTAAGGACTTTTCTTTGTAGGGAAGTTATTTCTTTTATATATACGTTTGTCGCCAAGCTTAGAAACGGACGATTTTATGGCTTGATCAAAGTGAGAAATTTCGAAACTCGCGGATTTCATGAAAGACATAATTCACTGTGGGCTCAATAATTGTCAGCGTACAGTTTAACAAGGCACACGCATTACATATTAAACGTAACCGGTTTTAAAAACCGGTAAGTTTCGACCAGAAATCTGGTCGGCGGCTTCATCAAACAACGCGTCGGAAGCCGGAAGAGCTCTCTCTCCTTTCTCTCATTTTTGCCTCGTCATGAGAGATCTCTGCTAGCAGGGAACTCCAAATATAAGCTCCTCCAAAAATAAGCCCCTCAAAAAGGGTCTTTGAAAAATATAAGCCCCGGGCCTTATTTTCGGAATTTTACAGTATTCCCAATGTATTCCATCACATAGCATACAGTATGGTGATACGGTGGAATACATTTCGTTCCTAATCAGATTACAGTCGACTCCAGCTAACTCGAATCTTCAAGGGAAATTGAAAAAAGGTTCGAGTTATCGGGAGTTCAAAGAAAATAGCTGAGAATAGGGAAAAAAACAGTTTTTACTGCACATTGAACGTCTTAATCACATCTAATTGTAGAAATGTCAAGTGAAAATTAAAAGATACTTCTAGATTATAATTCAGAACGTAACGTAACAAAACATAGCCTAAATAGAGCATGCGTTTTACTGTTTTGAGAAGAAAAGCTGCGTTATGTTAGCCTGTGACAATCAACATCAGCCTCCACTAGTAAACTATACTCCTACAACACGTCAATAGGAAATCCAAAATTCAATGTTTCAGACACCAGTAGCTAGACGGCTTTTTTCCCGACTTTTTAAGGGCTCAAAACAAGGCTCGAGTTATCAAGGGTAAAATTATATAGACAATTACCTGAGGGGAGACGAAAATTGGTTTGAGTTAGCGGGAGTTCGAGTTATCAAGAGTTTGAGTTACCCAGGGTAAAATTACAGTGAATGTATGACAGTAATCCAGGGGAAATCGATTTGGGTTTTCAAGTTAGCGCGAGGTTCGATTTAGCGAGGGTTCGAGTTATCAGGAGTCGACTGTATTTTCAAGTTGCAACTTGTGGAGCGCAACAACTTAACAACAGCTATTATGTAAGTTACAGTAGTGTTCTGACTCATTCAACTTCTTCTAACTCTATATTGAATGGGATATCAAAAAATAGCTAGATATTAAGATGGAATCCATCATGAAATTGAGTAATTTTAATTTTCAGTGGACAAAAACCTTGTATCAGAATAATTTTAAGAACCATTGTCTCAGAAATACATTTAATATATTTCTAAGAAAATGGTAATTGTGGAAAGACTGTGGATTCCTTGTTAAGCAGCCACCTTCCGTAAGTGACTGCTATTGTTGGCATTTTGATAAGTCATTCACGGGAGATTTAACTGGTTTTTTATTTTTTCAGCTCACTCAAAATAAACCAGCAGCTGGCAATTTTGCTACTTTCAGGGGATAATTGGCTGCATACTCACCACTCAATTTTGAAAAATAATATTAAGTAAAAACTACTTGGGATGAATCCTTTGGTGCTTTATACTCTTGTTAACCTTCTTTCTTCTGCAAAATATTTTGACTGGGCTGTATTTGATTAATATTATTTATCTATTTATGTTGCAGATTGTTGTAAACACAGTCACCTACTGTTTTTGCGTCTGGCTTATGACAGAAGTTCTTCGATGGGTGATTGGCTGGGCCTTCTTCCGAGAAAAAAGTAAGATTTAAGGTGCATTTTCAGTTTCATAATAAGTACAATAATAATATTAAAATTTTAATTTAAAGTTAATAAATACCTAGTGCCAAATTGTAACAATAACCATACATGTATAAAGTCAACTCTCGCCTTGCAGACACCCCACGATAACAGACATCCCAGTAATATGGACAGCAACTAAATCCCGGGCAAAAATAAATTACAGACATAATAAACTCCTGCTGTTACGGACTCTCACTAATGAGGACACCAAAATAAAGGACCCTAGTACAAAACGTATCATGTTGGCTCCCTCGCGCCTGGGGTTCCCTGAGGCTGTCTATCACTCCTTCAAAATCTAGCTGCATTGCAAGTTAAGGCCCTTTGCAACCCAGTTAAAATGAGAGGCTGAAGATCAAGGGTATGGCTTATTGACATGACATTAAAAGATGAAACCCTGAAAGGCAAAAAAGGCACTCATGGTTATCTGTGTCAAGGGGAAAACCACTCGTTATTCATTCATTATCCATTCATTATCAATTCAAATGCTTTCAAAAAACCATTCAAAGTGTTTGACTGCCTGTTGAAGAGGTTGAATATTTGTCCACAATATGTTGGCACGCCCTAACTTTGTTGATGAGAATTGAAGAGTGTGCTTTTTGAGGGATAAAAAAAATAATTTCTACATATGCATGAGGAAATTTTTAGAGCATAAGATGAAATGTTTGCTCTGTAGTCCAAACAAATAATAATTATCTCCTTGATTTCTTTGGACTCCCATTACAAATCAATCTTTCCATACCATTTACTCATTTACTGATTCTAATCCATTAGAAATGAGTGTTTAATACTATTTTATCCTTAAAGTGTAATGAAAATGATCAACGCTGCAATTTGCAATTTTAGGTGTCACAGAAAGAGTGAAGAAAGGGTTTTTTAAGTTAGTGAGAAGATTACCATACTTGAAAGACAGGGTAAGAGATATCTATATCTGTCCTCCCATCCACAAAAATTACGTATACATTGCGTTACATTTTGTACATACATGTATCAACAACATGTTTGTTGTATCAAACCGTGCTTCAATGATTGCTGACTGATACTAGAGCTCTCAATGTATTTACCTCTACCCTGAATGGATATTTGCTGTCCAGCCAATTTTATTGAAGGTTGCCAGTATCCCCCCTGATGTTAAGTCAGATTTTTCTTGATCCAATGGTAATGATGTACAGCAGTGCCCTTTGTCTTTAACTGTCAACAGATAGCGAGTGAAATTCAGCAGTCAGTGGATGCAATGGAGAGGACAGCCTTTCCAGTGAGAGAAGGAGAAACTTTTCACATGAGGGTAGGTTACATGTAGATAGTGAATAGTAAGGTCTGATGGTCATGTGCAGTGCATTAAATCACTTACACTGTAAATTGAAACTATAAAATTGTGGTTGTGGTTGGAGGTGGAAGCTGTTGACAAGGTTAAGTGTACAGCTGTATTTGTAAAGAAAGTAAGCTTTCATTGCATCAAACCTCTGTTAGAAAGCTTACACTGTGCATCTGTGTTTAATGGTCACAAGTCTGGTGTAGACTACTGAGGTCTGAGAATTGCCTAGAACATTTTGAGTATGATTAGGAGGCTGTTAATTGCTGATTTTTACTAGAATGAAGTGCAAGAGAGCAAGAGCAAGATTCAGTTGATAACAATACTTAAGACTTTTCTTGCCTGTTGAGCAACTTGTGATAGAAAATACCAGCAACCCCTGCTATTACCATCCAATAGTTCACTTGTTAAAAAGTGGTCACCTACACAGTATGTATTTAACTGACCTACAAGTATCACTGTTGCCATGTAAATACATCAGGTGGGTAGGGAATCAAACAGTTAGGAATTTCTTTTGGTTGATATTTATTTATTTATTTTTCTCACTTTGAATAAATGTTTTCTCTGCTTTTTTTTCTAGCTGCCAACGAAAGGAATGAAAGAGGTGACTAAAAGGAATTTTCTATTTTTCATGTTTGCACGGTTATAAGTGCTCATTAATTTGAGGAACACAAAAAGTATTTGTTTGTTTTGTTCATGAAAATAAAAAAACAGTTTTCCTTCGCAGTAGCCAGAAACTGATACCATTAAGGTGCAGCCATCATCAGCAATTTCAATTTTCTTTCTTTCTCAACTCCAAACCATCAATGAAAAGATGTACTACTACATAGCTGTTTATCACTCTAGCACAATATTTTATTCTATATTTTTATTGTACTTTTATTTTACTATCTATAGAAAGAACTCCTGAAAGAAGTTGATGATTACTTGAAAATGGGTATGTTGGCCCTGTATCATTCGTAATCTATATTTCAGGATATGCTGTTGAAGTTTTAAGTACAAGAAGTACAGACTCTGAATTGGATAGTGTGTGCAATGAGGTAGCACATGGTTGGAAAGTGATGGAGGAAGAAAACTGTGGTTGAAAAGCAAAATTCAGACGTGCGTTTTCATGCTTGTAAAATCTGAATTCTGCAAGAACATGGGTTACTCATTTGCTGTCTTGACTACCACTGACTTTTGGGTGCAAACTTGCTGGCATCTATCGAGTTTCCTTAAAGTCCTTACAGAGGAGAAAAAAATTACACATCCAATTTACACATTATTATTAGGTTTCTGCTGTTCAGTATAATATTGATATATCATTGATTCTCAGGTAATGTAAAGTGGCAGGAAGGTCGGGTTTCTGGAACAGTTTATTGTGGAAGTAAAGAACTCACTGATTTGCTTACTAAGGTATTTTTTGGACTTAAAGTGGAGTGGTATTTTACTGGTAAAATGCTTTCCAATTTGTTTTAGTGGTCAACACCATTTGAAAATGCCAAGAGTTTATGATTTATAGCAATCATCCAATCAAAAGTGCTTTAATGTGTAGTGACTTTATTGAACTCATGTATAATTTACAATATTATATGATAATATTAAAATACATAACATGGTACACAAGAAGGCTGCCACATCATGGAAAATGCTCTTACTTTAAATTCACATTGGTAATAAAATATCCCCTCCCCCCCCCCAAAAAAAAACAGACAGAATTTGTTTTAATACTATTTACGTCTGTGTACTGTGATCAGAATTTTTGTGTGTGTTTGTGTTGTAGGTATATGCAAAGTTTGCTTGGTCCAATCCTCTTCACGTTGATATCTTCCCAGATGGTGAGTAGTACATTGTATTTTTTCCCTTCTATTAGATAATGATTTGCTGCTAAAGAAAGAAAAGCTATATAATTATTATATACATTCTCATTGCCACCTATCATGTCAAGGCTGGCTAATTAATGTAGTAATTTATTTTCAACTGATCATCAATTTATTGTTACTTTTATTCCAAACAGTACGGAAGATGGAAGCCGAAGTTGTCCAGATGTGTGTTAATATGTTCAAGGGAGGAAAGGAAGCTTGTGGAACGGTAAACACACTAATGACTGCCATTAGAGAGCCTATGGATATGGCACTATAGAAATCCTTATTATTATTAATATTATTATTACTTTTCATACATTTGCAACACAAATGTGAGAGCAGTATGTCATAGTTAATGGCTTGGGTAGAAGTGTACGATGGTCAGAGGAGCTTAGCTTTCGAGCTAACCACTGCTTTTTCTCTCCAATTTTTTTTTGAGTCCGCTTTTTCTCTTCAATTTAGATTAGATATTTCATTTTTCAGTAGACCAATGCATTACTTGCACTGTAAGTATCTCCAGTTCATTGGTAAGTTTTTTTTCATGGAAAGATTTACAATACATTAGCAGCACAAAAAATTTTAAATAAAAATGCAAAGATCATTGTTTTAAACTTTCTTATTTCCTAACCTCTTAGTTCAGCTTGGATGATTTACTCTAAATTCTCCTGATAATCAAGATTGGGATTAAAAAAGGTGTTATTTAAAATTTAACTTGAGTCCACTTTTTCTCTTCAATTTAGATTAGATATTTCATTTTTCAGTAGACTAATGCATTACTTGCACTGTAATTGTTTTATTATTCATTCAAAATAATGGTAAGTTTTTTCATGGTAAGCTTACCTCCATTTGATGTTAAATTTATCAATGGCCATTAGGTTTGTCCATTCAAAAAATTCTAAATATCAAAATGCAAATTATCTTCTTGCTGTTTTGGTTTTTCTTACTGTTTTACATAATTATTATCTATATCAGTGAAAGTTGCCATTTTTCAAGTTCACAAACAAAAAGTTCAACCTTGTCCCCAGGTCTTCTCGGTTAACAGTGATAACCTCGAAAATCTATTTTTTCTCGTTAAACACAAAATTCTTCCAAATTTGGTCATCAGTAACTTTAATCAATTAAACATAGGGGAAAATATTTTGAATGAATAATAATTAATGTGGCTGTGTTACATGACTAAATGGTGATAATCTCTGCACACTTTAGATGACCTCTGGAGGTACAGAGAGTCTTTTGTTGGCTTGCAAGTCTTACCGTGACTGGGCCTATGATCGTGGAATTAAAAGACCTGAGATGTGAGTCCCAGTTTTGCTGTAAGACAATCAAAAAACTAAATAATTTGAACTTGATGCCTTGCATCGCCTCCAGTGAGATAGCAGCTTTACTGACTCTGAAGCAAACTGAAATGTACATGCTTATATTATAAGAAGCTTCATGTTGCTGTCTTCGCAACTATTGTTTTCAGTGGTCAATGAACAATGTCTGACCAAGGTGACCATTTGTACAGACAAACTTTTAGTTGGCCATTCATTTTGACTGGTCAAGTGCATGACTTTTAAATGAATAACTGGAAAAAAAATAATGCACATTAATTCTGTAAACCAAAAAAACAGTTAAATCATAAAATATTTAGCGATTTTGCAGATATAAATTCGGAGCTGGCTTTGTGAATGCCAATTAACAGTCAGAAAATAGCCATGACCAAGTCTTGTAGCCAGATCTCTTGTCGATGAATGACCAAGCAAAACCTTGTCTGGCTAGTCAAGATGCCCGACCACTGTCCAAGAATTATTTTTAGCCCTGAAACTATAAGCTGTCAGTGGGTGAAGCAGCTTCTGAGTTCAAACATGAGTAATTTTCAAATGTACATGTATTTGGCTCTCCCCTTTCCTTTTTATTCATTCTTCTGCTACTACTATGACACAATAGACCCATTTGGCTAACTCGTTGTATTGTATTTACATTATAATGTTGCATTCACATTTAAATGATATGGAAATTCCTGCAACAAAACGTTTTATTCCCAAAGGGTTTGAATTGGATACAACATTGAGTTAGCTAAATAGGTCTATTCCTGTAAAAATATTTGAATCTTATTGTTTTCTTCTTTTTTTCAGTGTGGCACCAGTTAGTGTGCATGCAGCTTTTGATAAGGTATTTCAATATGTTCATCACAGCCCTCTTTAGTTATTTACCGTATTTCTGTTTTTGTTTTGTAGGATGGGGGTGTTTTGTTACGCAATTAATGGCCCCTTTTCCCCTGGCAATTTTGTATTGTCATTGTTACATAGAGCTATAATTCCTGAATTAACTGTCAGTGTCAAAGGTTCGCCAGGGTGCAAAGAAAGTCGGTTTTGGAGCCTGCCATTCAGGCAAGCTGCAAGTAGCATGTACTAGCCCAGAAGTCATTTCAACTAGCCTCAAAACCCTTTTTGATTAGCAGGATTGATTACAATCCTTCTGTAATTTGATTTTCCCCAAAAAACAGCACTTGCCCATCAGGCAAGTTAAGAACAAAAATCACTAGCCCGAAGCAAAATCCACTAGCCCCGGGCTATCGGGCACGACTTTCTTTGCACACTGTTTGCTGTGTAATCTAAGCACCTCCCATTCGATTTATGGTGTTTCAGAGTTTTTTTCTCTACTTGGTATCTAGGCAGCACATTATTTCAACATGAAATTAGTCCACGTTCCTGTTGATGAGAAAACAAGAAGATGCAATATGAAGGTAATTATACCATTATTAAGGAAGTAAGTTTGAAATGTAACGATCAACTAAAATGTCATCATGGCCATCCTTAAATTTTTGCTTTTCTATTTAGGCAATGAAGAAGGCTATTACAAAGAACACAATTCTAGTAAGTTATAGTAATTTGGACTGTTTTCCCCATCCATGTATATAAAATTAATGATAAAATGTCAAATGAAAAGGATAGATCTGAAGTTAATGGAGTACAAATAATGACATATAGTTTAGTTAAAATTGAATTTTTGTTGGATTTGTAGATTTAATGGAAATTGGTATTGAAATGTCAACTAAATTAACTTGGAATGTCCATTTATGTACCAGTTAGGTTACATACAATCAACCATGTGGGTGTTTATTAACAACAACTTAACTTGCCTTTTGAAAGTCAGTTTTTGAAACTAAAGGGACGAAAGTGAGCTTAAAAAATGTGGTAGCCTCATAAGTTTGAATCATATTATTAGAGTGCTTTTGATTTGAGGACGAGTACAAGATTTTTAAAACTTAAAGTTTTTGCATGTTCTGAAAAAAATACACTGCAGAAAGCTTCTTTTTATTTATTTATTTTTTTCAGCAAAAAAAGTTAGTACAGTTCTTTATACTGACAGGTTAAGCTCTCTCCCGATAGCAAAATAATAAAACTTCTGACATTTTTATTTTGATAACTTATTCCTGCCACTACCACATTCTCACTAAATCTGGCTGAAGAATGACAATGGCTATGACTTTTCCCCGCCAAAATGATGCTGGTTTACGCATGAGCAAAACTCAGTATCAAGAAAATCTTGTACTCATAGTTGTCCTTGTCTCAGAATTGAGCTCTGTTTATTCAAGACTGTCATTAAGGGCTCAGGTCCCTGGCTTCTATGAACATCATCCCTGGTTACTTTCATTAGAAAATGGAGGGAAAATTCCATAGAAATCAATAGCTGTATGATTTCCCACCCACTCTATGTATTTTCCCTGTAACTTAAAATCTCAGTAGCAGCCCTGCTTATTGTTTTTTCTTATTTTTTCAGCTTGTTGGATCTGCACCACAGTTTCCCCATGGTGTTATGGACCCCATTGTAGAAATGGCTAAGCTTGCTAAGAAATACAACCTGGGACTCCATGTAGATTCCTGCTTGGGTGGATTTTTGGTTCCCTTTATGAAGAAAGCTGGGTAAACTATTAGATCTTCAAGTTTGGTGTTTGTCATGTCCCTTAGACTCTTATTACTTACTGTTCTTTTATTAGTTTTGTATTTGGTTTCTTTTGCGAGTGGCAGGCAAAGTTATGCACTGAAGGTCACTTTCAACATAGCTCTGTGTACTTTTCTCCCTTGTTACACACTTGGTTTCAAATTTGAATTAACTGTGTGCTGCTCTCCTCTATTATAGGTTTGATCTTCCCCCATTTGATTTTTCAGTGGAAGGTGTTACCAGTATATCATGTGATACTCATAAGGTACAGTTCTTCGAGAGATGCTAGTCTACAGATATTAGTCATTTCCTTTTGTGACAATCTGATTATCATTGCCATTATGTGTATGTCATGGTACTAAGGAGGAGTTAATATGGGAAAACTTGCACCAGAGCGAGTTTCACACCGAGATGACTTCTTGATTTTGTATGGCATTTACATGTTTGCATGTTTTTTCATTGTCCCATGACCAGCATGATGATGCCATCCTAAATTGCCAAATTATGCTTGCGCTACCCGTGCCAGTCTACCAGCAGACCAATTTCACACTGAAACAAGTGGTCGTTTCGCATTAACATGATACCGTTGCAAAATTTTGTACCTGAGTGAAATTCTCTCTATGGTTCTACACCCGAGGTGATCTCATGACGGTGTGACATGACATTTTGTGGTGGTATCATGTAAACAAATACCGAGCCATGAGAGGGAACCGGAGTGAACTCAGCCTGGCGCAAAAGTTGCCTGGGTGTCATGTAAACACCCGCTAAGCTTCTAGTACATGCACTTCTTACTGGTAACTTTTCTGACTTTGTTGACATTTTTTTGAAACCATCAAGTTTTCTTCAAAATGGACCAAAACATGATTCAGCATAATTATTCACTGTTATACAAATAACGGGAAAAAATCTGATTAGCTGCGTGGCACTTTAGAAAGTAAGTAGGGTAATGTTCAGCAAAAAATAATGAACTAAAGTGCCATCTTGTGGTGTGAGTTCCTCTCCAAACGTTTCAGGCCTGGCCCTTCATCAGTGGAGTTACAAGTATGTAACTCAAACCACAAGATGGCACTTTTGTTCATTGTTTTTTGCTGAACATTCCCTTACTTACTATTCATAATTACGGTTGCAAATGTTTCCTTTTCACTTTTACATGATTGTATAATTTAGCATCCCTGATAAACTACATGTGTAGCTGGAGTGGTTGAGGGTGAATATTTAGACAATCTTACTTTTCTTCAGTATGGATTTTCACCAAAAGGATCGTCAGTTATATTGTACAGTAACAAGCACCTTAGGCATTTTCAGGTAAGTATTCTAAACCTTCAGCCCTGGCAGTGTTTCAAGCTAGTCAAGCTGTTTTCTGGTCACTGTCTGTCTTGTTTAAAATGCCGCTTATAAGTTGAGCACTTCCCTGCTTTTCTGTACTATAAGAAAATTGGCTTTCAATGTTCATGGGATGCCGTCTTGATAGTCAATTTTTTCCTCGGACATATATGTAACAGTTCTGGTTTCATTTAAGTAGACAAATGTTGACCTTGTGTCAACTTGAGATTAAATGAGTTTTGCCTTCTAAGTTCCTCCTGACCATTTCTTTAAATTCACCTTTAGGCATGAACCAGTGTATTTTTTTTTAATTGAGGTTCAAAGTGAAGATTGTCCTTTAAAAAACATTAGAAAAAATATGAATGAGTCTCTGGATAGCAATGACTGTTACAAGAAAGTTATAAGGTACATAAATACATTTTTTTTTCCAGTTCTTTGTAGCACCCGACTGGCAGGGTGGAATCTATGCCTGTCCTACGATACCTGGCAGTAGACCTGGTGCAATCATCGCTGCAACATGGGCAGCAATGATGCACTTTGGAGAATCAGGTATAAACTAAATAACTCTTTTAAAGCTACATGTCATGATGTCATAAGTTTTGTGTAAGTGACAGCATCAAAGATACTCATTATCTTTTTAATCACCTTAATGTTACAGGTTTTGTTTACCTGATTCTACTCATCGTGCAGGGCCCAGTCTGGTGTGAAACTAATGCAAAACCAATTGCCTTTCTTGTTACCTTCTTTCCAATTTAGGTTATGTTGAAAGTACAAGAAAAATTATTACAACTAGAATGAAAATTGAGGAAGGGTAAGTGAGCTTTAAGTGGCTCTTTTATGTAAAAATTCCTTCGTAGACAAAACTATTAGTTCCTTGCATAGATAATAACATTTGACAGCCTTAATCCTGATCATCCCCAGACACTCTCTTACAGTTTATTATTAAACATGCATTGTGACTTCTAAACTATTGAACCTATTTAGATTTTGAATTGAGCTCCTTTCTGTAACCCTTATGAAGCTCAGTTAGGAAGAGTCTTAGTGTTTAAGGTGGAGAAGTCTTCTGCAGTTGACTTCCTAGTTCATACACGTTTTATTGAGGAAATGTGGTATGAATTCCTTTTCACTATATTTTTCACTGCCGCTCACTTTCACCTTGGTGGCCTCTAGTATTTCTCGTTTTCTCACCGCCGATATAAAATTTTCATGTTTTCCCTCCGTCGGAATTAGTCTCCTATGTTTTTACCTCTCGCTCTAGCACTTTCTCTGTTTTCCACGTCAGTTTAGACATTAAAATTTAGTCGAAAAAAAAGACATGGCTTTGTTGTTGTTTTTACTCTCAAAAAGTCCGGATGGCCATGCAATTTACCTCCAAAACGCGCGGATGCTTGAAATGCGAAATTCCACCTCGGCTCACATGAACGTGGGGACGTACAGACGATTTTCTCAGAACCAAAATTTCTTGGATGCACACGTATCCATGGTGCTCCGCTACGCGCGAGAGCTCCGCTATTAGTTAAGCAGCAGACATATGGGACATCCCAGCGGAGGGGGGGCGGGAGGGGGGTTAGTACTGTCATAAGTAAAGGCACTGAATAATGACTTCAGCTCGTAAGTGACTTAAACAGCAATATCCTGGTGATATAGCCCCTTTATTCATCTTCCCTCAGCGACAAATTGGTTACCGCCTATTTTGCATAAGTACATATATGTCCTTACTTCAGCTGTTCCTTGAGTGCAGCAATACTTTCATAATTGTATAACTAACTGTTAGAGATAACCAGGCAATTTTCCTTGATACCAGCATTTATATATAACTGTTGTTGTCTCTCTTACTTTGCTGTAGCCTACGAAAAATCAAAGGAATATACGTACTTGGCAAACCTGAAGTAAGCGTGGTAGCGTTTGCATCAAATGACTTTGATATTTATCAGCTTGGAGATGCTCTAACGAAACGAGGTTGGAACCTCAATTCGCTTCAGTTTCCTTCAAGGTTTGTGTTTCTTGTTTCTTCATGGCAGAAAATGTAGCTAAATGTAATTTAGGCAAAGTTAACCTCGAAGCAATGCTGGTCAGCAGTTTTTCCAGTTATGCTGGGGGCTGGCTCAATGCCTCTAGCAGGGGCTCCTCGTGACTTGTATACGCAGTTGCTTGCTTGCAGCTCTTCGTAAAGCGTTATCGCAATAGCTTGTTGCTTGCTTGCCTTCTTATTGACATGTTATGACCATGTTTGCAAGTAGACCTGGCTTATCCATACGAATATGAAGAAAACTTCAGTTTCAGACGAGATGACTTTTGAGCGTTGAACAGAATGAATGCCCGGTTAACGCCCATTCACTGCAAACTGTTATGCTGTATAGTTAATATTAAACTCCTGACTACATTTGCCTCTAGACGTTAATGAAACCTTATAGATCAGGCCCTAGTTGTTGAGAAGGTGGAAAACACCATCCACAGGGTAAATCTCCATTCAGTGGATAACACAAATTGGTTTTCCTAATACTTGTCCAGTGGATAGTGATTTATCCGGTGGATAGCGCTATCCAACGTTTGAACAAACCGGGGCCAGAATAAAAAGAAAAAAAATGTCGCTCTATAATACCAAGCAACACGTAGGGAACAATAATTGTGACCTGACCATTTCCACCACACTGACTTGAGTTTGAACCTTAAGTTAATACTCATGGATGTTCCTCTCTGTGAACTGGTTGCTTCTTTATTCATTCTCTTGAACATATCTTACAGTTGAAGTTGGTTTGATTCCTTTTTTGCAGCATCCATTTTTGTGTCACTTACCTTAACACTCAAGCTGGTGTGGCCGAGTTATTTCTTAAGGATGTGAAAGAGTGCTGCGCTAAACTCCTCAATGACCCTCAGGCAAAGACCGAAGGCATGGTATGTTGTTAGGTTAATTTATAACAGGTTGAAAATTGTACACCAAACACAGTCTCTTTGGACGAGTTTCTTTTGTTGTTTGTTTGTTTGTGTGTTTTGCACGGGTTAAAGCACTGACTACACGAACAGGACCCCTGTAAATTGGCATAATGTAGTCAACTATCTCTTAACGAACACTTCTATTAAATGCGTTAAAGTGTCGTTAAGTTGGGTGCATACGTACGGCGATCACTTTGTTCGTTTAGTTCATTTAACGATTAAGGTTTGTTGTCCCTTGTTATAGGCTGCAATCTATGGAATGGCTCAAGGAATTCCTGACAGGTCCATAGTTACTGAACTGGCCTGCTGTTTCCTCGATTGCATGTACAACATCGGCAATACCCAGCCTCAAGCCAATGGAGTCCACCATAACTAAACATTCAGGCTTTACGATGATGGCATGTTCAAGTTATTTCATAAGGCGCTGTTGCGTTGTGGTCCGTATAATGGTTCAGATTGTTTAGCTATTGTCAGTGTCAGGGATGCAAACATGTATGTGCTTGTATGTCACTGTCACCCGGTGAGTACGACGTCACGCAATACAACAGAGTCGCGGTCGGCAAGGTGACTATACAGTATTATCCAGTTTCGTCAAAAGTCCTTGTCGTACGTGGGGAGAAGTGTTGCAAGCCTGAGTGTCAGACGTGCGTCAATTTGTTGAGTCAATCTCTTCACCGCATGCATGTTTACTAGAAGCTTTTTGCATTAAACCTTAATATGGAATAGTAGTAACGTTAAATAGCCAGTGCAAAGGACTATTTATTCCCTTCAGACAGTGGCAATTATTTTACTTGGCTTCACACTAGAAGCTAAGTCTATTTCAAGTAAGCACTTGACTCAAGTGCAGTTGGAAATCTTAAGTTGCTCTGTAGAAAACATGGCTTCACACTTGTCAGCAAAGTGTACTACTTGAAGTATAAGCTGTCAATTTCTCCGTTCATTAGAATCTTGTAACCGCTGCACGTGCACATCGTGCACATGGCTTCCCTTTCTTATTGGTCAAGTGTGTTCTCAAGCGTGGTGTAGCCCATACTTGGCGGCGAACTTCCGCTTCTTTGAACTACTAACGTTTCCATGGTCACCAAGTAAAGTTTAAATAGGTACGTTTTACCCCTTCACAGTCAAAGTAGGTTCCAAATACACTTACATTATACTTGAAGCTCTAGTGTGAAGCCAACAATTAAGATTTTGCTTTGCTGTACGTTTGCACTATAATTTATCGGAAAGTGGTACTCTTTACGTAACAAAGGACTAACAACTTTTTTTCATTTTAATCATAACTATAACAAAATTTTCAAATCTATTTGGCTATCAGCTGCCTTGATTTATGATAGTTACAAGACTGAGTGGAGTCAAATCCTTTCTTGGCTTAGTCCAATTCGGTCTGTAATCCCAATTTGTGTTTACACTATAACCAAAAAATCCAGCCAAATTATTCAGAGAATGATTTAAAAAATTGCAATTTCATTTACATTGTATTACAAACTGTACACCAATCGATGTTTTGTGTGGGCAGGTTATCAAAGTAGCGGCATTATTGGCCGGATCTATTTTATTATTATGTTTTTATTTCAAAGGTGTCAGTACAAATTTATTATGAACATAACTCCTAATTTTTTTTTATCAAACGAAGTTCGGTTTGCTTCCATGAAATCCTGGGCGGGTTCCAGGCTATTCCATACGCTTGCGTTTGAACAAAACGTGGTTGCCAAACTGATGAAAAAAGTTGATTAAAAATATTATGGAAAACCCCTCTCGGTTCAAAACTACTAACAGGTATCTTGAGGCAATTTTTTAAGTTTGATTGAATTAATATCGTTAATGTGGGCTCTAACTCTCATACAACAAAATTTCGCTTTTACGGGAGGGCTGAAGAACCTCTAAACAAACACTGAATGGGTGTTCTTTGCACCGCTTATCGACTTTTAATTTGTCTAGAGATAAATCTTACGAATCCTTTCGTTTGCGAGAATTCTCGTCTTTGAATGTTTCGCAAAATAATAGCAAATATTCTAACACGACCGTAACAACGTAGTACACCTAATAGTGCAAGCTAAATGCCCTAGTACTCAGTGAATTTTCTAAGTACTTGGGCATTTCAGTTTAATGCCCCAATACTTCAGGAATTTTTTCCTTGACTCAGTTTTTCAAACCTTGCTGAATGCTCTATATAATAGTTCAAGTTTTTGTTCCTAAAGAGAAAAATGCAAAAATGTTCTGTTTCGGGTTATTTGGCATACGATGATGCAGTTTTGGGGGCTATGTGGTTAAGTAGTAGGCTAGAATTGAAATCATTATAGCAAATGCAAGAAAGAATTGATACCTAATAAAAGTGTGAGTTCTTCATGAAATTTTCTGTCTTTCATCGACCTTATTTTGTTACTTGATTCTGTAGTCACACTAATTGATCATGATCTTGGTGGTTTACTGTAAAGCAATCTGAATTCTTATTATCCATTGTACTCACTATCTGGTCATTTGCGTGTTTAGATGCAAATTACTTGCGAACACAAGTTGGCCTCTAGTTTATTAGCTGCCTCAGAATTAGATCACATCCTTTTTCTCAACGTAGAATTTTTCACTTAAAGTATGCGCCTTCAAAATAAAACTGCGTGACTGCAGAATGTAGAGAGCTCATTCCCTGTGGAAGGTTACCTGCATCGTTCAGGCCCCAGTTGTTCAAAAGCTGGATAGCGCTATCCATCGGATAAATTACTATCCAGTGGATAAGTATTAGGGAAACCAATTGCACTACCCACTAAGCTACACTAGATAGAGTGGATGGTTGCCAGGAAAAAGCTTCACCGGCGCGTCCTACAAGACTTCACTTTTCCAATACATATCTTATTTCAAGACCCGTCTAAAGCAGTATCCTAAAGTTAACCGTCCAGAATACAATGAAAGATCAGCAAACTTGCAACCTTGTCAGTTGCCTTGTTATTCTTTCTCCGGGATGCCTTCGATATTGAGGGTCGTTTCTATGGAAATGAGTGAAAAATAATCCCTTTTTGGATACATTGTTTTTTTCCTCAACGAATAAATCCCAATGATCTGGATTTTTAATCTGATCTTCGATTTTAGGAAACAAACGCACAAGTTACGTCACAAGGGTGAAGTGTGCCCTTAAGTAAAGGTGATGTTACACGGGACGATTCGCAACGACGATTTTCAGCGCAACACAGCGTGGCAATGTTGGAACTTAATGTTGGAACAATGTTGCAACCATTTGAAACAATGTGGCAACAATGCTGTGTTGCGCTAAAAATCGTTGTTGCGAATCGTCTCGTTTAACATCACCTTAAAGGCAATGTTACACGAGACGATTCGCAACGACGACTTTTTGCGCAACACAGCGTTGCAACATTGTTGCGACATTGTTTCGAATAGTTACAACCTTGTTCCAACCTTGCAACGCGAGCTACGCTTCCAGGGTGATTACGCAAACTTGTTGGCGAACTTCTGGTTCTTTGAACTACGACTGTTTCCATGGTCCCCAAGTTGAAGTAGGTACATTTTACCCCTTCACAAGTAGGTTCCAAATACACTTTGACTTAAGGTGATGTTACACGGGACGATTCGCAACGACGATTTTTAGCGCAACACAGCGTGGCAATGTTGGAACAATGTTGTAACCGTTCAAAACAATGCCGCACCATTGTTGCAACGCTGTGTGGTGCTGAAAACCATCGTTGCGAATCGTCTCGTGTAACGGTAACCTTTAGGTTATTCTTGAAAGTTCTAGTGAAATATGATACCACACGTGTCGTATTAAAAAAAACATAGCATAGGTTGCCTGTGATATGTCTTTCCTTGCAGCTAAGCTGACAGATATACTGGCCACTTTAAGAAGTTGATTCACGAGCTTCCTCCTCTTCCTTTTCCAATTCTTTTGACAAACAGTCAGTCATCCCCGGGCAGTCAGGTAACATATCAGAAAGGTGGGAATATGTTCTTTCAGTCGATGTGTGGCATGCATTCGTTTCCCTATACCACCGCACTCATCATGGTTGAGCGCGGGGAAAAAAATTACAGTAAAATATTGAGGGATCGAAAACGAAAGTCTTATTTGTTGACCTTGAGAACAACAATTTTCCGCCCCTGTTGGTGGCTGAAAGAGTTCGTTCTTCCCACCAATCCCCGCGCGCTTATTGTGAAAACTCTGCCCAGCCTCCGGGCAATCTACAAACGAAGTCACCTTTTTACCATCCTTTCCCTGTTTCCTAATCGCAATGTTAAGAGTTTTAGGTTTTGGCTTAGGCACCAGCATTCTTTTTATCCCAGCTCTATTCCTAACACGACATCGCACAGTTAGCGCTGCACAACAGACAAAAAATCCCAACATCGCCGTCATTGGAGCAGGTATCGGCGGCTCGAGTTGTTCTCACTTCATTCGGGAACTTTTTGGATCACAAGCTACCATCGATGTATTTGAAGCGTCAGATAGAATCGGTGGCCGTCTAGCTACCGTGAAAATTGCTGGTAAGACCTTCGAATCTGGAGGATCTATAATTCACCGTGACAATAAGTACATGGTGGATTTCGTCAAGTACCTAGGTAAGTTTATGTGGGGTTTCTGCTTTGGGGTATTCCTTACATAGCCACACCGGCCCCCTATGGATGAGTTAAGCGAACTTTAATCCCTTTCAATAAAGGAAAAAAATTAAAGTCCCAACACAGCACCCCCCTCAGAAATAATAATCATTTCTCATATACTTCAGATATATTCCAAGCACCCTCAGAAAATCTCACCCATTTAGCGGGGAGGAGGGTGGTGGAAACAGCTGGGGAAATTAAATGGAATGGCCCCTGGCTATGGCAGCTTATGATGCCTTTGGATAAAGCTGTGAGTGAGAAGTAACCACTAGTCTTGCCAGCTGGGGAAAGAGGCCAAAAATACTCACAGCTTTTTCCCTTTTGACCACAATAACATGGGCCTAGTTGGTTGAAGGTCAGTGAGTGCTACACTGTAATCTGGGGGTAAACTTTAATCCCGGGGGGCACTTTAGGAATTTCTGGGTGGGGATGTGCCGCTGGGACCCTGGAACCCTTAACCTATACCAGAGCTAGTTCAGCTGAATTTTGCTACCCTATACTAGAGTAAACTCCCCAAATCCCCCTATCCTAGAGTAGCTGTTTACCTAGTCTAGATAAAATCTTCAACCAACTGATCAGTTTCCTGAAAAATGATACCCTATTCTAGACCCAAACGCTCTGATTTATATACCCTATCCTAGGGTAAACTGCTTGAAAACCATACCCTTCACAGCGGCACATACCTATATAGCCCATATATGGCAGTGCCCCCCCCGGGACTTTAATCCACCTTTTTCTTCTTTTTTCAAAACTATTTTCTCAGATAAGCATAATTTTGCCTATTCTTTTTAGAGTGTTCAATTACCAAATTGTACACAAAAAAAATTGGTCAGTGTAAAACGCAGACTGTGGATTGCAGACTGCGGAACAGGGGTAAAATGCAGACTAAGTGTACAATGCAGACTGCAGACTGAGAGTAAAACGCAGGCTGGGGTAAGATGCAGACCGAGCATAAACTGTAGTCGCAGAAGGGTTTAAGGGGAAAAGAATCCCGCTAATACATGTAAACAAACACTTACTTGACCCTGATACTTGACAACGTATGCTTCCTTTACAAATCCATTCCTTTCTTCTCAGAAAGGTCGTCGACGACTCAAAAACATAATGGCAATCTTGAACCTTTTTTTCCGTCCGAGAGACCTCACGTTAAAGAGAGAAGTTTTCGATGCACGTGACCGTGAATTGGTTCAACACCACTATTTAAATAAAAGCTGCTGACCCAAAACACACTGTACTGTACAGAAAGAATTATGGCAATAAAAAACGGAGAAAATCATTCCAAGAACAAAGAAGATGTTCTGCAGGAAATTTGGATGACCTTCTATGAAAGTATTGCAAATCAACTTGCGCAGACTTAGGCTGTTTGGATGTTCATTGAAACTTCTGGCGAATGTGCAATGTACTTCGACGAGGAAGCGAGGTGTGTAACTGATACCAGCTCGCTATTTCACCTATTTGAAGGAGCACAAATGTTTAAAAAGTCTACAGTCTTCATTCTACATTTTACCTCAGCCTGCATTTTAGAGGGGGGCGTAAGGGTTTGCGGTATTGCGGTATTGGGTTATTTTTGGTGCGGTGTTGCGGTAATTTTTATTTCAAAGTACGGTATTGCGGTTTTCAGAGTCCAAGCGGTGTGCGGTGAGTTTGAATTTTATGTCGCGGTAGTCGGTGAAAAAATCGTTGTGTCGCGGTGATCTGCTTCTTTTTCATGACAAGAGGATACAAATCCTATAAAAGGTCTCCCCAGCTAGCCTGCGTGACTTGCCTGTCTTCCTATAGTTGCACAGTCGGGGATCGTATATATTGCGCAAACAATCTGGCCGAGACAAATCGTATGGCTTGTAATTTCAGTTAATACTTGATATGATTAACAACATTAACTTTTTTATCCAATAATACGTAAACATGTCGCATTATTTATGACCTCATGGACCTTGTGGGAATAGTCAGCTTGGTTAACCTCCTTACCAATCTTACCGCCACTTTCGTGCCAGTCGGGAAACAATGGCAAGCGATCCAGAGGGTCAACTAAGTGATCAGTCAGATATTCCAGCAAATAGTGAGCTCAGTGAGGTCATTATAAATTGCTTAGTGTCGAAAGATAATCTATGAAGATGGTGTGGTCTAAAAATTACTACTCGTCCTTCTCGTTGGCGTGCAGGAATATAGAAGGTACAAGTATTTGTGTGTGCTTAGCCTACATAGCATGGCAGCCCGGGGGGGGGGGGTTCTTCCTTATAAGAGGCTATGGGGATGTGCCGCTGGATGGGGTCGCATTTTCATGAGTGGATTGACTATAATGGGGTCGCATTTTCAAGAGAGTTACTAGAATGGGGTCCACGCGCATTTTCTGAATTTTGGGGGTAAGACAGTTCTTCATATTCATGTTTAGCAAACATACCGGAATGTTTGTACTGTAGATGAAAAGTAAAGTGTTTTTCATTCAATCTAAAAAATGGTCAATTCATAAAAATAGAAAGTGACTAAGCTGGAGTCTATAATTGGCCACAGAATAGACTATAATGGGTTAGGCGCTCTGAGGCCAGCGGCACATTAGCAAAAATTAACCCAAGTACCCCCGTTGTATCATTTACGTAAGGGACTGTGCAATAATTATCAGGAGGAGGAGGGGCGCTGAAAAACTAGAGTTATCTGACAAAAACTTAGACAGTACCTCCCCTCCAAAACAAAAAAAATTAGTTCTAGCCCCCTCTCTGTTATGTCAAAAATAACGTCGCACCCCCCCCCCCCCCCCCCCCCGTCCAACCACGCTGGTAAACTCAAAACTGGACTGAGCTGCCATCACAGCTTCAATAATGACAAACATTATTATGTAACATCTAGTATCGAGAAGGATGTTGATCGCTTGATTGAAGATTTAGACAAAGCATTTTCTAAGTACTGGAGTGCTTACCACATTGGCTCAAAATCTAAAATTTCTGAAGCCAGAAAGAGAAAGGAGCAGAGAAAAAAATCAAAGAACAGGAGATTGAACGCTTCAAATAACAGACGAAAAAGAGCTTGCATTATATTTAGATCCTTTGGAGGAGAGCCTATTGAACTTTGTTATGAGCCACATATATATGGAATTCTGCAAATCGATTCAGGCGATGAAGAAACATTACTTTTGATCACATCAAAAACCAACAAAGCTTGTCTACGAGATCTGTTTGATTCCCATTGTTTTATGGGGGAAGCTGAAAAACAGGTTCATGATTTTTGCTTTACATAGGATCAGCTCAATTAATTAGAAGACAAGTTAAAATTGATCAGTTGTGAATTTGCTTTTCATTTTGATGGAATATTTTCAATAATCGTTTAACAGCTGTTCGTGTTGATATTTGTTACAGTCTATCATGATGCCTGTATTGAGAATCTTTTATTGCGTTTAATTTTATTTACATTTCGAATAAAACTTAAGGCCCCCACATCCGTCAAATGAGTGATTTTACTTTGAGCCCCCCTATCTTGGCAGCAATTTTATGTAATGCCCCCCCCTCCGGTTTTAGGGCCCCCCTCCTGATAATTATTGCACAGTCCCTAAACGTATACATGTAGTGAACAAAATTAAACGAGTGCGATGATCTTATGTTTATCGCACGCCTGACTTCGATGCACCTTGACTTCGAAACACGGACACAAAAGTATTATTTCTATTTGAAAGGAGGATTTGTACCATTGACAACATCAACTTTTTCCCATTTGTAACTGCGGTTTCGGTATTTGGCGAAATTTTGATGCGGTATTGCGGTATTCTCGCGCTACCATGTGCGGTATTGCGGTATTCATACCCCCCTTACGCCCCCCTCCATTTTAATCTCAGTCTGCAGTCTGCATTTTACTCTCAGTCTGCATTTTACCCCTGGTCCGCAGTCTGCAGTCTGCAGTTCGCAGTCTGCATTATACACTGACCACAAAAAGAATTAAGCTCACTGAATTCAAATTTCACACTAACCTTGCATTATCGTTACCCAGATTTGAACAACCTGGCCATGGTCCAAGTGGATAATATTTTTTCAGTTGGAGGGACTGTATACAAGACACTAGGAAACTTTTGCTTTAACTTTTGAGTTAACCCAGTTTCGCTCTCATAACTCTGTATTTATTTACCTGATGTCACCTTTTTTGTCATACATGTACCAGAAAAAGTCATTATAACCAGCCTGAATTCATTCAGTTGTTGTACCAGTGTGAGAATTTCATTCTGGTGCGAGATCTTACAACACCAATATCATTTAAAGAACAACCATTCATTCTGATTTGAAATCGGCCCCCTAGTGGACTGAAACCTCTCTCCTGCAGAACTGGGTATCCCAATTAAATTAAGCCTTCCTTGGACGCAAAGGGGTCCCTGCTGAGGAGAGAGAATTGAAACAGCCAGTGGGTGATTTTTGATAAACCCTTTGGGTCCCAAGAGTGACCAACATTAATTTTCTCCTAACAACATTGATATATCAGCAGTTCATCAAGAGTTAAAAGGCTATGAGAATTACGAAATTGATTACCAAAGGGAGAATGCTTTGATCTTAAACCAAATTCTCTCAACTATTCTTAAAAGAAATGTGTGGAGATCAGTCTGGAGAATTTGTACCGGTATGTGGATCTTGGGGCTGAAAGAGTTAATCCAGGATGGTGTGGGACAAGGAGAAAACTTGTAAACATGTAAATGCGACCTACAAAATTAATTAGTCATCCTGGTATGGAACTACTGCTTGTGCAAGTTTTCTCATGTAAACACACTCTCACTTGTTATTCCCATGGGTCATATTTTTGAGATGTGAATATTTTATTGAAATCTACGAAATGAATCATATTTGACCTGCAGATAAAGATATGAAAGTGAACATGATCCTTGCAGGTGAATGAACAACCTAAGTGGTTAAAAGGAACCTGAAAAAATTCAGGTTGGGAATCGAACCCATGTTCATTTTCACATTTTGTGGGACAGCTGGCTGTTTCATCTTTGTATCACATGTGAAATGTGCCTGACTTGCTGTTATTTTCTCACCAAAGCTGCTGAGCCAGCATGCCACTGTCTATGTATGACATAATTGGGTCCATGTTTAAGTCTTCTATTATTCTATTTGATGTCCTGAAATAATGGCAAAAATCTTCCAAATTTGGACAATGCTAACTGCAGCTCAAGTTCAAGTTCATTTATTCACACTTATTTAATTGCAAGGCTGTGCTCTAAAAGCCCGATAGCTCTAAACTTACGAATCTTGGGTAACCTGTATTAAGTTTTATAACCTGCATTGTAGCTTGTGGCATGTAATAATATATGACTAGAGCTTTGTGGAGGGGTGTGTGGCGGAGCAGTTAACACCTCAAACTCTGGATCTGGAGTTCCAGGGTTCAAGCTTCGTCCATCGTGTTGTTTCCTTAGACAAGAAACTTCACTCAACTTTGTCTCTGTTCACCCCGGTGTATAATTGGTTACTGGTGACATACTGCTGGGGGTGTAACCCCGCGATGGAGTAGCATCCCATCCAAGGGGAAGTAGCAATACTCCTAGGTATATGCTTCATGTTAAGGAAACCAGGATAAGCTCTGACCATTTAGGCCTTTGGCTTGTGTGCACCTTTACCTACCTTTAATTTTTTGTAGCTTATAAGTTTTGCCTGGAAGCTAACTAGTAAGATTTCCTTGTTACCCAAAGTCAACAGTAAGTTGCCAGAGCCACCAGGCTGTGCTAATGTTGTCTTAGTTGGTACTGTATATATGAATGGTCTGACACGAGGGTCACACACCTGGGTCTGACATGCTCTTTTTTCTTGAGTTCTTTGCATTTCACAATCACCATCAGGTAAAACTTAAACTTTACAGGAATAAATACTAATAAGAGGATTAAATTGGCAATACTCATGATTGCTCTGTGTAACTCAGGGCTGTGCTCTAGTAGAGCCCAGTGGCCCCTGGTGCCTAACTTTTGCCCTCGGTCGACTAGAAAATCTCAGACTTTTCATAAAAATCATGTGCTGGGCACCCTAGATTTTACAGTTTCAGAGCACTCAGGGTCCCTTCAGTTTTCCTTGGAGCCTTGTAACTTAACCTCACATTCAAGAAGTTACATAAATTAATTCGTATAAGTGGGTTGAGAGTTAGCTGCTTGATGCAACCATCAAAAGCTTCGCCCATATGGACCATTGGGTGATATTTAGTCAGCCCCGCCCTAAGAAACAATTATAAAAATTGTTAAGGCTTTTTAAAGAAATATAACCACAATCAAACCTGCTATGTTTAGATCTTTCTTGGTATAAAATGTTTCCTACTATTTCTCTTCACAAACAGGTTTAAAAAAACTTGAGAGCAATGAGGCAGACGCTCTTCTGGGGATTTACAATGGTGATGAATTTGTGTTTTATGGTAGCAGATGGAAAATCTTAAATTATATCAAACTTATTTGGCGATATGGATTATTTGATCTCTACACCATGGACAATTTCATCACTAGTATGTTAAAGAACTTTTCAAGTATTTACAAATTTCAAGAAAATCACCAAGCATTCACAAGCGTACCTGACATGCTGAAAGCTATGGGTGGAAATGAGATGTATGAGTACACACAGCAGACAACAAGACAGACACTGGAGAAGATCGGTCTCAACCCCACTTTGATTGACGAGCTAGTGACAGTTGTCATGAGGATCAATTATGGTCAAGATGTGACTTTGAATGGGTTTGCAGGTATGGAAGAAATACAGTTCAACCTCCATTATGCGGTCACCCCAGGGGTTGCTTACTAGAATTTCATCATAAACATACATAATCTTTAGGGGAAGCATCACTTTATTATGAAAGAAACACTCGAAGGGAGCAACAATACTGGTCCACGATTGGTCATCACATCGGGCTGTATTTTCCTTCATCATTTTTTTAAATAAAGCCGAACTAAGTGTATTAAGCACTTGATGGCTGCTTAATAGAGGTGACAACAATGGGAGAACTCTCACTGGAACGGCCAAGAGGTGGCAGGGGCTGCTTAATAGAGGTGTCCCCTTAGTAGAGGTTAAAGTTCTCATTCTTTTCTACAATAATTGTAGAAAAGTCCCAAGATAATTATTATCTTGGGACTTTGACTATTGACCTCTTTATAGAGGATGGCCACTTAATGGAGGTTGAACTGTATAACTTACAGCAGGAAAATGATAAGGTTAACTGCAATTAGTGATGTATAGAAGTGGCTAAAAGAAGACTTTCATAGAGTAATAATAATTTAGCTTCTTGTTATGCAGGCAGCTCAAGTCAAAAGTTGGTAGTCCCTCCCATAAAAATTCATAACAAGTCATGACCTCAGTGGGGCAGCCTCATGCAGGGCTTCCACAGAGGTGTCCTGTTTTTTTCTCTTAGTTGATCTTGATTATATCCTTCTAAATTATTATGCAAACCATTATTTCTCGAAGTTAATAGTTAAAATTATTCCTTTTTTGATCATGTATCGCTGCTGTCACTGAGGGATGGCAGCTGGGGATTGCCCATGGCTTCTATGAGCATGACTATCTGAATTTGAGGATTAACTAATGTGACACACTTTGTGAGTTAAAGCCTACCTCTCAGAATCACTTCATGTATTTGGAAGAAATGACTTCCAGCTACTGTCAATAGAAACAAAAGGAAAAATTATAAAGCCCATGGAAATTCCTGGCTGTTCCACTTCCCAGCCACTAATTGCATATACCTGGCAACTTGCAACAGCCTCTCATGCATTTTTAATGTAGCGAACTTGCCTAAACCGCATGATATAAAGGCTTGGTCAAACAGCTATACCATTGTCACAAGGTTAATTTGTTGAGTGGGAAATTTTGAAGCTATCTTTAGCTAACGTTTATGTTGTCATATTGTTCTGATACAAATGTACTGAGTACAGCAAAGCACAACAGAGTTGTGAACGATGTGACTGTAGGTTTTTTATGTTTGTTTAAGTCATAAGCAGACAGTTATTACTGCAAGCCCCAGGTGAGCAACAAACTCATCTTTGGGACTCCTGTCGTTCCTTGGGTATCCTGTCACTAGAAAACCGTCACTAACTCGATGTTTGTGTCAGAATGATCTTTGGCAGAAATGGTCAGCAGTATCATTATAACTTAATTTAAAATTCTAACACTCCTATTGCACTCCTATTGCAAAATTTTTGTGCTAAGTTTTGCATATTCTGGCGCAGGCAACAGTTTCGAGTTGTTTTCCGACGACTGTAAGCTAGGCAATGAAGACCCAAACCACAAAGAAGTCATGATGTGTGATGTGTAGTCCTTTATCCCATATAAACTATTACTTGACCCATTAAAAGGGTCTGTTAGCAAAAAGAGATTTTTTTTCTTTTTTGAGTAGATACTGGGCAAATGAAAAGAACATTTGGCTATAAAAAAAAACTGTGATAAAACTTTTCTTAAAAACATTATAAGAAATGTTAAAAGAAACTTTTAAAAGATGTTGATGCTTTGACAGTCTCTGACATCATCAAGTCAAACTAGCGTATGCATGTTCTATAAATGGATGAAAAACAGTACATCATTAAAAAGAAAAGTAACATATTTAATATGTTACAAGTTAAACAAAGAGTTTCACACTAATGGAGTCACTCTGTGTCTTGAAAGTGGGCCTTAGTTCTTTGATGCATAAGGTCTTGTAAATGAGGCAGTCATCTGCTCACAGCATTATAACAACATATTTGTAACCTCTAGTTTATTTATGATAGGAGCAGTGTCATTGGCCGGTTCTCAAGGAGGGTTGTGGTCAGTTGAAGGCGGAAACTGGAGAGTCTGTGATGGTTTGCTTTCCAGCTCCAAAGCAACAGTGTACAAGAATACGAGGGTCACAGAAGTAATAAAAAACAACAATGGCGGTACTGAAAGGCCTGTCTACACATTAAAAGGTGATGGCAACATTCCAGACAAACAATACGACATGGTGATTGTTGCTGCCCCATTAGAAATTAGTAGCTATTTCTTTGATTGTAAAGGCTGCAGAAACTGGCCCTCTCCTAAAGAACTGGGTGAATTCTGGCGCACAGTGGCAACTTTTGTGCACGGCCAAATCAACTTGACGCATTTTGGGTGTGGAATTGAATATGACATTCCAGAAGTGATTGGCACGACAGAGACCCCTAAAAATTATTTTAACAGCATTGGCAAGCAACAGCCTGTTGAAAACAGGACTGAGGAGGATCCAAATGGGACACCCATTCGGAAAGTGTTTTCACGATCAGATCTCACTGATTCTCAACTTAATGAACTGTTCAGTAGTGTGAATGAGGTCAAAGTAGTGTCTTGGCTGGCATATCCACACTTTACACCCCCTGAGAAATTTTGGTCATTTGTTCTGCATGATGGCGTCTTCTACATTAATGCCATTGAGCATTCCGCCAGTGCAATGGAAATGTCAGCAGTGAGTGCGAAAAATGCGGCTTTGTTAGCACATCAGTATTATACAGGGAAAGCATCTCATGTCCCCTCAGAAAACAGGTCTTCCAATACCACTCCCAAGAGAGAACTGTAATTCTGAGTGCTGTAATAGACAAAGGTGTATCAATGACTTAAAATTTAACAAATTTACCCCTTTATCAAAATACCGGTGAGGGCCTAAAATGAAATTTAAAAAAAAAATACCTTTTTTGTAAGGAAAATGAATAGTACTATGCATGTGAACCACTTGAAAGTACTGAAGAGGTTTCTTTTTAATGGTCACACCACAAGATTTCATCTACAGATTCAAAAGTTAAAATCAGCTTATACCGCATCAAGAAATACATCTGCTGTTCGCAGTCTACATAACAGATAGTACCTTGTAAAAGCACAAAGTGTACAGCTAATGATATTTTATTCAAGCATACAACGCCACCTAAAATACAGTGAAAATATAATGACTGTTTCTTCGGCTGCTTCGTTTTTTGACTTTAGTGCTAAAGGAAAAGACTTCAGTGCATCCAGTTCTTTCGTTATACATATTTTTATATACACTTTACTATCCTACATTACGATACCTACAAAGATAATGAAATTTAAACCAATGTTACAGTCAAGGCAGGTCAAGCATACCCCCCAAAATTCTATTAATAAATTGATTATTTGAGAAATGAAGCCGTTAGTTGTTCCCCTAACTGGTGTCAAATTCAAATCGGCAATCCTGCGTGCGTGATGAGCAGTGAATATTTTACGAGAACTTCTCTGTATTTGGTCACATTGAAAATCTTTCAATGGATAAAATAGCTTCGAAGACATTTACGTCAAATTCAGGGAAACTATGGTGGTAGCAATTTTATAACTGCCTCGCGTGTGAATTCACTGCTCATTCATTACGCATGCAAGAATCAAATCACTGGTTTATTGTCCCTTTTGCAGTCGGAAGACTGAATTGTAGGATACCTTACAGGCTGTGATACATATACTAATACGCTACATTTATTGACAAGATTGATATTTAACACTAACAAAAATTTGAGAAAGGTTCAGTCCTTGTGGCCATGGGCCTGCTAGAACTCGCTGACTGTCGATTACAAGTCGATTATAGCTTAGTCTTTACCATTAAAAACCTGTACGTAACACTGTAAAACAAGTCGAGATTATAATTATATTAGTTATACCTTTGAAGGGAAGTTAGAATAGGTCACTGAAACTGGAGTTTATAAAAAGTTATTTATTCATGCATTGATGATTAGGTTAATGAATTTCTAACTCAGTTGCTGAAACTACGTTTTTTGTTTTGTGAACCAACCAAAGTTAAGTCAGTTTCTTTAGGAAACAGTTTACAATATAACAAGTGTAAAAAATATGGTTGGTTTACCAATAGTACCTGCCTCGTACCCAGACGTCTCTCTTTAAAACGTGCGCGCAAAGGAAGGCGGGAAGGAGACAACGGGCGAGGCGCTTCGCCTGCCGTCTGTACCCTTTCCATGGTCCCTTGCGGTTCATCACCAGTCACTCGTTTCGCGCTCGCCTCTTCCATGCGAAAAACGAAGCGCCTGAGGAGGAGGCTGCAATAGTACCTAATTGTTTTACAACGACTATTGATGAGATAAAAGGGTTCTTCTCTGAATGAAAAAGGCACTCATAAAAAAATGAAAACAAACAATGATATCTGGGAATCCAGAGCAATTTCTGTTACCGGTGAATGGCAATAACTATCTTATTATAAAAGCCTATACTAGGTGACAGTATTTCTAGTACTTGTCATCAAACGAGATTCTACTAAGCTCTGATCAAGACAAAAATATATATATTCCTACCGAAAACTATTTAAGATAAAATCGATCTTAAAGGGATGTATAGTGTTGGAGAGGTACTGCTCCATCTACTCAACACTATTTCAAGTATTTGACTAACTTCAATTGCTTTCACACAAAAGACTCCAACGCCGAAGCTCTTTCTGTACTGTTGCAGTTTGATCACTTGTCTTCTTCGTCAGACGATATAACACTGCAACTAATGGAAAAACGTGAGAAAACGTACAGAAAACGCGTTTGCAAGTTCTGTTACCGGGTTAGCCTGCGAGCAAGCTCTCAATTGAAGGGAATATGGTGAAAAGTAGACGCGAAAGCGGGGGCTGGGAGCGCCGCTCGCTCGCGTGTTCTCGCGCGGCTAGCGACGCTCGCTTGAGGTGATGTTACACGAGACGATTTGCAACGACGATTTTCTGCGCAACACAGCGTTGCAATGTTGGAACAATGTTGCAACCATTCGAAACAATGTTACAACAATGCTGTTATGCTGTGTTTCGTTAAAAATCGTCGTTGCAAATCGTCCCGTGTAGCATCACCTTTAAATAGGAGAGCCTGCTTGCAGGATAGTACCGGGTTATACTTTGCCGTGCAGTTAAAGAGGTTGTGTTATTCAATTTGTTATTTCAAAGAGTGTACTGGTACTCAATGACGTAATCATATAGGTCGCCGGCTATTATTGCCGTGCCCTTATTCGCCAAGGGACTTATTAGCGTTAACCAAGGAAATACTCGAAAAGGACAAAATCACACTAGCTTCGTGTTAACTCACGACATTTTCTTTACAGGTTTTCTAAACTAGCGAAGAATCCGCGGCGACACATTTATGCCCTTAAGGCATGAAATCTAATAAAATTGAGCCTCTCTATGGGTACCTGCGAGCGTCGTTTTCTTCGGGTGTTTTCGGAAAAATCGTCAGTTAATTGTCACATATCAAGTAATTTTTTGCGTGGTAACGCTACTAGCAAGCACGACGACGACAAAAATCTAAGATCGTCGTCTCATTAAAAGCGATCGTGGCTCGTCGGAAAAACCCAGAGTCTCAAAATGCGCCTTATTTGGCTCCCGAGAACCAATGTAAAACCATCCGCGAATTTAAACATCCTCATAACTTTCATGCCACATGGTAGTTTATATCCTGCAGACCCAGGAGAAAACGAGAACAGTTCTGAAGACAAGAGTTTCAAAGGGGATTTGGGTCGTGCACCCTAGGTATTATCTTCAATAACGTTAAGGTGTCCTTTCATTGTTTAAAATCTGACCCGCTTTTGTCATAAACGGTGAAAACCGGTGAAAATCGTTGTGGATTCTCCCTAGTTCGTGCAGGAAGGTGATTTCTTGAAATACTAAATAAATCCTCTATTAAGTAGACTGTAAAACAGTCCGTATTTTTGCGTATTCAAGTACGCGCGAGCAGTCAAATTAAAGGTCTGGAACGAGGGTGAAAACAGTGAGCGAGACTAGGGAAAGACGCTCTCTCGCCTCACACGCCGTAGGGCGAGTGAGGCCCGCGCGCTTGGCGCGCGTAAGACTCTTGCGCCACACTTAACCTTTATTCACTATTTTTGAGAAGAAAACCGACTGTTTTGCAGTTTATCTCTTAAGCACTCGTCTCTCTATTAACCCCCCCCTTTTCGCCCTTTTCAAGGGAAAGTTATTTAGCCCCCCCCCCCTTATATTGATTAATCACCGCATTCACAACTGTAGCACTTGACAGGGTCGTAACATGGTATATCCAGGACCCATTGAAGTTATTTTGATCCCTGAGCCCCATTTTCCCCAACATTTTGATCCCTGAGCCCTGATAAAGAAAATGATCCCATCCATTAGACAACTTTGTTTATCTCCAAATATAGAATATAGAACATGCTCAAATGGGCTGATGAAAAACATTAACCCCTTTAGTAAGATACCAAATGTAAGTTATTGTTAATTTATACATTAAAAGTAGTCCACTTCCCTTTAAGTATCGTACATCTTGAAAGATCTTGCGGCGGAATCTTGATTTTTCAGATTAAATGGTATTTACAAGGTTTATTTTCAGTGTTTCATTACCCGGAGGTTTTAATCACAAGACAGCATTGGATTCAAAATTCGAATAAAACAATTTAGTCAAAGAGTAAACACAGCTAGCGCTGGTTGGTCCCCGGTTGAGTTAACGTCACTGTAAACTGAGCTTTCCAACCTGTCCCATACGAACATCTGCTTTAACTTGTCCAGTTAATCATTGTCCGAGCTGTGTGGGTCACAGATGTTTTATTTCCAAAGAGACTCTTGCAACCAAAAATTTCATCAAGGCAGCTCAAACAGAAGTTGTTTCCATCTTTTATTATTCGAACTTTCCTGATGATACACTTAGGTGAATTTCTTTCGTCACGGTGGTATACAAGGGGATCTTCTTCTGACTGTTCCAGCCATCTCAAACCCATGTGATCTTCCAGGAATGCGTCACCGTTATGGTGGAGATCTTTCAAAACAAAGGAATGATATACCTCTTGTAATTGTGCTTGAGAGCAACTATGTCGCCTTTTGAATAGATAATCTCATATGAAGTGTAGTTTGTCCTTCATCTCCATGTGCCGACGCATTCCTTCTGAACATACTCAGAGCAAGTGGAAGTGTACCAGCTCTTCCTTTGGTCTTCCCTCTCGTTCGTTGCTGTCGTACACCCCGTCGTATCGCTCCTTTCCTCCACGCTCGTTTCCTCGTCCATATCCTCCTTAACGTTTACTCTTGCCGTGCAACTTTCGAAGCCATTCCGGTGCCTTTGGACCCAGCTTTTCTGTGTGTAATGGCTTCGAGGACCAGTATAAAAGATAAATGAGGATTGGTAGAGCCTCTCTATTGATTCTAAAAAGGCAGCTGGGCCGCCGTGATGCGTAGTCGTTCAGAGCGGGTGTTCTCTCTCCACTAAAAAATTCAGGCTCCAAATCTAAGGTGGTGATATCTTTCGTGGCCAACCGTTACATAAGCCGAGGCCGAATAGCCCAAAGGACCGAAAAAATTCTTGCAGATCAATATTATCACTAAGATCTGTAAATTTTGTGCAAAACAAAATAGCCACTGCACGAATGAGGTCTGAAAAAATCTTGCACGAAAAAAAAATAACCCATCCCCGGCTCAAAAATCAAATAGTGGGCCCCTTACTGGTGGCCCTTCATGCTGAGGCTATAATATATTTAGTTTCTGCAGACTCTGCTACTTGATTTGTTAAAATTGAAGGGTTACTTTTATTTCGAGGTAAGTCGTTGGGCTACACTGTAAACAAGCATTTATCAGTTATACAGAAATGGAATGTGTCCACTTTCCCGGTCCAAAACTAGTACTGGTAGGTGAACCGATTGACGTCTATTCTGACTAATTATTTAAGCACTTTTTAAGAGTTAAGTTACTGGTCAAAAATACGAACCTCGATTTATAGTCGCCTTATGACTTGCTTGAGGCGATGAGACAATCGGGACCTATGCAGTAAATTCCGCTTTTAACGAATCGGTTTGTATATTGTCCTGGCGGTATATTGTTATGTTTGATCGGCCGAAAAACTCTATGCTTGGACCCTTACCAGGAGTAAATCAGTCCAGGAAGTACTTACGTACCTTTCTCTGTCACAGGATTTCTTTTTGTCCTTTTTCTTCTTCCCCATTTCTCGCCAAAAAAGATATGTAAAATCCCTTTCTCTGCCTTCTGGCATTGACAGAGCGTTGAGGAGTTGCGTTACAAAGCGAGAAAAGTGACTTGAGATTCATATTCCGGTGCCCTCAACAATTAATAAATTAAGAATATGATACCATGTTTTGGTCAAACAACCAGGACTTCGTATGACAGGAACTGCCGTCAGCTGGAAGCAAGAATGGGTAATGTAACTTGGCCAGGAAATTCTATGGACACAAACCTTATTATGCGGAAAAATATTGTGATAAGAGGGTTTTAGACCGTGTAATAAATCTGATCCCTGATTTGGGCTTCTGCTGATCCCTGAATGAATTGATAGTCCATTTTCATGAGCCCATTCATGTTACGACCCTGACTTGACGTAAACTGATACCGTATTTACGTACTGGAAGTTCGGATTTGTTTTGGTCTGGGGCTCAAGATCTCAAACGCTTTTCCACAAAACGCTACGTTCTGCTGAATAATGAATAGAATTAAATAATTCCTCTCCTCAAACATTCTCCAGAGGGGGGGTGGGAGGGGCGAAATAGAGGATTTCCGGTATCCTTTGGTTATAACCTCTTTAACAAAGAAGCAGGCAAAACTCTAACATAATGATCGAAAAAATAATTTCAGTTATCTTTTGCTACACTCAATTACAATATACCTGAATTCATCTGAACGGCTACTTCCCTTCATTTGCTCAAGAATGTATCCTAGTGCTTGCTTCTTTTTTCCAGTACTGTCCATTTCCAACTTCTGTGCAATGTGCAGAGGACTTTTCCGTTCGCTGTTAAACATTTCTTTCCAGTCTAATTGTTTATAAAGGGGGAACAGCTTCTGGAATGCTCCTTTCGATGCCGATGCAACACAGTGATGCAAGGCAGTGTTCCTCTCCTGGTCAGCGTCTCGTACTTTGATTTCTGGTTCTCGTCTTTTGAAGGTTGATATGCAGCTTATATTTTGTCTCCTTATTGCCACTGACAGTGCGGACATTCCTGGAATTAGCCCTTTGGCTGAGGGATGGTGCTCGTCAAAGTCATCTGGAAGCCTACAGTTTAAGTCCACTTTTTCAACGACTATCAGGTGCTGCATTACATGAGGACTCATACCAGGCAAGGAACACGCCTTTAAAAGTGCATTGTAGCCATGTTGGTCTTTTCTCTCCAAATTCCCTTTTACAAAGCAATCGAGACTTTTTTCAACGTGTCCTTTTGAAAGATCCTCTCGTTTTTCCATCTGTTTGCGTTGATTCCAAAGGTTAACAATAACTGCTGTGACCTCGTTAGTTCCCTCCATGTACAATGACATTTTTTCGGCGTTTTGATTTCTTGAAGTCGAAGTTCTACGTAGGAAACATGTATTAAAATCGCTGTTACTTGCAACATCATCAGCACTGTTCGTATCTGGTACACTGAGCCATTCTGTGTCCTCCCCTTGTATGGAATATGTGCTTGTTTGGCTGCTAGCATTAGATGTGGTTTCTACATCTTCATCAGTTTCTTCACGTAGCGAAGAAGTAGATGCCTTCTGCTTGCCCTCTTTGTTCTTTGGCATTATCTCTTGACCTTGAAAAGCATGAGTGGGGCTCCTAATTTTCTGGCTACTTTCACTTTTGAATTCCTTTTTCTTTTTCTTTCTCACTTGTGGCTGTTCGTTTCCCGAAGTGGCTTCATCATTTTTACTTCCTTTTCTGTTACGCTCTTCACTGCTTTCGCTCCCACTTTTCTTTTTTTTCACTTTCTTGCCACTCGACGTCTCTTCGCCGTTCTCGTTCACAACATATACATCACGCATATCATGTTGAGAAGATGTGAACGCCATGTGCTTGTCTTCTTCGCTCCTCAGCATGCTCTCGTGGCCAGTATGAATAGGGTTTCTACTTTTCTGATTACTTTCAGTCTTGAGTTGCTTTTTCTTTTTTACTTTTGATTGTTCTGTTTCCGAAATGGCTTCACTGTGTTCATTCCAATTGCTGTTACTCTCTCCTCTGTCGTCCACACTTAATCTCTTTCTTTCCACTTTCCTGCCATTGGATGACTCTCCGGCTGTCCCTCCCTTTTCAAACGTTTTTTTGACACTCTGTTCGTCGCGTGTTTGGTTAATTTTCTGGCCAAAGTAATCAAAAATTTTTCGTCGCTTGCTTGGAGACTCTTCAACAATTTTTTGCTTTGCATTAGGTGAATCATGACGTAAAGTGTGTGAGGGGAGAAAAGATGATTTTTGACAGGTGACTTCTTCAAGGGATTTCTTGACACTCGAACATTCCTGACCAAATGGGTCTAGAGTTTCATGAAAAGGCCTTTTAAGGCATGAGATTTCATGACGAGAACGGTTTGCACTAAGGGATTCTGTGGTACCTGAATCTCTTCTTAACAGTGGTTGGTGGGACGATCCTACATCCACAATTCCTTTACTCTTTGTCCTGAGAGATCCCTCTTCAGACGCTTTCGTTCTTTCTCCACTGAAGTGTTGCTGATGATCAGCAAGGATACTTTCGTCCGCTTTTGTGGCATTTTCAGAGACGTTTCTTTCAACAGCTACATTTAATTCTTCCAGAATCATGCCATCTTCTTTGGAGAAGGATGCTTCGATCACAATCCACCGTAAATGATGTCTTCTAGGGTCAGCGGCAGACAAAATGGAAAACCGACCACATCTGTCGCTCATTTCGGAAGTGAGGCAAATTCCATTGTGGGACGCTATGGTTGCCAGAGTCAACCCGGACCACCTTTCTAATGCATCTTCAGCACTCGTGATGAAAATAATCTTTTCTTGGGCTGCACAAAACGCTGAAATCAAAAGCATCATGTCTCTGGTCTTCCGATTAGCAACTGAAGCACAGTACGACACAATAAGGACTGGAACTTCATCAGTGGAACCGAGCTCCTTCCATTCGTAGTTCTGAAGGTCAAGACTGTCAACAATTTTTGTGGGGGAGAGTTGGTCCTCACAATCGTCCGGCCGATCATATCCAATCTGTCCTTTGAAGCAATTCTCATGGCCCTTAGTGTTGACAAAGCTGCGGAGGTGGTCCAAGATGATTTCCTCCTCAACAACTTTTGGCAGCTCACTAGCAAGTGGTCGTTTTTCCAGAAAGCTATCTTTTTTCCATACAAAAATAGTCGGACGTGCGAGATCCTTGATCCAGTCGTTGTATTGGACTTTGTGAAAAAGAAAGCGATTACATTTCACTACCCATAAATCAGCTTTGTCGCAATCGTCGTTGAAGCGTAAGTCTTCCCAACACGGCCATGGTCGATAAAACACTTTCTTTTCCACCGTGCTTTTGACATTCAACAAAACAGCAGCATAAACCTGGGTCTTCGCAAATGGCCTGACCGATATGGGGACACTTCTGAGAAGACCTAGAATGCCATAACTCTTGAAAGGGCTGTCAAACAACTTCGCGGGGCCTGTATACGTATACAGGGGAAACTGTTGTCCCTCGGGATGATCCTTTAAAGGATGTGGCTCGTATTGTATTCTTTCATCGGGTGGATTGCCCTTTCCGCTTGCAATATTCTGAAGGTAAGTGAGAGGTCTTAAGAAAGAACATCGTTCCATCTTCATCACTCCATTCTCATCTCTGACAACGCTCTGACCTGTTGTTGTTCCTTCGTCTGACCTCAACACTGCTTCGGACATCAAGGCCACATTGTCATCAATCACAAAAATGTATTCCAGCTTTAGAGCAAATGCAATTTTCTGAATAAACAACCTCGCGTAACCCACACCTCCTTCACTCGGTCCAACTTCGCAGTTCGGTAGCTCATCTGGCAGCTGAAATATTGCAATCACCTTCCCCCAGGTAGATTTGTAGGCCTGGAACATTTCACTTCGAACCACAGCAACTTGCAGATAACTAGCTACTTGGTTTTCTTCTTGCATCACGTGATGATAGTTTAGAAGACACTTCCGCGGATCATCTCTGTGAGAGGGATGGAATATCCAATAAGACAGCGAGGTCACTCCAGGGCAGTTGAACTCGGTCCAGGACCCTTCCACTGACCTAAAACTCCTGAGATGACCTCGCAGGTAATTGTGTGCTAGACTGCTGGTGGGAATTGAACAAGTGACCTCTACTGGAGCGCCATCTATGGTTACTTCAAGCGTCTCCAAAACTGGCCGCTCTCCTTGAAGTAGTCTTCCGCATTCAACACAGTTCTCAAAGTGGTGCCAATGCCATGCGCGAACACCATCTGCACAATTTCTTGATAGCAATCTCTGATAATTGAGAATTGACTTGATTGGCTTCTTCTTTTCTCGATTCATTAGGAAGAACGGACTATCTTCGATGTCATGAGTGTAGAAGAGCCCACCAATTGAATACTTCCCCTGTCCCACCGCTTTTTCATAAAGGCTGGGAGAGTTCTCGATCGTCTTCCAATAGGGAAATTGCCAGTTTTCATCGCTTTCCACGCTGCTTTCTATTGTATCGTCAAGGGAGTCGCATTGTTCATGGAGATAAAAGCTGCCTTCATCAAAAGCGGTAGTTTGTGTCAGAGGCATCTTTTCTTTTCCAAGAATATCTTGTCTAAGCTGCTTAACGAGGCAAAGATAGGTACCTGTCTTGCCGATCTGGGGTTCAGCTTGGAGAAGTATTCTGTTGCAATATGTTTGCTTGTTGCCGTAATCATAGCTATCCTTATGAGCTTCATAGTCCAACCAACGCAGTGAAGATGATGTCTCGCGTTTGCTTTTGGAGGTTGACATGTACCGATCAGCTCTGGTACAAGAAATTGTGCTCATTGCGGGGGAACGTTTCAATGATTCACCAAGCCTTTTGAAAAGCTCCCTTCCAACCAACACATAAGGAGTGTACTGATCACGTGATTCTCGGGTTGATGCCTTTGCATAACGGCACATTCTTCCAAGTTCTTGAATGACAGTCGATAAAAAAAGTGGTGAGCCCTCTTTGAATTCCCGACTACTGTCATAGTTTAGTCGAAGGTCAAGGCAATCAAAGCTATGGGGAAATGTGTCCCCCATGCGACCTTTATCAACCAGGATGAGGACACACGCCAAGTTTTCTAAGTCTTCATACTGAGTGATTGACTTGTGCACGTGTTGACAATTGGTACACTTCTTGCGACCGGGGCGAAGCTCAAGCTCACTGCAACGGCAGTCAAATTTAAACTGGCATTCCCTTGGCTGGAGCTTAAGGAAGAAAGGACTTGATGATTTCATCATCTGTTTCTCGATTTGGATTCCGCCATAATCTCTTATGATCTCAAATGACTTCTCCAAGGAAGATAGTTTCCGGGCCAATTTAAGGGTGTGGTAAAACTGATCGGCGGTTTCCATGCTTTTTGCTCGTACAATTTTCATCTTACCGGATTTCCCTTTGCCACTCTGGATTAGGCTTTCTACAAGAAATCCTGTTTCGTACTGCCGGACAACACCCCTCCAGATTTCAATCATCTTGTGGCAGTTGTTTTGCTTTAGTGACGTTTTGATCTCTTTTAGAATACCATTCATGAGGGGATCTTCCATGATAGTTTTTAGATCTTCCCGAGACAAGTGCATCAGACAGGCAACAAATTCTGTTTCTAAATTTTGAGTAGAGTCCACTTTACCAGTTGATCTGTTTTGTTTTTGGGATCTTGAGAATTTTTTCACATTTTCTATCAAAGTTTCTTTCACCTCGCCGCAACATTTTCTCACAACCAACTCAAAGGCTTCGTGGTGAATGTACTTTGCGTTATTCACGAGTTCGTCTCTGAAAGAACGAACCTTTTCAGTAAACTGATCAGCGGGAGATTCTCCTGTGCCATTGATAAGTGCCTGTCGGATTTTGTCATCGCTGGTGTATGTGCCAAATAGAAGAAGGTAGTAGCAGTACTCCGCGCATAGAAGGGCATCTATTTTGAGGGATGATGAGTGGGGTGTGCACCGCTTGTTTTGTCTTTTTGCCGTGTCCACGATCCCTTGAAAAAACTTGTCCTGACGAATCTTTTGATCACTCCTTTTACCACAGGTCATAGTGCTCAGATAGTAGTTTAAACTCATGTACTGTTGTTCAACCAAGTCAACTTCTGCTGGTCCACATTGATCAATGTAAAATTCGAATGAAACGCGACCCAAGTCGTGTTTGGCTTTCATAATAGACACACCACATTTTCTTTCAATTCTAGCTGATTGCAGCAAAACGTTATCTTTGTCGTCGACTGCTAAATAGAGATCTCTCCTGTCACTGCAAGAAAACGCCGCAACTCCAACGCCAAAGTCCAACTTTACCTCAAACATAGCTGACTCCTGAGGGTTAACAATGGTTTCCAGCATTCCGTGCGAGTCTCCGGTCAGTGTACGGACCTTCCCTTCGTTTAAAATGGCCTTGATTGTCACGATACCTTGACTCCCCTGTACTTCAAAGTCAGTGGCATCACTTTCATTGTATACGACGCCCAGTTTCCCCTCCGTCGAAACATGAAGGTATCGCGGGTGTGGAGAACGTTCAACAGTTAATGTTGACTTGAGTTTCATTCGCATTCCCCTTTCAAAGTTCTTCAACTCTACCTCCGACCAGTGGACAACATGAAGTTCTACTTCCTTGGAAGTTGGTTTTGCAAAGTCATGTTTTTCAGTCTCAGGTTCACTTTCTAAAACCAAGAGATCGCCAGCTTCGTAATGATTGTTTCGCACGGTAGAAATACTCTCGTAGAGAATTAGGCAACGTACTTCAGGAAGGCGGGAGTTCTGCGTTAAAAGGTTAAAAGGTGTTGCCGAGATTTGAACTACGACCACATTTCTGGGAGAGTTTTCCTTACACCATTCATTGATGAACAGATTATGTGCCGATGGTTTCTGGTCTTTGTCTTTTGTTATTCCCCAATGGCACTCATCAGCAATAATGATAAAAAGAGTTCTTGCCTTTTCTTGGACGTCTTTTCTTAGCTGCTCAAAATGCATGTCAGTTTCCGCGCTTCGAACATACATGAACATTCTCTTCTTTCCATTCCACTCTTTACGTGACTTGAGTTCTTGTTTCGATAGGACACCAGCGTCAGGGTGACAGATCCTTTTCTCGGTCTGATCGCTAAGCATCCGGTACCTTGCTGTGTAGACTGCAAACTCTACGTCGTCGAAAGCGTCGCTCAGCTTAGCGATGTTGTGGTAATGCCACATAATTGTGTCAATTCGTTTCTTCAGAATAGTTGCCATTTCTATCTGTGATGGATAATAGCATGGCTTCTCAGGATTAGATTCTTGCACTTCGTCAATCTCTTCTTCTTCATCTGACGGATATGTATCGTCCACACAGACATCTTGCCTCTCCTCGGTTTCCTCGGCGCTCTCAAACTCCTCACCACACAACGCAATATCGGCAGCAATGTCGGAAGCAATATTCTGATTAATGCATTTCCGAATCTCCCCAGAGGGGTCCGAGTCGTTGTTAATAAGGACGTCAGCACTTAAGATACCAAAATCCCCTTCAGGTGGGAAAAGAGAAATGAAGTCTCCAGGGGTACTGAAGGTTGAGCACACTTCCCGCACTCTCAATGACACGTCGTCGTCACTGACGCTAAACCACTGTTTACGCCTCCGGTTCCACCGTCGCAGCTCGGTCCACGACGTTTGAGAAGGCTCAAGGAGTTCAAGAAACCTTTGTGAATCCCTATCTGAGATTGCATCGACAATTTCCGTCAAAAGGTCGACGAAAAGGGAGCCATCCATGAAATCTGGAGCTCTCCAATAATATACTCCGTTACAGTCTCCTCCCGGTGGAGTGTTGCAGACTTTATCTTCGGAAATGGAAAAATGGACCACAACTGGGCTTGTCTCATCTTGAATGGGATCACCTGCAAACGATTACGATCGTGGTAGCAGTTATTAATAACTGTAGCAAACAGCTGGCTGCCTCGAACATGAACACCCCCCGCTTTATTGCTTCTCGTATCTTATTAAACAGATTACATTTTTCTATCTTCTTTAAACATTAATCAATGCAATTATTAAGATCTGTATTTGACTATGGATGGTACAATTCAGTAGCTTGGAAACCTATTTGTGTAATAACTCTACTTCAAATACTTTTAGTGATCAACAGACAGTGAAATTCACACTTGGCTACGAGGGCTTGGGGAATAAAACAAAAGAAATCATCTTGAGGCTTGAGCAATGAACAATACATTTCTTCTGTTTTATTCCCCCAAGCCTCCCAGCCAAGTTGGCCCGAATTTCATCCGGTTACTTCGAGTCGTTATTACTCCCTCAGAAACGTCTGAATCGACCGACCGTTAATGCCGTCCAGTGACGTCACTACCCCTTTGCTTTAATTCATGCAAAAAGTAAAACACGATTTTCAAGTGGCGAACCAAGAAATATCGCTTGGAAATGTCTACATGATACAGAACAGCTGACAGAATTGCTTTACTCTTTTCGATCGTAATTCATGTTTAACGTTCAAACCATCAAGCATGCAGTACTCTGAACCGGTTGTAATTCAAAGTCGGTCGCAATCACGCAATGAAATAAATACACACACGGAACACTTAGTTCAAAAACACAACAATTTCCTTTTATTGAAAAGAAGCCATTGGTCCTTAACGAATAAAAAAGAAAACAAGGCAGAAAAGCTGACAGTATATAATCATTACACTTGACGGTGAAAATAGCAAGAAGGTCGAATGACAACATGACACTGGTCTCAGAAACTTCGCATAAACAAAATCACGGCGGAAACCACAAAGCGGCTCTAAATGAAAAACCTTGCCGCTGATGCGATCCGCTGAATATCAAGCGACATCCCGTTAAAATGTTTCATAATTATAAAATTTCTCATAATTATACATAATTATGCGAAAATTTAGGCAATCAACCAATCAAAATCACTACCCGGTTTTCGGGTAGTAGTGACGTCACTGGACGACATTAACGGCTGGTCTATTCAGACGTTGCTGAGAGGAAAAAACGACTCGAAGCAATCGGATGAAATTCAGGCTAGAGCCAAGTATGCACTTTAATAAATCAAAAATGGTCTTTTAGACTCACTGATTAGCAAGATACAATGATATCAACTTGGCTGAACGAGCTGTCCAGGCACCCTCTGTGTTCTTTTTACGCAAACTTGAGTAGTTCTCGGTTCTGCTTGTAGAAAGTTTTTAGTTTAGTTAAAAAAAAAAAGAGTGTGGATCATTATTTCGGACAGTGGCCAAGCGTGTAAACGCCGCTCCACTGATGAATTAGGTACGGTAGAATAGCACTTTCGAATCAGGTTTTCTCACTCGGTACTTCCGGTCACGGCACGCAACGTTAAGTTAGACAGCAAAAGCTATCGCATTATTGCACATAGCCTGTTCCAAGCGTTCAGATAGTGGAGAGCGGTGTGGAGTAGAGAAAGCGATGAAAAGTAGAGGGGGACTGAGGAGAGAGGTGCGGGAACGCTTGTAAGAATTCTTAACAAAAGTGCGTTCCGGTATACCAGATCCTGGTATACCCTCTGATTGGTTGATTTTGACAGTTTTTGTCAACAGTGGAGCGTCTTCGATCACAGCGAGAAATGCGATATGGCCGTTATGACAGACTCTACGTGCCGTCACGCAGAATTCAAACTCGCAACAAACACAACGCTGAGTGACTTTCCAAACGTGGAGGCTAAAAGCGAAAAGCAAAGAAACTGTTTAAAACACGTAGTCGGTAGGATAGATGTCTTAGCAATTTCTCACCGACTGGCTTTTGAAAAATTCTTATTTTCCAGTTTTTTCCTCGAATAAAGCGTGCGTTGGAATGAAGGCAGGATAGAATGCCATTTACGATTGTTGTGGTAACTCCGTTGATTACCATCATGGACCAAGTGGAATATTTGAACAAGTCAGATCGGAGTAGCGGCGGCAATGATGGGAGAAGATATGGATGAAGCCGTTAAAAGTGGAAGCTGTGAAATTGTTTACTGAAGTGCCAAATCGTGGTTGTCTAGTGAATGGACAAAAGGACTTCAAAAAGAAAAGCTTGGAAAGCAAGTTGCCGCTATCGCTATTGACGAGGTCCACTCAATCACCGAATAGTAAATTTTCCCTTCAATTGTTGTGCATTTTCATTGCTTGAGTTAACGATCTGTATTGAAACGGCTTTCTATCGAAATGAGCGATATTTGTTTGTCACTTGATTCATAATTTTTTGTCACGTACACGCTGAAATCATGTTTTTAAAGCCGTAAATAAATTCATTATACATGAATACTTCTCCCGCCTTCTATTGTCTGAAAGTCTTACATTGGGTTTTCAGTAAGATTATGTATACATAATATTAATTTTTGATCTGACAAACTTCGATTTATTCGCAAGAAAAATAATAAATGCATCGGGCTGTAACACCAGTCTTGATTGACAAGTGAAGACCACCTACAGCTGATGCCGTCTGACTGGGCGGAAGAGTCTATTTAAAACAAATCTAACAGGCGTTCCCTCTCTCACCTCTCCTCCTCCCTCGCTTTTACTTTTTCGCGCTCCCTTTTACTTTGCACCGCTCCCCACTATCTGAACGCCTGGAACATGCTATATCGCACAATGCAATTGATACAACAGTCGCAGACAGGCTAATCCCGAGTGACAAGTCCGTAGGCTATAACCCTATGCCCTGAATCCATAATTTTCAATTTTACGTCTTCCTTTCATTAATATTGATAATTTGATTCGATCTAAGTACTCCATATTTCGACGTCCTGATGTTGTAAGTTTAATTTTAAATAAAGGTCGGCACATGAATGGAGCGTGGTTTATTCGGGTTAAAGCAATCCCGTGATGGTTGAGTGAGTACAAGTAACGATCCCGTACTTCGTTTAAACTGGGGAAGCAGTTTTTGGCCGCTTAGTCTGAAATCAGTCTTACCTTGGTCAGACATCTTCATTCTGCTCGAAAATTTCCATGTTTGACAGTTGATATTTGCATTTTCTCTACTGTGCTTGAGCTTGCTTGAATGCTTGACCTTCCAGAGGAATAAATCAACACATGGAATGTAAGGAACTCAGTCAACAGTTGCAGTGTTCACAAAAACTTGCTTTCCTTAAAGTACAGACAAAAATGGTGGACAACATAACACACAAACACACACTTAAGTTAAGTTGCTGTCTTCTCCCCTCGCTCCCCTCGTGCATTCTACATTTCAATTCGTTCAAGCAACTAAGTTGACCCCCCCCCACCGGCCTCCAATCTGCAATGTGAGTGATCGTTTTTTTTCAGTGGTTGGTTAATTCGTCCGCCAAAAACGTTAAGTGAAATCAGTGGCAGAAAACGGCGAGCACTGTAAGCGTATTCTAGCCTGTTTTCATAAATTCGGTTTTCCAGCAGTCTAAATGTGATAAACCGTTTTATTGTTGCAAAGGCCGTCGCACTCGCGCTCATCATATGCAGATCAAAATGCAAAACACAATATGCCCATGTGAGAAGCAAATCCAATTCTCATTTCAAAATGTATCCAGATAGGAGGTATACTTATTGTAGTTTTAACGTTAACGTCGGCTGGAAAGCAAATGTATACTTACACAGTATGTACTCTAATAGAGCTTCTCAGCTCTCTTCTCCAAATTGCACTGTAGCAGGTTTCAAGGTTTGCTTGATGGCCGATCATACCCTAAAGGATTCGATATAAAACACGAACAACTCGCTCAGTTTGAAGACAATGCAGCGATTATGTATTCTTGTAAAAGGATTCGATAGAGAAACAAGATAACCGCGCAAAAAGCGCGGCAAAAGTTGTTTTACTGGTACCTGCAATTCACGTCAGCCAGTTTGAAAGACTACTCGTTTGAGTATCCGTCCCCAGGGGGTACTCAACAAAATTTTATACGGTGGGGCTCCGCTCAGAGGTCTAATCGGTTACTCTTCTGTATACCATTTTTGGCAGAAAAGGTACCCCTTTCCTATGTCTCCAATTGACAAAATGTCACCACTTTCACTCACTGCTTTAGAGCGCTGCGTCCCCTTTAACTGTTGTGAAAGCATCATCCCTTGACTATGAATAAATCACTAATCCAGGGAGTATTTATTCTTTTTTTACAGCCATAAAATGTGCCTGTAAGCCCTTTGAGGTCCGTAATTCAAAGACCGCAACGACAGATTTTCAAACCCTTTTATATACTTTAACTATAGAGATCCCTACCCTTTTTAATTTCATACCTGACGCCTGTAAAAGTTACCCCTTTCGGGGGGAGCCGGACTCCCCGTATCGGCCACTATAGGGTGTACCCCCCGGGGTTTCTGTATGGATAGTCGTCTCGGTTCTGAGAATTCGATATGATTCAACGGTTTTTCTAGGAAAACGAGAATGAACTGTATAAATACATCAATCGAGTGTCATGCTCCAGCTATATTAGAAAGATTCCGGAAATAACTGTCAAGTGACCCGGTCATCCTATGATTAAATACGAATGATAATTTAGGATGTTAAGTGCAAGTATTGATTGCAGAGGGGTCCTCAAAAACCCTCTGTGGGGAAAAGCATTAACGAAAGTAACAATTTACCTGATAAAGTTTTAAGACGTTAGGTAAATTTATTAAAACAAGCATATGCAATTTTAAAAGGAAATACAAGGAATTCACAATTTAAATGGTCATTTACAAGTCACTTTAAGAACTGAATAAGGTGGCAATACCGCTCCAATGGCCCTAATGCTTCTTGTGGTTGCACTTTTCATCTGAGATTTTCTGTAGATCGTGTATTATAATCATGAAAATCAAGCTGACACTTTTTTTGAGAGGTATTGGAAAAAAAGATATTTAATTGACTGATCAGTAAACAAAGTTAGCACATGGGTCATGTCATTACTCCTGCCCAATAGTCAGTGGTTTCCACAGAGAAACTCGTTTCAAACTTATAGTACGTTTTCGATACCTTATATTATTATACATTGAACTCACTATCTCTTTTCTGATTGGCCGAAAGCGTACAGTGAATTTTTGAAATCAGCGCCTGGGACGTAATCTAGCTGCAAATTATACAATAATCATGTGAAGGACACTCAAGGTCACGAGTAATCATGTCACGTATGACCGCGGTGCATGACTTCTAAGGGTAATCATGTCAAGTTCGCGCGCCTTGTTTTGCTTGCCGTCAGTGAAGAAGCAAAAACATGACTTCCAGGTTTGCTTCGTTGACCAAGCAGGTCATCGAAAAAATAGTTGAAGACAAGGATACAAAACACAAAAAGGTCGACGAAGGTGGCTAAGGAGCTGTTGCTGATTACCTGAAAGAGAGAGGACTCAGCGAACCTGAGGAAAAGAAAGAGTTGACACAAACTTTGAAAACATACATTTTATGTCGAAGTGAGAAAGAAAGAATTCGTTCAATGTATAATAAAACAATCATTAGATTCGGTTTTTGTGATATCCAGAATAACCAAGGTCTCAGTAAGGGTTATCAGGCTCAGCCGATAACCCCTACCTCGACCTTGATTATTCTGGATATCACAAAAACCTCATGCAATAATTGTTTAGTACATGTTCGTTAACTGATAGATACCATAGATCAAGAGCCATAATAGGATATTATGGCTCTTAGGTAGATAGTTAGGTAGATAGATAGATAGATAGATAGATAGATAGATAGATAGATAGATTAAATTTACAAGCTTTTCTCGTGTTTTCCCAACATCCCAAGTGGGTTATCACGCCGGTAAACCCATGGAAAGCGTGGTCTAACTTGCTTAATTAAAAATTGAAATAAACGTAATAAATCAATGTAGGGTGAGGAACTTCTTATTCATTTGTCAGTGTGTCAGGGATGTGCTTTCAGCTTAAAACACTGCCAAAAAAAGGTGAATAACGCTTACTAGCAGTGTCGCAAATGTAGCTGAAAGAGACCTCTTCAACAATCATGGCTTTTGTGGTTGTCGTCTCTGCTCGTACAGAGCGAGGCAAGCGCATGAGGGAGAATCCTGAGGACTGCTGGGAGTCTGATGGGTGAAAAAACCTAATTTGAATCGTAAAGAGTCGGAGCGATTTGCCGAAAAATGACTTTATTCAGTTCCAGTCTCCGAGTGGATACCTGGGAACGAGATTGTTCTGACATCAGGTAACGGCTGCTTCCAGAGGAAAGCACTACAGATAACATCGACCTAAACCAGATGAGTCATCGATATGTCAGCGGCGTCTTACAAAATGATTGAAATGATCCCGTCGACTTCCGCTCACTTTGGTCGATCGCAGCGAGATTGCTATGTTTGAGTTAGTTTGAGTTACAAAACGGTCAATATTGTCGTTTCCAGTTCATATCACTAAAACAGGGTTAAATCTGTAATAGACTCAGCTGTATTGCATTGAACGACGTGGCTTATGGTCTTCCCAAGGAACGCTGGTTTCGGTCGATGTTATTTAGTATCAACAGGCTGCGCCTATGCAACGGCGTTTTCACAAGTAGGTTTATTTTTAGATAAGCCTTTCCCGCGAATTGCTTTCGAAAGGCCAATCACTAGCAATTGCGTCATCAATGATAAAGTTTTAAAACGTTACTAGGACAACTCCTTCACATTGAAAAAAAAAAGGCGGACACACGTGGGGAATCTTCAGAGGAGTCTTCTGACAGTACTTCAAGCGACAATTTCAGTATTTACACGGAAACTAGCAGTTCAGAGCAAGATTTGCAAAACCTAGCCACGACGTCTACTTCATCGGCGACAACGTATAATTCACGCAAAGGGAATTAAATCGAAATCATCTTCGAAATAGCCGACTGTGAAAAGGTCCAAGCGAGCTACTAACAGTCTAAACGACGATAAAATGGAGGAATTGACCTCGTGGAACAGTTATTTTTCGCGGGAAAAGTTTATCTAAAAATAAACTCACTTGTAAAAACGCCGTTGCACGAATTTATGGCAGTTGAACGCTCCGGGTTATGGGCTGGTATCAACACGTCACGAAATCCTATCTAACACTGACCGAAACCTAACCAGAACTCGGCTGCGGCTTCGAAAAAACCGAAATAAAATAAATCCTGCGAGAGTGCGAATCCCATCCCAGTTTTATTGCTGTCGTTTGAGTCCCAAACAGTAGTTTTCCAGCTTTTCGACTTTCACGTAAGAAAGTTTAAGAAGTTCATAATAAAAAAAGGTTCTACTTCCACATTGGCGCCAAATCTAAAATTTTCCAACTGAGAATACTTCGTGAAGGACAATGGCGGGAGTAGAATCAAGCCATACACCGTGGTTATCTCTATTTTAAGTCGCATACGATCCACGTTTAGGTCGATGTTTAATATCTACTGCTTTCCGCTTCCAGAGCCCCTCGTTTCAAGACCACGTGACCAAGAAACGACGGGCTCTGGGGACGAGAATGGGATTCAATTCAAGCAACATCAGCTTGACAGGGTGAAGGGTGAAGTGCGCCCTTAAGTAAAGGTGATGTTAAACGGGACGATTCGCAACGACGATTTTCAGCGCAACACAGCGTTGCATTGTTGGAACTTAATGTTGGAACAATGTTGCAACCATCTGAAACAATGTGGCAACAATGCTGTGTTGTGCTAAAAATCGTTGTTCCGAATCGTCTCGTTTAACATCACCTTAAAGGCAATGTTACACGAGACGATTCGCAACGACGACTTTTAGCGCAACACAGCGTTGCAACATTGTTGCGACATTGTTTCGAATAGTTACATACATACATACATACTTGTATTCTGGGTAGAACGTATTCCGTAGAGCGCTCAATTCATTTAATTGAAGAGCGTTGACTATTAATAATCACAGGAGATTGTGTGGTCCTACAATTTCGGACCATACGAAACAGCACTGTCGCAATAAACGATCAATGATTACTCCTGAAGCCTGATCTCCTGTGATTATTAATACATACATACATACATACGTACATAGTTTATTTGGTAACGCAGGTTACAGAATACGCAAGACTGAAGTCCTGATGTGGACCTGACACATACAACCTTGTTCCAACCTTGCAACGCGAGCTACGCTTCCAGGGTGATTACGCAAACTTGTTGGCGAACTTCGGGTTCTTTGAACTACGACTGTTTCCATGGTTCCCAAGTTGAAGGAGGTACATTTTAGCCCTTCACAAGTAGGTTCCAAGTACACTTTGACTTAAGGTGATGTTACACGGGACCATTCGCAACGACGATTTTTAGCGCAACACAGCGTGGCAATGTTGAACAATGTTGTAACCGTTCAAAACAATGCCGCACCATTGTTGCAACGCTGTGTGGTGCTAAAACATCGTTGTTGCAAATCGTCTCGTGTAACAGTCACCTTAAGGTTATTCTTAGACTGCAAAACAGTCCGTATTTTTGCGTATTCAAGTACCAGCGAGCAGTCAAACAAAAGGTGTGAGGCTCGCGCTGCGCGCGCAAGACTCTTACGCCGCGCTTTACCGATTTCTTTACTGATTTTAGAAAAAAATCGACTGTTTTACAGTCTAGGTTATTCTCAGTGTTCCCTGGGTTATTCTTGAAAGTTCTAGTGGAATATGATACCACACGTGTCGTATTAAAAAAACACAGCATAGGTTGCCTGTCATGTGTCTTTCCTTGCAGCTAAGCTGACAGATATACTGGCCACTATAAGAAGTTGATTTACGAGGTTCCTCTTCCTTCTCCAATTCTTTTAACAAACAGTCGGTCTCCCCCGGGCAGTCCCGGGGGGGGTACTTTAGGAATTATTGGGTGGGGATGTGCCGCTGGGACCCTGGAACCCTTAACCTATACCAGAGCTAGTTCAGCTTAATTTTGCTACCCTAATACTAGTGTAAACTCCCCAAATCCCCCTATCCTAGAGTAGCTGTTTCCCTTGTCTAGATAAAATCTTCAACCAACTGATCATTTTCCTGAAAAATGATATCCTATTCTAGACCCAAACACTGTGATTTATATACCCTATCTTAGAGTAAACTGCCTGAAAACCATACCCTTCACAGCGGCACATACCTACATGGCCCATATATGGCAGTACCCCCCCGGGCGGGCAGTCAGGTAACATATCAGAAAGGTGGGAATATGTTCTTTCACTAGATGTGTGGCATGCATTGGTTTCCCTATACCACCGCACTCATCATGGTTGAGCGCGGGGAAAAAAATTACAATAAAATATTGAGGGATCGAAAACGAAAGTCTTATTTGTTGAACTTGAGAACAACAATTTTCCGCCCCCGTTGGTGGCTGAAAGAGTTGGTTCTTCCCACCAATCCCCGCGTGCTTATTGTGAAAACTCTGCCCAGCCTCCGGGCAATCTACAAACGAAGTCACCTTATACCATCCTGTTTCCTAATCGCAATGTTAAGAGTTTTAGGTTTTGGCTTAGGCACCAGCATTCTCTTTATCCCAGCTCTATTCCTAACACGACATCGCACGGTTAGCGCTGCCCAACGGACAAAAAATCCCAACATCGCCGTCATTGGCGCAGGTATCGGCGGCTCGAGTTGTTCTCACTTCATTCGGGAACTTTTTGGATCATAAGCTAGCATCGATGTATTTGAAGCGTCAGATAGAATCGGTGGCCGTCTAGCTACCGTGAAAATTGCTAGTAAGACCTTCGAATCTGGAGGATCTATAATTCACTGTGACAATAAGTACATGGTGGATTTCGTGAAGTACCTAGGTAAGTTTACGTGGGGTTTCTGCTTTGGGGTATTCCTTACATAGCCACACCGGCCCCCTATGGATGAGTTAAGCGAACTTTAATCCCTTTTAATAAAGAAAAAAAATGAAAGTCCCAACACAGCACCCTCCTCAGAAATAATAATCATTTCTCATATACTTCAGAAATATTCCAAGCACCCCTCAGAAAATCTCACCCATTTAGCGGGGAGGAGGTTGGTGGAAACAGCTGTGGAAATTAAATGGAATGGCCCCTGGCTATGGCAGCTTATGATGCCTTTGGATAAAGCTGTGAGTCAGAAGTAACCACTAGTCTTGCCAGCTGGGGAAAGACGCCAAAAATACTCACAGCTTTTTCCCTTTTGACCACAATAACATGGGCCTAGTTGGTTGAAGGTCAATGAGTGTTACAATGTAATCTGGGGGTAAACTCTAATCCACCTTTTTCTTCTTTTTTCAAAACTATTTTCTCAGATAAGCATAATTTTGCCTATTCTTTTTAGAGCATTCAATTACCAAATTGTACACAAAAAGAATTGGTCAGTGTAAAACGCAGACTGCGGACTGCAGACTGCGGAACAGGGGTAAAATTCAGACTAAGTGTACAATGCAGACTGCAGACTGAGAGTAAAACGCAGGCTGGGGTAAAATGCAGACAGAGCATAAACTGTAGTCGCAGAAGGGTTTGAGGGGAAAAGAATCCCGCAAATACATGTAGACAATTACTTACTTGACCCTGATACTTGACAACGTATGCTTCCTTTACAAGTCCATTCCTTTCTTCTCTGGAACATCGTCGATGACTCAAAAACATAATGGCAATCTTGAACCTTTTTTTCCGTCCGAGAGACCTCACGTTAAAGAGCGAAGTTTTCGATGCACGTGACCGTGAATTGGTACAACACCACAATGTTTATGCTTAAATAAAAGCTGCTGACCCAAAATACACTGTACGTACAGAAAGAATTATGGCCATAAAAAAGGGAGAAAATCATTCCAAGAAAAAAGAAAGATGTTCTGCAGGAAATTTGGATGACCTTCTATGAAAGTATTGCAAATCAACTTGCGCAGACTTAGGCTGTTTGGATGTTCATTGAAACTTCTGGCTAATGTGCAATGTACTTCGACTAGGAAGCGAGGTGTGCAACTGATACCAGCTCGCTATTTCACCTATTTGAAGGAGCGCAAATGTTTAAAAAGTCTACAGTCTTCATTCTGCATTTTACCTTAGCCTGCATTTTACTCTCAGTCTGCAGTCTGCATTTTACTCTCAGTCTGCATTTTACCCCTGGTCCGCAGTCTGCAGTCTGCAGTTTGCAGTCTGCGTTGTACACTGACCACAAAAAGAATTAAGCTCACTGAATTCAAATTTCACACTAACCTTGCATTGTCATTACCCAGATTTGAACAACCTGGCCATGGTCCAAGTGGATATTTTTTCAGATGGAGGGACTGTATACAAGATGCTAGGAAAATTTTGCTTTAACTTTTGAGTTAACCCAGTTTCCCTCTCATAACTCTGTATTTATTTACCTGATGTCACCTTTTTTCGTCATACATGTACCAGAAAAAGTCATTACCAGCCTGAATTAATTCAGTTGCTGTACCAGAGTGAGAATTTCATCCTGGTGTGAGATCTTACAACACCAGTATCATTTAATGAACAACCATTCATTTTTATTTGAAATCGGCCTCCCAGTGGACTGAAACCTCTCCCCTCCGCAGAGGTTTCCACTGGGTATCCCAATAAAAATAAATTAAGCCTCCCTTCGACGCAAAGGGGTCCCTGCTGAGGAGAGAGAATTGAAAGAGCCAGTGGGTGATTTTTTATAAACCCTTTGGGTCCCAAGAGTGACCAACATTAATTTTCTCCTAACAACATTGATATATCAGCAGTTCATCAAGAGTAAAGGCTATGAGAATTACGAAATTGATTTACAAAGGGAGAATGCTTTGATCTTAAACCAAATTCTCTCAACTATTCTTAAAAGAAATGTGTGGAGATCAGTCTGGAGAATTTGTATGTGGATCTTGGGGCTGAAAGAGTTAATCTAGGATGGTGTCGGACAAGGAGAAAACTTTTAAACATGTTAATGCTACCTACAAAATTAAGTAGTCATCCTGGTATGGAACTACTGCTTGTGCAAGTCTTCTAATGTAAACACCCTCTCACTTGTTATTCCCAAGGATCATATTTTTGAGACATGAACATTTTATTGAAATATATGAAATGAATCATATTTGAACTGCAGATAAAGATATGAAAGTGAACATGATCCTTGCAGGTGAATGAACAACCTAAGTGGTTAAAAGGAACCTGAAAAAATTCAGGTTGGGAATCGAACCCATGTTTATTTTCACATTTTGTGGGACAGCTGGCTGTTTCATCTTTGTATCACATGTGAAATGTGCCTGACTTGCTGTTATTTTCTCACCAAAGCTGCTGAGCCAGCATGCCACTGTCTATGTATGACATAAGTGGGTCCATGTTTAAGTCTTCTATTATTCTATTTGATGTCCTGAAATAATGGCAAAAATCTTCCAAATTTGGACAATGCTAACTGCAGCTCAAGTTCAAGTTCAAGTTCATTTATTTACACTTAATATTTAATTGCAAGGCTGTGCTCTAAAAGCCCGATAGCTCTAAACTTACGAATCTTGGGTATCCTGTATTAAGTTTTATAACCTGCATTGTAGCTTGTGGCATGTAATAATATATGACTAGAGCTTTGTGGAGGGGTGTGTGACGGAGCAGTTAACACCTCAAACTCTGGATCTGGAGTTCCAGGGTTCAAGCTTCGTCCATCATGTTGTTTCCTTAGACAAGAAATGTCACTCCACTTTGTCTCTGTTCACCCCGGAGTATAATTGGTTACTGGTGACATACTGCTGGGGGGGGGGGAACCCTGCGATGGAGTAGCATCCCATCTAAGGGGAAGTAGCAATACTCCTAGGTATATGCTTCATGTTAAGGAAACCAGGATAAGCTCTGGCCATTTAGGCCTTTGGCTCATGTGCACCTTTACCTACCTTTAATTTTTTACGGCTGATAAGTTTTGCATGGAAGCTAACTAAGAATTCCTTGTTAACAAAAGTCAACAGTAAGTTGCCAGAGCCACCAGGCTGTGCTAATGTTGTCTTAGTTGGTACTGTGTATATAAATGGTCTGACACAGGGGTCACCCCTTGGTTCTGACATGCTCTTTCTTCCTGAGTTCTTTGCATTTCACAATCACCATCACGTAAAAATTAAACTTTACAGGGGCAAAACTCATGATTACTCTGTGTAACTGCAGGACTGTGCTCTAGCAGAGCCAGGTGGCCCCTGGCGACTAACATTTACCCTCGGGCGACTGAAGAATCTCAGATTTTTCATACAAATCATTATGCTGGGCAAACCTAGATTTTACAGTTTCAGAGCACTCAGGGTCCCTTCAGTTTTCCTTGGAGCCTTGTAACTTAACCTCACATTCAAGAAGTTACATAAATTAATTCATTATAAATGGGTTGATGCCACCATCAAAAGCTTCACCCATATGGACCATTGGCTGAAGTGTTTCTTTACCTTTTAGCCAGGTGATATTTAGTCAGCCCAGCCCTAAGCAACAATTATAAAAATTGTTAAGGCTTTTTAAAGAAATATAACCACAATCAAACCTGCTATGTTTAGATCTTTCTTGGTATAAAATGTTTCCTACAATTTCTCTTCACAAACAGGTTTAAAAAAACTTGAGAGCAATGAGGCAGACGCTCTTCTGGGGATTTACAATGGTGATGAATTTGTGTTTTATGGTAGCAGATGGAAAATCTTAAATTATATCAAACTTGTTTGGCGATATGGATTATTTGATCTCTACACCATGGACAATTTCATCACTAGTATGTTAAAGAACTTTTCAAGTATTTACAAATTTCAAGAAAATCACCAAGCATTTACAAGCGTACCTGACATGCTGAAAGCTATGGGTGGAAATGAGATGTATGAGTACACACAGCAGACAACAAGACAGACACTGGAGAAGATCAGTCTCAACCCCACTTTGATTGATGAGCTAGTGACAGTTGTCATGAGGATCAATTATGGTCAAGATGTGACTTTGAATGGGTTTGCAGGTATGGAAGAAATACAGTTGAACCTCCATTATGTGGTCACCCCAGGGGTTGCTTACTAGAATTTCATCATAAACATACATAATCATAATAATTTAGGGGAAGCATCACTTTATTATGAAAGAAACACTCGAAGGGAGCAACAATACTGGTCCACGATTGGTCATCACATTGGGCTGTATTTTCCTTCATCATTTTTTTAAATAAAGCCGAACTAAGTGTATTAAGCACTTGATGGCTGCTTAATAGAGGTGACAACAATGGGAGAACTCTCACTGGAATGGCCAAGAGGTGGCAGGGGCTGCTTAATATAGGTGTCCCCTTAGTAGAGGTTAAAGTTCTCATTCTTTTCTACAATTATTATCTTGGGACTTTGACTATTGGCCTCTTTATAGAGGATGGCTGCTTAATGGAGGTTGAACTGTATAACTTACAGCAGGAAAATGATAAGGTTAACTGCAATTAGTCATGTATAGAAGTGGCTAGAAGAAAGACTTTCATAGAGTAATAATAATTTAGCTTCTTGTTATGCAGGCAACTCAAGTCAAAAGTTGGTAGTCCCTCCCATACAAATTCATAACAAGTCATGACCTCCTTGGGGCAGCCTCATGCAGGGCTTCCACAGAGCTCGAGGTTTCCTGTTTTTTCTCTGAGCTGATCTTGATTATATCCTTCTAAATTATTATGCAAAAGTTTATTTCTGGAAGTTAATAGTCAAAATTATTCCTTTTTTGATCATTACATGTATCAGGGCTGTCACTGAGGGATGGCAGCTGGGGATTTCCCATGGCTTCTATGAGCATGACTATCTGAATTTGAGGATTAACTAATGTGACACACTTTGTGAGTTAAGGCCTACCTCTCAGAATCACTTCATGTATTTGGAAGAAATGACTCCCGGCTACTTTCATTAGAAACCAGAAGGAAAAATTATAGAGCCCATGGAAATTCCTGGCTGTTCCACTCCCCAGCCACTAATTGCATACACCTGGCAACTTGCAACAGCCCCTCATGCATTGTTAGTGTAGTGAACTTGCCTAAACTCAAACTGTGTAATATAAAGGCTTGGTCAACAGCTATACCATTGCTGTAAGGTTAATTTGTTGAGTGGGAAATTTTGAAGCTATCTTTAGGCAATGTTTACATTGTCATATTGTTCTGATACAAATGTACTGAGTACAGCGAAGCACAACAGAGTTGCGAACTATGTGACTGAAGGTTTTTTATGTTTGTTAAAGTCATAAACAGACAGTTATTACTGCAAGCCCCCAGGTGAGCAACAAACTCATCTTTGGGACTCCTGTTGTTCCTTGGGTGTCCTGTCACTAAAAAACCATCACTAATTCGATTTTTGTGTCAGAATGATCTTTAGCAGAAATGGTCAGCAGTATCATTATAACTTAATTTAAAATTCTAACTCTCCTATTGCACTCCTATTGCAAAATTTTTGTACTAAGTTTTGCATATTTTGGCGCAAGCAACAGTTTCGAGTTATTTTCGTACGACTGTAAGCTAGGCAAATGAAGACCCAAACCACAAAGAACTCATGATGTGTGATGTGTAGTCCTTTATCCCATATAAACCATTACTTGACCCATTAAAAGGGTCTGTTAAATATTATTAGCAAAAAGAGATTTTTTTTTCTTTTTTGAGTAGATACTGGGCAAATGAAAAAAACATTTGGCTATAAAAAAAAACTGTGATGAAACTTTTCTTAAAAACATTATAAGAAATTTTAAAAGAAACTTTTTAAAGATGTTGATGCTTTGACAGTCTCTGACATCATCAAGTCAAACTAGCATATGCATGTTCTATAAATGGATGAAAAACAGGACATCTTTAAAAAGAAAAGTAACGTATTTAATATGTTACAAGTTAAACAAAGAGTTTCACACTAATGGAGTCACTCTGTGTCTTGAGTCTGGGCCTTAGTTCTTTGATGCATAATGTCTCGTAAATGAGGCAGTCATCTGCTCACAGCATTATAATAACATATTTGTAACCTCTAGTTTATTTATGTTAGGAGCAGTGTCATTGGCCGGTTCTCAAGGAGGGTTGTGGTCAGTTGAAGGCGGAAACTGGAGAGTCTGTGATGGTTTGCTTTCCAGCTCCAAAGCAACAGTGTACAAGAATACCAGGGTAACAGAAGTAGTAAAAAACAACAATGGCAGTACTGAAAGGCCTGTCTACACATTAAAAGGTGATGGCAACATTCCAGACAAACAGTACGACATGGTGATTGTTGCTGCACCTTTAGAAATTAGTAGCTATTTCTTTGATTGTAAAGGCTGCAGAAACTGGCCCTCTCCTAAAGAACTGGGTGAATTCTGGCGCACAGTGGCAACTTTTGTGCACGGCCAAATCAACTTGACGCATTTTGGGTGTGGAACTGAATATGACATCCCAGAAGTGATTGGCACGACAGAGACCCCTAAAAATTATTTTAACAGCATTGGCAAGCAACAGCCTGTTGAAAACAGGACTGAGGAGGATCCAAAAGGCACACCCATTCGGAAAGTGTTTTCACGATCAGATCTCACTGATTCTCAACTTAATGAACTGTTCAGTAGTGTGAATGAGGTCAAAGTAGTGTCTTGGCTGGCATATCCACACTTTACACCCCCTGAGAAATTTTGGTCATTTGTTCTGGATGATGGCGTCTTCTACATCAATGCCATTGAGCACTCCGCCAGTGCAATGGAAATGTCAGCAGTGAGTGCGAAGAATGCGGCTTTGTTAGCACATCAGTATTATACAGGGAAAGCATCTAATGTCCCCCCAGAAAACAGTTCTTCTAATACCACACCCAAGGGAGAACTGTAATTCTGAGTGCTGTAATAGACAAAGGTGTATCAATGACTTAAAATTTAACAAATTTACCCCTTTATCAAAATACCGGTGAGGGCCTAAAATGAAATTTTTTAAAAAAATACCTTTTTTGTAAGGAAAATGAATAGTACTATGCATGTGAACCACTTGAAAGTACTGAAGAGGTTTCTTTTTAATGGTCACACCACAAGATTTCATCTACAGATTCAAAAGTTAAAATCAGCTTATACCGCATCAAGAAATACATCTGCTGTTCGCAGTCTACATAACAGATAGTACCTTGTAAAAGCACAAAGTGTACAGCTAATGATATTTTATTCAAGCATATAACGCCACCTAAAATACAGTGAAAATATAATGACTGTTTCTTTGGCTGCTTCGCTTTTTGACTTTAGTGCTAAAGGAAGAGACTTCAGTGCATCCAGTTCTTTCTTTATACATATTTTTAAATACACTTTACTATCCTACATTACCATACCTACAAAGATAATTAAATTTAAACCAATGTTACAGTCAAGGCAGGTCAGGCAGACCCCACAAAATTCTATTAATAAATTGATTATTTGAAAAATGAAGCCGTTAGTTCCCGTAACTGGTGTGAAATTCAAATCGGCACTCCTGCATGCGTGATGAGCAGTGAATATTTTAAGAGAACTTCTCTGTATTTGGTCAGATTGAAAATCTTTGAATGGATAAAATAGCTTCGAAGACATTTACGTCAAATTCAGGGAAACTATGGTGGTAGGAATTTTATAACTGCCTCGCGTGTGAATTCACGGCTCATTCATTACACATGCAAGAATCAAATCACTGGTTTATTGTCCCTTTTGCAGTCGGAAGACTGAATTGTAGGATACCTTACAAGCTGTGATACATATACTAATACGATACATTTTTTGACAAGATTGATATTTAACACTAACAAAAATTTGAGAAAGGTTGAGTCCTTGTGGCCATGGGCCTGCTAGAACTCCCTGACTGTCGATTACAAGTCGATTACAGCTGTGTCTTTACCATTAAAAACCTGTACGTAACACTGTAGAACAAGAGATTATAATTATATTAGTTATACCTTTGAAGGGAAGTTAGAATAGCTCACTGAAACTGGAGTTTATAAAAAGTTATTTATTCATGCATAAAATAATGATTTTATCACAAGAGTTGATGATTAGGTTAATGAATTTCTAACTCAGTTGCCGAAACTACGTTTTTTGTTTTGTGAACCAGCCAAAGTTAAGTCAGTTTCTTTAGGAAACAGTTTACATTATAACAAGTGTAAAAAATGTGGTTAGTTTACCAATAGTACCTAATTGTTTTTATAACGACTATTGATGAGATAAAAGGGTTCTTCTCTGAATGAAAAAGGCACTCATAAAAAAATGAAAAGAAACAATGATATCTGGGAATCCAGAGCAATTTCTGTTACCGGTGAATGGCAATAACTATCTTATTGTAAAAGCCTATACTAGGTGACAGTATTTCTGGTACTTGTCATCAAACGAGATTCTACTAAGCTCTGATCAAGACAAAAATATATATATTCCTACTGAAAACCTTTTAAGTTAAAATCAATCTTAAAGGGATATATACTGTTGGAGAGGTACTCCTCTATCTACTCAAAACTATTTCAAGTATTTGACTAACTTCAATTGCTTTCACACAAAAGACTCCAACGGCCGGAGAACTTTCTGTACTGTTGCAGTTTGATCACTTGTCTTCTTCGCCAGACGATATAACACTGCAACTAATGGAAAAGCGTGAGAAAACGTACAGAAAACGCGTTTGCAAGTTCTGTTACCGGGTTAGCCTGCGAGCAAGCTCTCAATTGAAGGGAATATGGTAAAAAGTAGACGCGAAAGCGGGGGCTGAGAGCGCCGCTCGCTCGCGTGTGCTCGCGCGGCTAGCGACGCTCGCTTGAGGTGATGTCACACGATACGATTTGCAACGACTATTTTCTGCGCAATACAGCGTTGCAATGTTGGAACAATGTTGCAACCATTCGAAACAATGTTGCAACAATGCTGTAATGCTGTGTTTCGTTAAAAATCGTCGTTGCAAATCGTCCCGTGTAGCATCACCTTTAAATAGGAGAGCCTGCTTGCAGGATAGTACCGGGTTATACTTTGCCGTGCAGTTAAAGAGGTTGTGTTATTCAATTTGTTATTTCAAAGAGTGTACTGGTACTCAATGACGTAATCATATAGGTCGCCGGCTATTATTGCCGTGCCCTTATTCGCCAAGGGACTTATTAGCGTTAACCAAGGAAATACTCGAAAAGGACAAAATCACACTAGCTTCGTGTTAACTCACGACATTTTCTTTACAGGTTTTCTAAACTAGCGAAGAATCCGCGGCGACACATTTATGCCCTTAAGGCATGAAATCTAATAAAATTGAGCCTCTCTATGGGTACCTGCGAGCGTCGTTTTCTTCGGGTGTTTTCGGACAAATCGTCAGTTAATTGTCACATATCAAGTAATTTTTTGCGTGGTAACGCTACTAGCAAGCACGACGACGACAAAAACACAAAAATCTAAGATCGTCGTCTCATCAAAAGCGATCGTGGCAACTCTTATTGAAAAAATGCGCCTCAATTGGCTCCCGAGAACCAATGTAAAACCATCCGCGAAATTAAACACCCTCATAACTTTCATGCCACATGGTAGTTTATATCCTGCAGACCCAGGAGAAAACGAGAACGGTTCTGAAGACAAAAGTTTCAAAGGGGATTTGGGTCATGCACCCTAGGTATTATCTTCAATAACGTTAAGGTGTCCTTTCCTTGTTAAAAATCTGACCCGCTTCTGTCATAAACGGTGAAAACCGGTGAAAATCGTTGTGGATTCTCCCTGGTTCGTGCAGGAAGGTGATTTCTTGAAATACTAAATACATCCTCTATTAAGTAGACTGCAAAACAGTCCGTATTTTTGCGTATTCAAGTACGCGCGAGCAGTTAAATTAAAGGTCTGGAACGAGGTTGAAAACAGTGAGCGAGACTAGGGAGAGACGCTAAAAATTTCTCTCGCCTCACACGCCGTAGGGCGTGTGAGGCCCGCGCGCTTGGCGCGCGTAAGACTCTTGCGCCACACTTTACCTTTTTTTCACTCTCTTTGAGAAGAAAACCGACTGTTTTGCAGTTTATCTATTAAGCACTCGTCTGTCTATTAACCCCCCCGCCCGCCCTTTTCAAGGTGAAGAAAGTTAGTTAGCCCCCCTACCCCCCCCTTATATTCTTAAATGGTAAACATTATTAATTAATCACCGCATTCACAACTGTAACACTTCACGTAAACTGATACCGTATTTACTTGCTAGAAGTTCGGATTTGTTTTGGTCTGGGGCTCCAAGATCTCCATTTCATATGCCTGGGCTTTTCCACAAAACGTTCCTACGTTCTGCTGAATAATTGATACCATCATATTCGCTGAATTAAATAATTCCCCTCCTCAAACGTGCTTGGAATGAATAGGTCTCCAGAGGGGGGGTGGAGAGGGGCGAAATAGAGGATTTCCGGTATCCTTTGGTTATAACCTCTTTAACAAAGAAGCAGGCAAAACTCTAACATAATGATCGAAAAAATAATTTCAGTTATCTTTTGCTACACTCAATTACTACATACCTGAATACATATGAACGGCTCCTTCCCTCCATTTCCTCAAGAATGTATCCCAGTGCTTGCTTCTTTTTTCCAGCACTATCCATTTCCAACTTCTGTGCGATGTGCAGAGGACTTTTCCGTTCGCTGTTAAACATTTCTTTCCAGTCTAATTGTTTATAAAGGGGAAACAGCTTCTGGAATGCTCCTTTCGATGCCGATGCAACACAGTGATGCAAGGCAGTGTTCCCCTCCTGGTCAGCGTCTCGTACTTTGATTTCTGGTTCTCGTCTTTTGAAGGTTGATATGCAGCTTATATTTTGTCTCCTTATTGCCACTGACAGAGCGGACATTCCTGGAATTAGCCCTTTGGCTGAGGGGTGGTGCTCGTCAAAGTCATCTGGAAGCCTACAGTTTAAGTCCACTTTTTCAACGACTATCAGGTGCTGCATTACGTGAGGACTCATAGAAGGCAAGGAACACGCCTTTAAAAGTGCATTGTAGCCATGTTGGTCTTTTGTCTCCAAATTCCCTTTTACAAAGCAATCGAGACTTTTTTCAACGTGTCCTTTTGAAAGATCCTCTCGTTTTTCCATCTGTTTGCGTTGATTCCAAAGGTTAACAATAACTGCTGTGACCTCGTTAGTTCCCGCCATGTACAATGACAGTTTTTCGGCGTTTTGATTTCTTGAAGTGGAAATTCTACGTAGGGAACTTGTATTAAAATCGCTGTTACTTGCACCATCATACTTGCTGTTACTTGCACCATCATCAGCACTGTCCTCCCCTTGTATGGAATATATGCTTGTTTGGCTGCTAGCATTAGATGTGGTTTCTACATCTTCATCAGTTTCTTCATGTAACGTAGAAGTAGATGCCTTCTGCTTGTCCTCTTTGTTCTTTGACATTATCTCTTGACCTTGACAAGCATAAGAGGGGCTCCAAATTTTCTGGCTACTTTCACTTTTGAATTCCTTTTTCTTTTTCTTTCTCACTTGTGGCTGTTCGTTTCCCGAAGTGGCTTCATCATTTTTACTTCCTTTTCTGTTACGCTCTTCACTGCTTTTGCTCCCACTTTTCTTTTTTTTCACTTTCTTGCCACTTGACGTCTCTTCGCCGTTCTCGTTCACAACATATACATCACGCATATCATGTTGAGAAGATGTGAACGGCATCTGCTTGTCATCTTCGCTCCTCAGCATGCTCTCTTGGCCAGTATGAATAGGGTTTCTACTTTTCTGATTACTTTCAGTCTTGAGTTGCTTTTTCTTTTTTACTTTTGATTGTTCTGTTTCCGAAATGGCTTCACTGTGTTCATTCCAATTGCTGTTACTCTCTCCTCTGTCGTCCACACTTAATCTCTTTCTTTCCACTTTCCTGCCATTGGATGACTCTCCGGCTGTCCCTCCCTTTTCAAACGTTTTTTTGACACTCTGTTCGTCGCGGGTTTGGTTAATTTTCTGGCCAAAGTAATCAAAAATTTTTCGTCGCTTGCTTGGAGACTCTTCAACAATTTTTTGCTTTGCGTTAGGTGAATCATGACGTAAAGTGTGTGAGGGGAGAAAAGGTGATTTTTGACAGGTGACTTCTTCAAGGGATTTCTTGACACTCGAACATTCCTGACCAAATGGCTCTAAAGTTTCATGAAAAGGCCTTTTAAGGCATGAGATTTCATGAGGAGAACGGTTTTCAGTAAGGGATTCTGTGGTACCTGAATCTCTTCTTAACAGTGGTTGGTGGGACGATCCTACATCCACAGTTCCTTTGCTCTTTGTGCTGACAGATCCCTCTTCAGACGCTTTCGTTCTTTCTCCACTGAAGTGTTGCTGATGATCAGCAAGGATACTTTCGTCCGCTTTTGTGGCATTTTCAGAGACGTTTCTTTCAACAGCTACATTTAATTCTTCCAGAATCATGCCATCTTCTTTGGAGAAGGATGCTTCGATCACAATCCACCGTAAATGATGTCTTCTAGGGTCAGCGGCAGACAAAATGGAAAACCGACCACATCTGTCGCTCATTTCGGAAGTGAGGCAAATTCCATTGTGCGACGCTATGGTTGCCAGGGTCAACCCGGACCACCTTTCTAATGCATCTTCAGCACTCGTGATGAAAATAATCTTTTCTTGGGCTGCACAAAACGCTGAAATCAAAAGCATCATGTCTCTGGTCTTCCGATTAGCAACTGAAGCACAGAACGACACAATAAGGACTGGAACTTCATCAGTGGAACCGAGCTCCTTCCATTCGTAGTTCTGAAGGTCAAGACTGTCAATAATTTTTGTGGGGGAGAGTTGGTCCTCACAATCGTCCGGCCGATCATATCCAATCTGTCCTTTGAAGCAATTCTCATGGCCCTTAGTGTTGACAAAGCTGCGGAGGTGGTCCAAGATGATTTCCTCCTCAACAACTTTTGGCAGCTCACTAGCAAGTGGTCGTTTTTCCAGAGAGCTATCTTTTTTCCATACAAAAATAGTCGGACGTGCGAGATCCTTGATCCAGTCGTTGTATTGGACTTTGTGAAAAAGAAAGCGATTACATTTCACTACCCATAAATCAGCTTTGTCGCAATCGTCGTTGAAGCGTAAGTCTTCCCAACACGGCCATGGTCGATAAAACACTTTCTTTTTCACTGTGCTTTTGACATTCAACAAAACAGCAGCATAAACCTGGGTCTTCGCAAATGGCCTGACCGATATGGGGACACTTCTGAGAAGACCTAGAATGCCATAACTCTTGAAAGGGCTGTCACCAAACAACTTAGCGGGGCCTGTATACGTATACAGGGGAAACTGTTGTCCCTCGGGATGATCCTTTAAAGGATGTGGCTCGTATTGTATTCTTTCATCGGGTGGATTGCCCTTTCCGCTTGCAATATTCTGAAGGTAAGTAAGAGGTTTTAAGAAAGAACATCTTTCCATCTTCATCACTCCATTCTCATCTCTGACAACGCTCTGACCTGTTGTTGTTTCTTCGTCTGACCTCAACACTGCTTCGGACATCAAGGCCACATTGTCATCAATCACAAAAATGTATTCCAGCTTTAGAGCAAATGCAATTTTCTGAATAAACAGCCTCGCGTAACCCACACCTCCTTCACTCGGTCCAACTTCGCAGTTCGGTAGTTCATCTGGCAGCTGAAATATTGCAATCACCTTCCCCCAGGTAGATTTGTAGGCCTGGAACATTTCACTTCGAACCACAGCAACTTGCAGATAACGAGCTACTTGGTTTTCTTCTTGCATCACGTGATGATAGTTTAGAAGACACTTTCGCGGATCATCTCTGTGAGAGGGATGGAATATCCAATAAGACAGCGAGGTCACTCCAGGGCAGTTGAACTCGGTCCAGGACCCTTCCACTAACCTAAAACTCCTGAGATGACCTCGCAGGTAATTGTATGCTAGACTGCTGGTTGGAATTGAACAAGTGACCTCTACTGGAGCGCCATCTATGGTTACTTCAAGCGTCTCCAAAACTGGCCGCTCTCCTTGAAGTAGTCTTCCGCATTCAACACAGTTCTCAAAGTGGTACCAATGCCATGCGCGAACACCATCTGCACAATTTCTTGATAGCAATCTCTGATAATTGAGAATTGACTTGATTGGCTTCTTCTTTTCTCGTTTCATTAGGAAGAAGGGACTATCTTCGATGTCGTGAGTGTAGAAGAGCCCACCAATTGAATACTTCCCCTGTCCCACCGCTTTTTCATAAAGGCTGGGAGAGTTCTCGATCGTCTTCCAATAGGGAAATTGCCAGTTTTCATCGCTTTCCACGCTGCTTTCTATTGTATCGTCAAGGGAGTCGCATTGTTCATGGAGATAAAAGCTGCCTTCATCAAATGCGGTAGTTTGTATCAGAGGCATCTTTTCTTTTCCACGAATGTTTTGTCTAAGCTTCTTAATGAGGCAAAGATAGGTACCCGTTTTGCCGATCTGGGGTTCAGCTTGGAGAAGGATTCTGTTGCAATGTGTTTGCTTGTTGCCGTAATCATAGCGATCCTTATGAGCTTCATAGTCCAACCAACGCAGTGAAGATGATGTCTCAAATTTGCTTTTGGAGGTTGACATGTACCGATCAGCTCTGGCACAATAAATTAAGCTCATAGCTGGGGAACGTTTCAATGTTTCACCAAGCCTTTTGTAAAGCTCCCTTCCAACCAACGCATAAGGATTGTACTGATCACGTGATTCTCGGATTGACGCCTTTGCATAACGGCACATTCTTCCAAGTTCTTGAATGACAGTTGACAAAAATAGTGGTGAGCCCTCTTTGAATTCCCGACTACTGTCATAGTTTAGTCGAAGGTCAAGGCAATCAAAGCTTTGGGGAAATGTGTCCCCCTTGCGACCTTTATCAACCAGGATGAGAACACATGCCAAATTTTCCAAGTCTTCATACTGAGTGATTGACTTATGAACGTGTTGACAATTGGTACACTTCTTGCGGCCGGGGCATAGCTCAAGCTCACGGCAACGGCAGTCAAATTTAAACTGGCATTCCCTTGGCTGGAGCTTAAGGAAGAAAGGACTTGATGATTTCATCATCTGTTTCTCGATTTGGATTCCACCATAATCTCTTATGATCTCAAATGAATTCTCCAAGGACGACAGTTTCCTGGCCAATTTAAGGGTGTGGTAAAACTGATCGGCGGTTTCCATGCTTTTTGCTCGTACAATTTTCATCTTACCAGATTCCCCTTTGCCACTCTGGATTAGGCTTTCTACAAGAAATCCTGTTTCGTACTGCCGGACAACACCCTTCCAGATTTCAATCATTTTGTGGCAGTTGTTTTGTTTTAGTGACGTTTTGATCTCGTTTAGAATACCATTCATGAGGGGATCTTCCATGATCCTTTTTAGATCTTCCCGAGACAAGTGCATCAGACAGGCAACAAATTCTGTTTCTAAATTTTGATTAGAGTCCACTGTACCAGTTGATCTGTTCTGTTTTTGGGATCTTGAGAATTTTTTCACACTCTCTGTGAAAGTTTCTTTTACCTCGCCGCAACTTTCTCTCACAACCAGTTCAAAAGCTTCCTGATGAATGTACTTTGCGTTTTTCTTGAGTTCTTCTCTGAAAGAACGAACTTTTTCAATGAACTGATCAGAGGGAGATTCTCCTGTGCCATTGATAAGTGCCTGTCGGATTTTGTCATCGCTGTTGTATGTGCCAACTAGGAGAATGTAGTAGCAGTACTCCGCGCATAGCAGGGCATCTATCTTGAGGGATGATGAGTCGGGCATGCGGCGCTTGTTTTGTCTTTTTGCCGTGTCCACGATCCCTTGAAAAAACTTGTCCTGACGAATCTTTTGATCACTCTTTTTACAGCAGTTCATGGTGCTTAGATAGTAGTTTAAACTCAGGTACTGTTGTTCAACCAAGTCAACTTCTGCTGGTCCACAGTGATCAATGTAAAATTCGAATGAAACGCGACCCAAGTCGTGTTTGGCTTTCATAATAGACACACCACATTTTCTTTCAATTCTAGCTGTTTGTAACAAAACGTTGTCTTTGTCGTCGACTGCTAAATAGAGATCTCTCCTGTCACTGCAAGAAAACGCCGCAACTCCAACGCCAAAGTCCAACTTTACCTCAAACATAGCTGACTCCTGAGGGTTAACAATGGTTTCCAGCATTCCGTGCGAGTCTCCGGTCAGTGTACGGACCTTCCCTTCGTTTAAAATGGCCTTGATTGTCACGATACCTTGACTCCCCTGTACTTCAAAGTCAGTGGCATCACTTTCATTGTATACGACGCCCAGTTTCCCCTCCGTGGAAACATGAAGGTATCGCGGGTGTGGAGAACGTTCAACAGTTAATGTTGACTTGAGTTTCATTCGCATTCCCCTTTCAAAGTTCTTCAACTCTACCTCTGACCAGTGTACAACATGAAGTTCTACTTCCTTGGAAGTTGGTTTTGCAAAGTCGTGTTTTTCAATCTCAGGTTCACTTTCTAAAACCAAGAGATCACCAGCTTCGTAATGATTGTTTCGCACGGTAGAAATACTCTCGTAGAGAATTAAGCAACGGACTTCAGGAAGGCGGGAGTTCTGCGTTAAAAGGTTAAAAGGTGTTGCTGAGATTTCAACTACGACCACATTTCTGGGAGAGTTTTCCTTCCACCATTCATTGATGAACAGATTGTAAGCCGATGGTTTCTGGTCTTTGTCTTTTGTTATTCCCCAATGGCACTCATCAGCAATAATGATAAAAAGAGTTCTTGGCTTTTCTTGGACGTCTTCTCTTAGCTGCTCATAATGCATGTCAGGTTCCGCGCTGCGAACATGCATGGACATTCTCTTCTTTCCATTCCACTCTTTACGTGACTCGAGTTCTTGTTTCGATAGAACACCAGCGTCAGGGTGACAGATCCTTTTCTCGGTCTGATCGCTAAGCATCCGGTACCTTGCTGTGTAGACTGCAAACTCTACGTTGTCGAAAGCGTCGCTCAGCTTAGCGATGTTGTGGTAATGCCACATAATTGTGTCAATTCGTTTCTTCAGAATAGTTGCCATTTCTATCTGTGATGGATAATAGCATGGCTTCTCAGGATTTGCCTCTTGCACTTCGTCAATCTCTTCTTCTTCATCTGACGGATATGTATCGTCCACACAGACATCTTGGCTCTCCTCGGTTTCCTCGGCGCTCTCAAACTCCTCACCACACAACGCAATATCGGCAGCAATGTCGGAAGCAATATTCTGACTAATGAACTTCCGAATTTTCCCAAAGGGGTCTGAGTCGTTGTTAATAAAGACGTCAGCACTTAAGATAACAAAATCCCCTTCAGGTGGGAAAAGAGAAATGAAGTCTCCATTGGTACAAAATGTTGAGCACGCTTCTCGCACTCTCAATGAAACGTCGTCGTCACTGACGCTAAACCACTGTTTACGCTTCCGGTTCCATCGTCGCAACTCAGCCCACGACGTTTGCGAAGGCTCAATGAGTTCAAGAAACCTTTGAGAATCCCTATCTGAGATTGCATCGACAATTTCCGTCAAAAGGTCGACGAAAAGGGAGCCATTTATGAAATCTGGAGCTCTCCAATAATAAACTCTGTTACAGTCTCCTCCCGGCGGAGTGTTGCAGACTTTATCTTCGGAAATGGAAAAATGGACCACAATTGGGCTTGTCTCGTCTTGAATGGGATCACCTGCAAACGATTACGATCGTGTTAACATCAAGAGACTATAAAGGGGACAGAGAGGGCATCCCCCATATACACCCTATTCCATAGGTAATTCGTCTCGAGTTATTTTTAACACCACAGATCTCAAGGGGGACTAGACAACAGCCAATCACATAGCGCGAATGTGTTCCGCGCGGATGACCCACGCTGAGAGCCACGCGTCCTTCACGAAATGACGCAGAACAAAATGGGGGAAGACGCGGAGAGCGATTTTGCTATTCCTTTTGTCGACGAAAACGACTACAGCGAGATTTCTGCGAAAGCTGTGTCAGCGAAACTGAAATTAAAAAGGAATCGCCCTTCCTCTCTTGTATAGATCTAACAGTAGAGCAGGGAAATCCTTAACACACTGAATATTTTCTCAGGATCATTTATAATTTACAGTTTGAAGAGAGCAATTTCTGGTTTGATGTTTATTTTTTTCAGTCTTTATAGCGATTATTCCTACCCACTTACTTTGTCAATTGTAGGCGAACCCTCGTAAAGCTGAATTTCAAGGGACCATATTCAAGCTCAGAAAGAGAAATAAAATTTCGTCGTTGCTTATTTACGTCCTCCATAAAACGCGAAAAGAGCATTTTCACGTCGTAGTCGTGCAAAAACGGGAAAGAAATGAACAAAAAAGTGTGTTGCACGTGCGAAGTTGTTGTTTTGCTAATTAAAACTATTGTTTTTTTGACGCTCTAGTTGTCGTCCGCGTCGTTGGATCTTAAACTCCCTAAATTGTACAAGCGACCGGTTTCAATAGACCGACGAAATTTCTCATTTTATTAAAGCACTGAGGTTACGACAACTTCGAGTTAAACTGATTTCACGGGTTGTCAAAGAGTCCAGCGATTCCTTTTTCCCAGGTGAGGGCCGACTCATTTCGCTTCAATATTCAGGAATGCTCTCGATCTTTTTACGCTTTCATTGCCTCTCGCCCGACATGTTTTGCACGGCGATTGGTCATGCGAAACCTCCACGAAACATCCACGCCTCGCGCGAGGTAACTTTATCCCGATTCTAAAAATAACTCGAGACGAATTACCTACGGAATAGGGTGTATATGGGGGATGCCCTCTCTGTCCCCTTTATAGTCTCTTGATGTCATATAATCTGAAAATCTGCTGAAGTCATTGCCGATCAGTGTGAGCTTCCTTTTTATTCTCTCCAGTGAGAGTTCATTTTCTTTTTCCATCTAGAACACCCGTTTTAACTATCCATAGAAAGCTAATCCATGTCGAAGAGTGATGAACACTAAGGGCGCTTGCCAAAGTCGGAAGTGGGCGGCCAGACGGACATTTTAGTTAACAACAAAATCAATTAAGTATTTTTTTTATTTTTCGAGAGTCTGAAATATCCCTTTTTCTAAAAGTTTGAAAGTATTCTATCTTCATTCGAACAACCAAGCGATCAGGAAAAGAAGAGTGGTTTCGCAGATGACCGGTTGTGGTTCATTTGAGCATAGAGTAGAGTCGACGCTGTTTCGACACTTAGAAAACCCGTTTTCACACCAGACCAGACCAAATCCATACCCGTTTTCAGACCTAATCTTTAGGCAGAAATTATGTCATCATCTCTTAAATTAGAGCGCAAATAAAAGAAATTCTTCAAATCCATTTCGAATTCGCATATTTCTCTTTCTTTCTTACTGATTTGGAGTTGAAATGATAATTACCGTCATGCCCTCCTGTAACTCCCTCGAAAACCATACTCGATTCTAGACCAAAATGGGCAAAATCTATACCCGTTTTCGGACCAAGAAATGCGCAAAAAGAAACCATATCCTTTGGAGCGACACATACCAAAACTGAACTATATGGCTTATACAAGGGACGGTACCCCTCGGTATTTACATGAAGTTATTTATTGTCAGTATCACCTAACTATCATCCTGCAATTTGCCAATTAGTATGCTACTACTCTTCCCCTAGTAGCAATAAAGACGCTACTTTGGATGCGCATTCCCTTTTCCAAGGAATTTTTTCCAACTTTAACTTATCTGTGACGTTAGCCGATACTTATTACACAGGGGCAGAATCACGGAACTCATGGAAATATAAATATCTTCATTACGTTATCCCCCAACTTTTATTTTATAAAAATGAATTAAATTAAAGTTTGGGTAGGTATGAAAAAGTTACACTGATCCTTTAAGCTTTGTTGTCACTGAAAAACAAAGCTATGTGTTGCCAGGTCAACTGTAAAGAAGACGTGCGTGAATCAATGCAATGGTAAGATGAATTCAATAAGAAGTAAATAGCTCAGTGTGAATGAGAGAGAGGGAATGTTCAGTAACAAGGATGTAAAAATAAAGGATGAAAAAAAAACAATGAACTGAATGTGTAGACATTTTGTTTTCCTATCTTTAGTGTGGAAACAAAAACTAGATTTTAGGGTTAATTTAAAGTAACCGTTCAGGCGTAGATTATATATTTACGTTTTGAACGATAATTCATTCATTTTTTTTATCTTGTGAAATACCGAGGGACAAACATCCGAACTGTTACAGACAAAAGAGGTTGACAGGCTAAACAAGACTACCGGTGTTTCGTGATGTAATAGTACTTTGACCTTCAAAGTTTAGCTCTAACAAGTATGTCCTTTAGAGACTTCCCTCTTCTGTGGGAGATGAGAGGCGGTTCTCTGTATATTGTACTCAACAATGGGTGATTTTCAATCAAATGCCACTTGTCCATTAATTAGAACCTTTTTAAGACTAGCCACTGAGGGGTTGTACTGTGTAACAAAAGGCCTTAGTTTGTTCTTTTCTCCTTGCAGTTTTTGCTGAAGTGCCGACTCTCTATCCGTAAATTTAACTTCTGCGAGGACGTTAATTACCAGATTATCTGGATATCCTCGGATACGCAAGTGTGACTTGAGGTTGTTAATGCTTTCTGCAAATAATTTTTTTGAAGAGTTGGTTCTCAAAAGTCTAAATGCTTTGCCTTTAGTAAATCCTTTTTTCACGTCCGGAGCGTGCCAGGAATTGAAATGCGTGTATTGAAATGTCTCTGTCGGCTTAAAATGCGTACGGGTGTCAAGGATAACGTCTTCGTAAAATCTCTCGCCCTTAAAGACAGTGGTGTCCAGGAAAGGTATTTCCTTCTCTGAAATTTCAGCCGTAAATCTTATCGTAGGATGATGAGTGTTTGCTTCTAAAACAAACTGATTTATCGTCTCCCTTCCTTTTTCCCACAGGGAGAAAACATCGTCAATGCATCTTTTTCACCCGAGGGGTTTAGTTTTGCTTTTACTGATAATTTCTGTTTCACTTCTGGACATAAAAATGTTCGCAAAGGCCACTGCCACGAAATAACCTGCCTTTCAGAGAACGTATAGCACTTAAAGAACTCAGATCTAACACAGAAATAATAATAAAAAAGGCAGACAAGGGCACCACAACGGTCATAATGAACAAAAATGATAAAATACAAGAGGGCCAGGTTCAGCTTGATGACAGGCAAAACTACACGCTCCTCGAAGCACCAATGGCACAAGAGACCTCTCAAAAGGTCCAAGAAATAATCAATAATCTCCATGAAGGAGGTCATATTGACACAATGACCAAGAAATGGCTTTCACAAACACCTTGCCTACCGCGCATACCACTTTTCTACACGTTAACCAAGTTTCACAAACCAACTCTAATTGGAAGACCTATAAATTCGGGCTGCGACGCTGCCCAACAGAGCGAATATCATCATTCTTAGACCACATTCTTCAGCCGATCGCTAAAGCACAAAAATCCTACCTCAAAGGTTCTCAAAGATACCACACAATTTATTAACTTTATAGAGGAGAGCAAAGTTCCTGACAACGCGATCCTAGTTTCAATGGATATTACTACAGTAGTCTTTACACAAATATTCCTTAATATAAACACCGTATGCCAAGCACACGAACTTCTGCGGTTGTTTTCAATTTCCATAGAAGGCTCTGCAAAAATAAGCTTTATAATTGGTTACAATAATAATCTCATTGAAACTTAAGGCTTAGTGAATTCCAGGTCATTCCTCACAGGGATGAACATTTGTTGGGCATATATAGGTTTGTGTATTAGCTTGTACTCCCGGGATAGAAGCTAGGCCTCCGGCGTTTTATTTCTTTCCCCGTTCCTATTTTTTGCTCGCTCTCGCGCGCCTCCCGCGCTTTTATCACTTGGTTAAAACTATAGACAGAAATGATTTCTACTCGTCCTACCTAAGAAGATACCTTCATGGTCAGTCACGCTTTCCATCCACCGAGAAGCGTTGCACTTTGATTCTAAGGAGCTCCGGGCCTTTAAAGAATCTTCTGTTGCAAGAAAATAGAGAAAAAATGCTATTGCGGGATTATGCTTGTATAACTATAATCAAATATGTGATGTGCTGCAAATAAAGACTATGACCGAAAGGTATGACGACCGCTCTCCACAGACCATTCCGCTGAAATTACCTCAGCACTTACAACAGTTGTCATTGTAAACAGCCAAGATGGCAACCTGATTTAGCTGGATTTTTGCACTTAAATGCTCTTTCACTTGTATTAAATGTTTCGAAAAACAAAATTTTGACCAGTTACTATCCATTTTATTTGCTCATTATGTATCGGTCAAATCGAAGCTTCAACATCCCCCCCGGGCATACCCCGGGCATTTGACACCTTTGCAGTCCCGGGGAGAAGGGAATTTGATTATCAGAGTCTTCCAGGGGGTGGGAAATTTGATCCCCATGCGTTAGGGGTGGGGGATTTGAACTGCACCCTCGATTTCATGTGAAATCTCTGGCGTGGTGAGCTATCATGGGGGACGCGGTGTTAGAGGATTTTCGTGGAAAAGATTGTGCCTCTGTGGCCAATTGGTTACGAGGAAAGGGCTTAAACAAGCTTTGTGCCGTATTTGAAGGCATTTACACTTTAACATTTTTAATATTGGATTCAGGATTTGAATATATGAATGTATTAAGAAATACAATACCTATTACCGACGATTCAATAAAACAATAGAAAGCTCAACTGTCATTTATGTGCCTGTGAAATGTCCCCAGGGTGGGGACATTTGATCACCAGGAACGGACCCTAGTGTGGGGCATTTGAACGGCATTTTGGCCCGGGTAGGGGGAAATTTGAACAATAATTTTCAAAAAAGTCAAATGCCCGGGGGGGTTGGGGGGAGATGTTGAACCTTCGATGTGACCGATACATTACTGATATTTGATACAGAAATAAAAATTGTTCCATAAAACTTATTAAGCAAAAATACATGTTCCCCAAAAAAGCTCTACTGAGACTGCTCCACTCACCTGAGTTTTCAAAGAAAGATTTCTTACAAATCAAGTAGTTTTCTTCTTCTATAGTTGTCTTCAACCTGACATTGTCCATCCCGAGCTTTCTCTTGAGTTCATCAGTCACTAGGAACCTTTCAACGATGTCATTAAGGTAACCAGAACAGTAATCATTCCACAGACTTTCAAGACTCTCCAGAGTGAGGCACTGCACAGTTATTATCAAAGATCCTGATTTTACCATCATTACGGCCACTTCATAAGCCTTTTCGATATACTCAGTAAGGCGGGCTACACTACTATCAACTGGCAACGACGAAAGATCTTGGTGTCTTCGATACTTATGAACCGACCGTTCTAATTCCTCTTTTAATATTCTTTGTTGTGCAACAGTTAAATCGTGGGTATTCAAAGAAATTAGAACTTCGATCAAGGCAGTAATAACAACAGAGTCTGAAAATCAATAAGAGGAAAGTTACATGTTTTTAAAACTATAGCAAAACATTCAGTATGCACAATAACTTAACACTTATTTATTTACCTACTTACACAAATTTACGTTGTTAATATTATCTTTACTGTTACGTGAGAGGTTCCTTCCTCAGGGAAGATGCACCTTCATGCCTAGCTATCATGGAGGACACATGCTTTTTTAAAAAAGGGTTCCGCTCTCCTCACTTGAAGTACCTGAATTTAAGAGACGGCTCTCATCATTTCTGAATGTCTACTCAGGCGACTCAACCATAACCAAAGAGGTTTAAAAACCTCATCCACAAAGAGCCCCCACAAGGGCACTTAGTTCGGGCGTTATCACAGATTCACAATTTATTAGCTGCATACTTGAATGTCAATAGAATGTTAACGTTTATAGCAATTCGATGTAAGATACAATTTGCAAAATTACAAAACCTGTTCGCACATGTTTTTGAAAATATTTGTCGCTAAGATATTTTAAGTGGGATAATGGAGACAGGACTTCAACCACATTAGGAGATCGCTCTTTTGCTGTTGCTGCTCCCAAACTTTGGCATTTGGTTTTTTTCGCGATATGGAGAAGCCCCTAAGTTGTCATTTTTTAATAAGGTACTCAAGACAATTCATTCCAGAAAGCCCTTACACTGTATGTAATAAGATGCAATTTCATTACTCCTTTTTGGTAGGTTTTATTCAGTTTGCACAGTTAAAGTACCCAAAGTAATTTTTATAATTTTAGTGTTTGATATATTTATATTTTTTGTATATTTATAAATTTATTTATTTATTATTTATTCAAAATAATTTTTTATAACCGCTGAAGAAAATGGCGAGTATCAAGCGACTATTGATACCGGCACTATAGTTTATTATCATCAATAATACACTTCTATAGTACGACCATAAACGGTAACAAGTCCTGTAGGAAAAAGTACCTTTGAATAATCTAACAATCACTTCCCCCTTTAAAAACAGTAGTGTACTGATGAGTAATAGCAAGAAAAACAAGTCATGTTTTTGCGTACCTGGATTACAAGCGAATTCTGACATTTTACGCTTACGGCTATTTTGAGACTGAGAGTCTGTATTCGTGGATATTTTAGTTGGATTTCCTGATCCAGCATCAGCTTTCGTTACACAGTCAGAACTACGCGGAAGGGACGTTTCTGAAACAAGCTGCTCGTCGTGATAAGAGTTTGTTCTTTGGTTGTTTTCAATTTCTATAGAAGGCTCTGCAAAAATAAGCTTTGGTTACAATTATAATCTCTTTGAATTCTAGGTGTGCCCATTCCTTCCTGGGGCAGAAATTTGTTAGCCATAATAATTACACAGAAATCACAAAAGAGCAACTCCAAATTCGTTAAAGATCAGTGAAATGTTTCTCACGATTCCCTCGTACATGTAAGTTCTTTGTCAGCGAGCTCATTTGGTAAAATAAAAGCACTTTTCTAGGTATAATCATCCTCATATTCTTCGCATGTGCTCTAAGTCATTGTAGAGTGATGACAGGCTACTATGTGACATTGAAATATCAGGAAAAACCCAGACCTATTGAAGTGCCTGAAAAGTGTTTGCAACTTTAAAGTGACTCGATTCTACCAAATTTTGCTTTGCAAACAACATAATTGGACTTCAGGGCCCGGTTTCTGAAATGCCGATTAGCGCTATTCCAGGATTAAAATTTTGTTCCGTTTTTGTATTTATCCTTCCTATATTTTGCTTAGAGTAACATTTCGTGTTATCATTACTGTATCTCTGAGTAAAGGCTCAACAGTCTTTTGTTAGCTCAAGTTGCATGTTCTGAGCCAAGAAAACCTTGTTTAAGATTTGGCTTAATCCTGGGTTAAACTTAACCATCTTTCGAGGAACCGGGCCCAGGCACTTATTCAATTGCGATTATATTAGGTTGTGTATTCCTAGGATAGAAGCTCAGCGGCCGGCGTTTTCTCTCTCTCCCCCTGTCTCTATTTTTTGCTCTCTCGCGCGCTTCTCACACTTGGTTAAAAATAGACAGAAATGATTTCTACGCGTGCTGTCTACGAAGGTACCTTCATGGTCGTCAGTCATGCTTTCCATCCTCAGAAAAGCGTTGCACTTTGTTTCGAAGGAGCTCCGGGCCTTTGGAGAATCTTCTGTTGCAACAAAATGGAGAAAACATGCTATTGCAGGGATTATGTGTGTATAACTATAAAGATAAATGTGAAGTGCTGCAGATAAAGACTATGACCGAAGGGTATGACGACCGCTCTCCGTAGTACTCAACATTCAACTTGAGCGGCTAACATTAGGTTGTAGCACCCAACTTTCAACTTCTCAACATTTAACATGATCACGCATTCTTGAAAATTGAGCGCGAAGCATTGTACTAAAATACACAACATCTAGCCTGCGTAGCAAGCGTTTCCGTTTGGTTTCGGAATAAAGAAAGACCGAGGTACGGGATTCTCGGTTTTGGCCGCGCGAGAAATGAAACAAGAGCCAAAAAATGAAAGTGGCTCTTTAACTTGCACTATTTTTCGCACGGTCTTTGACTCTCGTTCCTCGTTCTTTGCTCCTAAACCGCACGGAAACGCTTGCTACACAGGCTACACAACATGTAAGTTGTGCAACCAACATTCAACTTGAGAAACCAAAAACCAACTTTGCAATTTCAGTATTCAGTGCTCGGCGTTAGATATAAATCTGATCATCTTTTTTTGTAGTCAGATGTTGAAAAGATATTGAACTCGTATCAGACGCGATGGGTACATTTAGGCGGAAATTTTACGCTGTCCGCACAACGAGGTCAAGATTTCGCATTGTTAGCCGCTCAAGTTGAATGTTGAGTACCAAAGTTGATTTTTGACGGGGATCAAACACCATACTCCACAGACCATTCTGCTGAAAGCAATGTACCTGAAGAAATTATAAGCGTAATATCATAGGTGACGAATTACTCCTTAATTTTGGCGCGCAATTTCAGCGTTAATTTGTAACTTCACATGTGAAATTACTAAATTGCCATGGCAACTTGCCGTACGTCTCAGTGTCAAGATGGCGACGAAGTTTTGAAATGTCATGAATGAAGATGTCAGGGGATAAAAAGACGCTTTCGAAAACCTGAACACACGAAAGAGCACATCAAGAAGGATTCTTAGAGGTATGTTGTCGAAAAATTCTGAAAACTTAAGCCAAATTTCAGCTCGAAACGTTTGAGAGAGTGGAGTCACGATCGATCGATACGATCCAGCATAAATAAGTCAAAAATCCTCGACTGCTAACGTAATTCGTCACCCATGATATTAATAGGTAATCAAATGGTATACTCGTGAAATTAGGGAATAATTTCACGCGTGTTTTGTCCTAAAGGCTCGGGAAATTATTAGGCTTTGGACAAAACGCGCGTGAAATTATTCCCTAATTTCACTCGTCACCATTTGATTACACATACTTACAGTTTTGATGTTTTGAGAGTAAGGTTCAGATAGGTATCCGCAAACATTTTTATCAAGACTTCAGGGCAAAACTTCGTTGTAAGCGATCCTATTTTTGTTTCTTTTCATTTCTCTCTCTATTGTTACCTGATAATGCAGTGCCGTAGCAAGGTTAGAATTTTTTTTTTTTTTTTTTTTTTGGGGGGGGGGGGCAATCACGAGTGCCGAAGGCTTTTATAGTTGCTAGGGGGGTCCTGGGGCATGCTCCCCCGGAAGATTTTGAAATATAGTTCCAAGCAATTTTTAACCGTTGAAGCCATAAATAAATAACTTTCACGCTAACGGCTTTATCGAACCGAAATAAACACATTGAACCAAAGACGACTCAAAGAGCAGCATGAAGAGCGTGGCTGCTGACCAAATTAAACATTCCTGTCAAAATTATTGCCCCCCCCCCCCCTCCCCATGCTACGGCACTATAATGTGCCACTGAAGAAAATATAGATGACATTCCCACCGTGAGTCAGGCTGATCATCTTGTCAACTAACTCCTTTATCTGTTTGGCCCAGTTGTATTTCCTGCTATAGGAATCACGCAAGTTCACCGCTTCCTCAAGTCGACATTCCCTGTCCTTGTTCCAGATCTTTTCAATGGCTGCGGTCCACACTGTGGGGTCCTCTGACTCAATCACAAATGCTGAACCAAAAGCTGCACTGCGCAGTGCTTCTCCAAAGCCAGAGTTGCGACTGACAAGCACAGGGAGACCAGCCGACATTGCCTCGAGTCCTGTTAAACCAAATCCCTCTGTTCTTGAAGGCATGACTGCAAGATCCGCTTGTTGCAATAAGCGCTTGAAACTCTCTCGGTCTCGATCAAATCCTTTTACGTTCAATCGACTTGCAGGAACACCATACTCCATTAACCGCTTCGCAATTTCTTCGCGTTTTCCATCCGGTGCCCCAACAAAAACAAGACGAGTATCCTGTAATGCAGCAATCGCTTTCCCAGCGATGTCAAATCCCTCTAATTCAAAATCTTCTACGGCTCCACGACCAAACACCAAGACTCTGCGTTGCTGCCTATCGCTTCGGCTGACTTGCTTTACAGTCTCAAACTCTTCAAATACTCCAGGAGTGAGTTCAAAGACATTACCATCTTTATTACAACCAGAAAGATATGAGCGAAAGGCCTCGCTCAACTTGGGTCCAACTCCTACAACATGATCAGCCATTTCACACAGTCCTACTTCGTTCTTGTGCTTTTCTTCACCCTTTGAAATTGGGCAGGAAGAGCTTTTAAACATCCCTCGTTCCTCAGGGTCTGTGTGCACCACTTGAACCCATTTGCACGTTTTATATTTCTTAATGATCTGCGCTTGTTTACCAAGTTTAACTCCATGACCAACAACTATGTCGATTTCCAAATCGTCTGGTGGAAAGCAAAGCCAATCAAGCTGTTCAAAACAACAAAGTGGCGTTGCCTCTACGATCTTTACTTTGTGGTCAAGGGCTACGTTTTTGTCCTCTTGACTGCATTTTGGTAAAAAGAAAGTTATTTCCAATTCAGGGAACTTGGCTAACTGAATGGCTAATTCTCTGTTAATGGTAGAAAGCCCCCTGTTACTTGGTCCCCATTCAGATGCCAAAATAGTGACTTTCACTTTGCGAGATCCATGCACTCGGTCATCATGCGTTTGAGCTTTCTGTAAAGGTGATGCCATGATCAAACATCAAAGTCGTCCAACATCTAAAATAAAAATTAATAGTAAAGCCTCAATTACAACTACTACAATGGACAATAGAGAAACTCCTACAATCATTATGGAAAAAAAAAGAGAATCAATTACAGCTATACTGGAAAACGGAAAAACGTTTCACTGGGTGATAAAACCCAGGTAAAATGTCTCACTGGGCGGTACCGATTGACTTCTATCGGTCTAAACAACCTTTTAGAACATGAAAAGTAGAAGTTCACATGACCAGAAAATGCATTTTCTAACCGCTGGTGCTTTTTACTAGCCTGGACTTTTCTAGTCGCGTCGCTTGGCTTGTTTACTTGGCACGTTTACATTCGTATTGCGTGCCTATTGCAACTTTGAATCAAAACAAGCTACCTCCATTACTCTATTTGGGCGACGCCCAAATAATAAGGTACGTAACTTGACGTCACATGGGAGATCAAATATTCCAGAACTGCTTACGTTACGCTGTCTTGACTTTCCTTTAACTTTATTTGGCGATCGAATAGAATCCGTACAGTAAAAATTCTCTGCACAACACCGGGATTTTTCATATCCCATCATGCCCCTAGGTCTCAGCCTCAGGCTTCTACGTCCTACACCAGGAGCCTGCCTACACTTATGAACGTGTGTAGTCAATGACATAGTTTTTCGCAAGTTCTTAATCACATATCGAAAGTCATTTACAATTGGATGCTAGCGATTAAGACCCTTTCCCTCCCAAAAGTGAAAAACTCAAAATTAAACTAGCTTGTCCCAGGCGTTCAGATCGTGGGAACGGGGCAAAGAAAAGTTTCTTTGTCTCCCCCCTTTTTTTTCATCTGCCCTCCATCCGCTCTCCAGTTCACGCCTCTCTCCACTATCTGAACGTCTGGAACAGTCTATTACTAAATAACACGTCGTGGGGGGAGGGGGGGAGGTATCGCTGAACAGGGAATGGATTTTTAAACAGGGTATACAATTTGACTATTTAGCGTCGTGAAAAGGGTGTCTTTGTGGACTGTAAAAGAACGTAAAGGTGAGCTATGAGTGGTCTAAATTTGTAGTAATTTCATAAAGGTAGTTTAACAAATCTCATTACTGAATAACGGTCTTAAGAGGCGATCCTAAACTTTTGCCCACTTTTCTACAAAAAGGTCATACTATAAACTGCTGCTTATAAGCCCCCCCCCCCTCAGTTATAGGTCCATCTGACTTGTAATCAAAAAATACATCCGATTGTGAGCGCCCCCTCCTTCCCAGATATAAACTCCACCTTCTAACTTTCCTTGAAATAAATTTGATTTATTATTCAATCGGCGTACTTTGATCAGCTCTGCTATAGTTTGTTCGAAGCGCTTTTTCTATTGCGGTTGTCTTAAAGCCCCCTCGGAAATCAGCCCCTCCGTTTGGGATGATAGATGACATCATAACGCACGGCACATGATGTCATTTGTGCAAAAAATACTCGTTCACTCCGATCGTAACGATTTTGCGAAAAAGATGTTGTTGTTGTTGTTGACTAATATTTGGGTATAAGTGAGCCGCTGGGGGTTTGAAACCTGACCCAGTTTAGGATAAAAAATCCTTCAATACGTGCCCTGTTTAGCACAACACTCTCAATTTAATTACATCGTTTAGGACAAAGGACAGAATCCATGCCGTCTTGTTTTAAAGCCATTTATTGGCAATTGCAATTGAGCAATTGCAATCACTTTTGTATACTTGCAGTGCAAACAAATTTCATCAAGCAAATCAGATCAATCGTGCAAGTAATACCCTGTTTATAATTAGGACAGACTCGCACAAAATTATTTACCCTCTTTATTTGTATTAGTGTAAAACAGTTACCAACTTTCTGTTTTTTACTTTGGACTTTTTACTTCTTCATCCTCACATACATTTATTCACAGACGAACTATTTTCGGCGGGTGTGATGAGCTTGCGCGCGCACATCACGAAAGCAAAGACATCCCCCCTCTTAACCAAAAAAAATAATAATAATAATCCCCCCAACCACCCAGTATTGATGAGGAAAGTAAAATATGGGCAGTATGATGAAATAGTGCAGACTAATGTTTAAAATAAAACTAAAAACAAAAGGTAAACAACGTTTCACAGATGTTAGTATTTCTCGTATAAAGTGTAAATTAAAGGAAAGTTGTAAGAGATTAAAGCTAGCTGTGCCTCATCCCTAGATAGGTTAAATTTGGAACCTAGACTAGAAAAGAACAAGCCCAAGTGAAAGAAACAAACAAAAAAAGCCAACAAAAAGGCAGATGAAAAGTTACACAACCGGTGCTAACAGGTATTGAATGGCCTGATCAGTTAAGCACAAAAAGAAAAGGGAATTGCAAGTCAGCCAACCTCTGAAGAAAGGCCTAGATACTTAAATACATTCAGTGATATACAAATCTCTCCAAAAGAGAACATTGAAGTTAATTCACTCTTTTTTAATTATTACGGCCAAATTACCAGCTACTAGAGCATTGCATCACCAAGAGAAAAAAAAATGAATTAAAAATTTGTTATGCATCAGATCAAATTTACCTTGGTTCAGGATTATTTTCTTTTTGCCGGGGAATGGTAAGGACTGCGAAAATGGGTTTTACATAAGAAAAATCTAATTTGAGATCAGTGCCACTTTGCCTACTCCATGTATATCTCAAGCATGTTAAGGCATGACCCAAAGCCTATTTTGCATAAATGCTGCAAAGGGTCATAATTTTAAGAAAATTTAAGTAAACATGATGAATCTTGGTAATAATTAACATATAACTTGACACCCTAAAGTTAGTGTTCTGTTGAAAAGGGGAATTTTTGGGGCCACGTGACCTGTTATAGCAGTTTTCTTACGCGAAGAGAAAAGTGAAAATGGGCCACGAGATGACATGCAATTATGGGTATATGTTAAAACAACAACGTAATTGTCTGGTTTCTCCACTTAAGAATTTGTCGAGAACGGATGACTACCATTTACCGTTAAAGAGCAATTTTAAAAATTAGGTCATGTGACCATTTTATTCTTCTAATAACTTCTTAATGAAAAGAGATTTTTCTCCGTTCTGGACAGAATTTGAATCTATGCACCAAGTCAATGAATACTGCATGGTTCTTTGCCCGCCACAGTTAAACACCATTGGCCCATTTCATTTTCCTCTTTTTCTTTCATCATGACGTCAACAAACACATGACCACAGTTAAAAAAACCCTTAAAATGTTAAGGATGTTGAATTATTTCTGCTTCGTACTTCAAATGGGGAAAGGAGCTAAAATAACACTACTTCTATTAAGGAAGCTAATTTCTTCGTGGGGGTCTAAGATCAGTGAAAGGGCCATGCCTTAACATGCTTGAAACGGAAATCTTCAGGTTCTGCACTGAAAACTATGTAGTCTAAGCATATTCTCAACCAGCTACCAATTGTGGCTTAATAGAAGGATCGCCTCATAGTCCTTGTTCGATATCCTTTAATGACACCGCAATCGTAAGAAATTTCTGTCCTAAGAAATTCCATTCTTCATGTAAACCAAAGAAGCTTTCTAAAGATTTGCCAGCAACTTGATGGGAATTTGCATATGATCACTTTTGATTATAGAACCGTGCTCGACCTGTACAGTCAAGCATATCATTGATATGATGACATGACAGCGTAACTGCAGAGCCAACAAACCAAATATTAGTGATCATTTAAACTCCTTCTAAGCTGTGAAAGTTGATAATGATGATGATGATAATGAAAACAATCTGCAGTGACGTTATAAATAAAGGCGGAATAAAAGTAAAGGTGGTAATGCTAATGTAGATATGAATAGAGCAGCTGGTTACTACAAAAAGTAAAAGACATTGTAGTTTAGTGTATTAATAATAAAAACATCCTTCAATGAACTAGAATATATGGAACTACACAAGTGGTTTGTCAATAATGATAAACAGCTAATAATCCTCAAATGTGAGGGGTAGGCTGCACGCGTTAAATGTAAATGTTACAAATAGGTTTACTTAATCTTTCAATGGCATCTAAAATAATTGGCCTCCCCCAACTTCCGGCCTTTACAAACTTTACCATCCCCACCTTTGCCTTCAAAAAACTTCAAGATCCCCCCCAAAATCCTCTGCCCCCCACCCCACACCCCCCTGTGGTATACATAATGAATGCAACCCTATGGCTGCCCAATAGTGTAGAGTTCAGGTCAAGAATGCACATGACAACTCCACCTAAAGAATAGTACGAAGGAAAACCAGTAAAAAAAAAATATGACAATTGTACTATTTCTAAATAAATTGGTCATTTTTCTATTTCATCATTTCAGCATTTCGTATTTTAAACACGCCAAACCCTTTACAAAGATGTATAAGCCAGAAAGAAAAGCATTCTGCCATCTTCTTCAAGAACTCCCTGGTATTTCAAATCCATTTCCCAAAAATTTCTTGCAAGTTGCCCAAATTTTTACAAAACAGTCGAAAAGAAACTAGGGCCATACCATGCAACAACATAGGCCATACTGGCAGATGAAAGTGGCTCCATACAGTTTTTCAGGGTCAATACCGGCCAAGTTTGAGCATAAACTACGTTGCCATAAATGAACATTTGAAAAAATTGCCACCACAAATGTATGAGATAAAGAGGAAAATTTGTCATGATCAGGGTTGCAGTGACATCAGAGTTGTCATAGCAATGAAATGACGCCTAACCTATTATACTTGCAGCAATATTTCTCATCGGGAACTGTTCTTAGTTTACAAAATCGTTCAGGGGAGCTCTTTCCTCCAATAGTTGCCTCGATATTCATGAAGTTAAAACGGAACTGTATGAGAGTGTTATCGAAATATTTGTCAATAAAGAAATGTTAAAAAAATAATAATAAAAATAAAGAAAGAGAGAAAGAAAGAAAAAAATAAAAAATAAAAAAATAAAAATAAATAAATAAAGTGATATTTTGGGATGAAGTTTTTATTGTTAGAAATATGGTAAAAAAGGAAAATCTTGATGTTTAGTTGTTATCTGAAGAAAACGAAGCCCATTTGACATGCAATTTCACCTCATAGTTAAGTTTCAATCTTTTTTAAAAACGTGTGTGAAAGATCATGGAGATAGTTCTGGCCAATTGCAATAAAGAAGGATTTGATTAGTATGATGGCGCTCTTTTTAGGGGTTTTGTAAACATTTCGGTCTACCTTAACCAATTAGTGAATAACTTTTAAACCACTCATTAGATTTTTTTAAAAAATTAAGATTCTTTTCGTAATTCCAACTGAGAATTAGTCGGTCACTTCTTCACTTTCAGACCCATTGCTGATGCTATCTGCCATACACTGTTCTAGGAGTGGAGGTGATTCTAGAAAGTTATGCGGAAGTTTATTCTAATCAATTGACGACTGGAAATAGCCCATTCCAGCTAGTGCAGTGCAGTACAGTGACCAACAATAAAAAAAAATCAGCATATGATACCCTTCCCTTATAACCAGAAACTCATCATGACTGCTAGGCAACCACTGTCTCGTGTGAATGTAACTCAATTAGTACGCCGACTTCAGGTTAAGTAGAAAATATTTATCTCTTCAAAATAATAATAATAATAAAAAACATGGAAACGTCTTTAAAAACTGGCTTTGCCCAAATTTTCTCTAGCTGCCAAAAAATCTGAGTTGCTCAAACTTTGGGGGAGCTGCAGCCCCCTCGCCCCCCCATCCCCCCCGGCCCGTACGCCTATGTTTCAAAGCAGACCGAGTCACACAGAGGCAAAAGAACTAACGGCGATTTCATCCTATTGACTGACTGTACGAATGTCGCTCACGTTCCCCTATTCGCCTAGCAAAACGACTAAAATAAGATGGAATACTTTCTGGAGGTTACAGCGAGGCGTTTCATAGAAAATCAGTGTAATTTTCTGACTACCAGGCCAGCATTCTACTCCTGGCTGGGTATTACTGCGATTTGAATATCAAACACTCCGTAAACAAACGACAAAAAACGGGGACCTCAATTGATTTCATATCTTGAAACTATTGCTCAGTTAAAAGGAAGAAAACAAAACGTTCGACACATACTCAATGAAGTTATGAATAGAAGAAATCATACATCCACTGGTTCCGCACGGAAATTCATATATTTAAGGGAATTGACAGACGCGAAGATAAAGAATGATTATCACGCATTTACGACTTGTTTCACTGTGTGAATACAACTTTGAGTACAAATGCCTCGTAGCGTTAATGAATTAAAGTTGCAAAGTGTTTAAGACCTTAAAATCAGAAAAGACTAACCTTTTTCCACGGCAAAAAGACACCCAAACAGCAATTCAGCGGAGGTAAAAGAAAGAAGAAAGTCTTATATTTCGGTCCTTTGGCTCACTGTGCCAACTCCGAGACCCGGGGGGGGGGTACTCCCATACATTGCCAAAACGGGTATGTGCCGCCCATCGGGGTCGTGATTTTAGAACGGGGTATCTATTTCAGAGGCGTTTTCTAGAGAGGGGTATAATATTTCGAACGCACGAAAGCTCCAGTTTTGTGAGCAGCCATTTGAAATTATTTACAAACTGTTGTACTCTTGTTGCACCCTGTGTTTTAGCGTGCAGGGCGGGCGTATTTTGGCGCGAGCCCCGAGCGCTGACTCCGTCATCTTAGATAAATAGGCACGGGGAAGTCTGGAACGAGTCCATAATGTACCCGAGGGTTGACCCGAGAGAGATGGAGATGGGCTCAAAAGAAAGGGACGGGGGAGGAGAAGGTAAATCGTTAGCTTACGAGCGTGGTTCTGTGCGTAGTGAGAGATTTTCCGTCATAATTAACCGCATTGTATCCACATACGCAAGAAACGTACTCCGGATGATTATGAAGAAGCATTTACTTGATGTATAAGTAGAACAAATAAAGAAATATCTTTTTAAAAAACAGGGCTATTTCAATTTCTAGAACAGAGTATAAAAAATTGGCCCATTTCGAGAACGGGGTATCAGTTTTAGGGGGAAGTTTTTTTAGAACGGGGTGCCAATTTGGAGTCCCGGGCGGCACATACCTAGCCAAAAAACACCCAAGTGCGCCACCCCCCCCCCCCCCTTTGTCCGCGTGAAGTCTGGGAAAGAGCGACAGAGCCGAGAATGCCTAGGGACTAGGCTGGGTGTTTTGGTGTGATCTGGGCACAGGCGGCCCAAGCTCATTACATGAACGCGGACGTGACTCTTGCTTGCGAGCGGTGTTGCGTTACAAACGGTTATTTAAAAAGGTTTGTATGGGATGTAAACGGTTTTTCTTCAAAGAGAGAAAAAATGTTATGTTTTTAAATAAAATCAACTTACCTTATTGCTTTGTTGTATTCTTTATTGTTTGCTCGCGTCTCAGGCCGTTTTGAAGCGTTTTCGGCAAGTTAGCGCTATTTTGGTGTTCCACTAGCTTTTAGCGGTACTAAAACTCAGTCACTTCAAAATACCCGGTCACTTATCAGAATGCTTTAGAGAACAAGGCATAACAAAGCTTACAAAGTCTTCTATTTGAACGCCACTCCAGGCCTATTCCACCAATTTACTCCCAGAAATGGTAGTTTCGAAAACGAAGACCGAAGCATGAAGCACCCAAATCTCGAAAACCAAGCGCCCAAATCTCGAAAACTGAGCACCCAAATCTTGATACGAGCTTCGTTCCGCTTAATGGAGGTTGCACTGTATAACTTACAGCAGGAAAATGATAAGGATAACTGCAATTAGTAAAGTCCAGGGCTTTCGGCCTCATGGGCTATTGACTCAGAGCCCACTCGGGCTCGAGGAATAATTGTTAATTAGTCATGTATAGAAGTGGCTAGAAAAAGACTTTCATAGAGTAATTAATTTAGCTTCATGTTATGCAGGCAACTCAAGTCAAAAGTTGGTTACTGTACCTGCCATAAAAATTCAAAACAAGTCATGACCTCAGTGGGGCAGCCTCATGCAGGGCTTCCACAGAAGTGTCCTGTTTTTTCTCTGAGCTGATCTTTGTATCTTGATTATATCGTTCTAAATTATTATGCAAAAGTTTATTTCTGGGAGTTAATAGTTAAAATTATTCCTTTTTTGATCATTACATATATCAGGGCTGTCACTGAGGGCTGGCATCTGGGGATTTCCCATGGCTTCTATGAGCATGACTATCTGAATTTGAGGATTAAGTAATGTGACACACTTTGTGAGTTAAAGCCTACCTCTCAGAATCACTTCATGTATTTGGAAGAACGACTCCCGGCTAGTTTCATTAGAAACAAAAGGAAAAATTATAGAGCCCATGGAAATTCCTGGCTGTTAAATATTATTGGCAAAATGTATGTCAGTTCATCATCATTTGCCCAGTATCTACTTAAAAAAGAAGTGATTTTAAAACATCTGGCTATAAAAAAAACTGTGATAAAACTTTTCTTATAAACATTATGAGAAATTTTAAAAGAAAGTTTTAAAAGATGATGATCCTGCGACAGTCTCTGAAGTGTTCAAGTCAAAGTAGCTTATGCATGTTCTATAAATGGATGAAAAACAGTACATCATTGAAAAGAAAAGTAACATATTTAATATGTTACAAGTTAAACAAAGAGGTTCACACTAATGGAGTCACTGTGTGTCTTGAGACTGGGCCTTTGTTCTTTGATGCATAATGTCTCGTAAATGAGGCAGTTATCTGCTCACAGCATTATAACTACATATTTGTAACCTCTAGTTTATTTATGATAGGAGCAGTGTCATTGGCCGGTTCACAAGGAGGTTTGTGGTCAGTTGAAGGCGGAAACTGGAGAGTCTGTGGTTTGCTTTCCAGCTCCAAAGCAACAGTGTACAAGAATACCAAGATAACAGAAGTAGTAAAAACAACAATGGCGGTACTGAAAGGCCTGTCTACACATTAAAAGGTGATGGCAACATTCCAGACAGACGATACGACATTGTGATTATTGCTGCCCCATTAGAAATTAGTAGCTATTTCTTTGATTGTAAAGGCTGCAGAAACTGGCCCTCTCCTAAAGAACTGGGTGAATTCTGGCGCACAGAAGCAACGTTTGTGCACGGCCATGTCAACTTGACACATTTTGGGTTTGGAACTGAATATGACATCCCAGAAGTGATTGGCACAACAGAGACCCCCTAAAAATTATTTTAACAGCATTGGCAAGCAACACCCTGTTGAAAACAGGACTGAGGAGGATCCAAAGGGGAAACCCATTTGGAAAGTGTTTTCACGATCAGATCTCACTGATTCTCAACTTAATGAACTGTTCAGTAGTGTGAATGAGGTCAAAGTAATGTCATGGCTGACGTATCCACATCTTTACACCCCCTGAGAAATTTTGGTCATTTGTTCTGGATGATGGTGTCTTCTACATCAACGCCATTGAGCATTCCGCCAGTGCAATGGAAATGTCAGCAGTGAGTGCGAAGAATGCAGCTTTGTTAGCACATCAGTATTATACAGGGAAAACACCTAATGTCCCCCAAGAAAACAGGTCTTCTAATAGAGGGGGGTGAATAGGGGTATGCAAATCCGCCGATCCGTTATGATTTATTAACCAAATCCGCCGTTAAATTTTCACCCTGAATCCGAAATCCGGAGAAAAATATTTGTATTACAAGCAGAGTCCAAACTCCGCGACCAAAAAATAGATGAATCCGCATTCCGCTGCAGTTGCAGGATCCGGAAATCCGTTAAAATCTCGCTTTGAAACCGAAATCCGGGCAAAAATATTTGCAAAATCCGCCGACCCGTTCGCCTATTCACCCCCTCCTAATACTACACCCAAGGATGAACTGTAATTCTGAGTGCTGTTACAGACAGTGATGAATGAAGACTTTAAATTTAACAAATTTCCCCCTTCATCAAAAATACTGGTAATGGTCGAAAGTTAAAATTAAAAAAAAAATACCCTTTTTTGTAAGGAAAATGAATAGCACTATACATGTGAACCACTTGAAAGTAATGAAGAGGTTTCTTTTAAATGGTCACACCTCAAGATTTCATCTACAAATTCAAAAGTTAGAATCAGCTTACACAGCATACCAGATAGTACCTTGTAAAAGCACAATGTGTACAGCTAATGATACTTTATTCAAGCACATAACGCGACCTAAAATATAATGACTGTTTCTTTGGCTGCTTCGTTATTGGACTTTAGTGCTAAAGGAAACGACTTCAGTGCATTCAGTTCTTTCCTTATACATATTTTTATATACACTTTACTATCCTACATTACCATACCTACAAAGATAATTAAATTTAAACCATTGCTACAGTCAAGGCAGGTCAGGCGTACTCCCCAAAATTCTATTAATAAATTGATTTGAAAAATCAATCCGTTAGTTGTTTACGTAACTGGTGTCAAATTCAAATCGGCATTCCTGCATGCCGAATGAGCTCTGAATATTTTATGAGAACTTCTCTGTATTTGGTCAAATTGAAAATCTTTGAATGGATAAAATTGCTTCGAAGACATTTACGTCAAATTCAGGGAAACTGAGGTGGTAGAAATTTTATAACTGCTTGACCCGGCTTGACTATAAAATTGAATTTGAACCGCAAAGTACAATTGAACTGTAAAACTCACTGTGTTTGCTTTTTGCAATGTGGATTGTACTATAAATGTCTTAGCTCTGTGCAGTCGACCCTGCCGAACTTTGTATTTCAGAGATAAAGCTTTGGAATTTTTCACTGTTTTTATACAATAAGACATTTGCAATAAAATTTGATTCTTGTCCATGACTACTTATTTGAATGTATGCAGTTTCCCATATATAAGACATTTGCAATAAAATTTGATTCTTGTCCATGACTACTTATTTGAATGTATGCAGTTTCCAATATTCTTGATAGTAAGGGTATTACAAGTCCATTACAGCTGTGTCTTTACCATTAAAAACCTGTACGTAACACTGTAAAACAAGAGATTATAATATATTAGTTATACCTTTGAAGGGAAGTTAGAATAGCTCACTGAAACCATAGTTAATTGAGTGGAATGGTTATGAAACCCGTCAGACTCCTTTGTTATATGTTTTTGTGGACCTGAAAGTGCACAACGTTCAAAAGAATTCCTATCATTTTGATTGTATTGACCAATAAAAACGTTGCATTAATTTATTCCGTAACAATTTGCCAACAGAAAACAAAGGATTGTGCACTTTCACGGTGCTTTGAACATAAACTGCAGCACTGTTGTTTTTATCATTGATGTTTGCCACTTTTCATAACCAGTCTCTTCTAATAACTATGCTGAAACTGGAGTTTATAAAAACGTATTTATTCATGCATAAAATAATGAATTTATCACAAGAGTTTATTTTTAGGTTGATAAATTTCAAACTCAGTCACTGAAACTACTTTTTTTTTCTTTCCTGAACCAACCAAAGTTAAGTCAGTTTCTTTGGGAAACAGTTTACAATATAACAAGTGTACAACATATGGTTGGTTTATCAATAGAACCCAATTGTTTTATAAAGACTATTGATGAGATAAAAGGGTTCCTCTCTGAATGAAAAAGGCACTCATAACAAAAATGAACACAAACAATGATAACTGCGAATCCAGAGCAATTTCTCTTACTGGTGAACGGAAATAACTGTCTCATTATAAAAGCCTATCCTAGGTGACCGTATTTCTAGTAGTCGTCACCAAACGAGATTCTACTAAGCTCCGATCAAGACGAAAATATGTATATTCCCACTGCAACCTATTTAAGCTAAAATCAATCTTAAAGGGATATATAGTGTTGGAGAGGTACTGCTCTATCTACCCAAAACTATTTCAAGTATTTGACTAACTTCTGTTGCTTTCACACAAAAGACTCCAACGACCGGAGCGCAACCTAAAGGTCACTTTCAGTAGAAAATGTCCTGCCTTTCGGATTTAAATAGTGCTTGAACTGCATCAATAAATCAACGGAATAGTTTATACGCATTTATGATATCATGACCTTCTTACGATGTGTGGTCGAGAGGTGTAGAGATCTGGGGTCCTCCACTTAGAACTGCGGTAAAATGATAAAATTGTAGGTAGAAAACATAAAGTTAACAAATGTAAAATGTTTAGTGGAATCCAAATTCTTGAACTTGGAGCTCTTCCTGTACTGTGACAGTTTCATCACAAGTCTTCTTCGTCAGACGATTTAACACTGCAACAAATGGAAAAACGTGAGAAAGTATACAGAAAACGCTTTTGCAAGTTCTGTACCGGGTTAGCCTGCGAGTAAACTCTCCATTTAGGGGATATCGTGAAAAGTAGACTAGCGAGAGGAGACGAGAAAGCGGGAGTGCTGTTCGCCCGCGCGTTCTCGCGCAGCTCGCTTCCCTCGCTTCCCTCGCTTCAATGATAGGGGAGCTTGCATTGCTCGCAGGCTGATACCGGGTTGTACTTTGTCATGCAGTTGAAGGGGTTGTGTCAAGGCTATCATGTTCATTTTGGTATTCCAAAGAGTGTACTCGTACTCGATTACGTAATCATGTAACGTGTCCTTATTCGCCAACGGAGAAGAAAATTCTCGAAAAGGACAAAATCGCACTAGCTTCGTGTTAACTCACGATATTTTCTTTACAGGTTTTCTAACCGAGCGACCTGCAGCGATGCATTCATGCCCTCAAAGCATGAAATCTAGTAAAATTGAGCCTAGCTATGGATACCTACGAGAGTCGTTTTTTTCGGGTGTTTTCCGACAAATCGTAAGTTAATTGTCACATATCAAGAAAATTTTTGCGTGAGCAGCCACGACGACGACAGAATCACGGAAATCTAATATCGTCGTCTCATAAGCGATCGTAGCGACTTCAATTTCGTCTTAAAATCAGTTTGCGTCAATTGGTTCCCGAGAACCAATAAAAAATCATCCGCGAAATTGAACATCCTCGTAACTTTCATACCACATGGTAGTTGAAATCCTGCAGCGGATTTGGGCCTTGCAATTTAGGTATAATCATCAATAAGGTTAAGGTGTCATTTCCTTTCCTTTTTAAAAATCTGACCCGTTTTTGTCATAAACAGTGAAAAACTGTCAAAATCGTTGTGGATACTCCCTGTTTCGTGCAAGAAGGTTATTTCCCGAAATACGTTAAAAACTTTTTAAGCACTCCTCTCTCTAGTAAGCCGCCCCCCACCGCGCGCGTTAATTCAATCCTGTAAAAGGGGGGCTTAATTGATAGAGTATTTACGGTATCCTTTGGTTATAACCTCTTTAAAAAGAAGCAAGCAAAGAAGAAGTCAATTGCCATTTACCTGAATACATCTGAAGGGCTACTTCTCTCCATTTCCTCAAGGATGTAGCCTCGTGCTTGTTTCTTTTTTGCAGCGCTGTCCATTGCCAAGTTCTGTGCAATGTCCAGAGGACTTTCCAGTTCCTTGTTAAACATTTTTTTCCAGTTTAATTTTTTATAAAGTGGGAACAGCTTCTGGAATGCTCCTTTCGATGCCGATGCAACACAGTGATGCAAAGCAGTGTTCCCCTCCTGGTCAGCGTCTTGTACACTGATATATTTTCCTCGTCTTTTGAAGGTTGAAATGCAGCTTATATTTTGTTTCCTTATTGCCACTGAAAGAGCAGACATTCCTGGAATTAACCCTTTGGTTGAGCGGTGGTCCTTGTCAAAGTCATCTGGAAGCTTACAGTTTAAGTCCACTTTTCGAACGACTATCAGGTGCTGCATTACATGAGGACTCATAGAGGGCAAGGAACACGCCTTTAAAAGTGCATTGTAGCCATGTTGGTCTTTTGTCTCCAACTCCCCAGATACAAAGCAATCGAGACTTTTTCCAACGTCTTCCTTTGAAAGATCTTCTCCTTTTTTCATCTGTTTGCGTTGATTCCAAAGGTTAACAATAACTGCTGTGACGTCGTTAGTTCCCGCCATGTACAATGACATTTTTTCAGCGTTTTGATTTCTTGAAGTGAAAGTTCTACGTAGGGAACTTATATCAAAATCGCTGTTAGTTGCAACATCATCAGCACTGTACGTATCTGGTACACTGGGCCATTCTGTGTCCTCCCCTTGTATGGAATACGTGCTTGTTTGGCTGCTAGCATTAGACGCGGTTTCTACATCTTCATCAGTTTCTTCATGTAGCGAAGATATAGATGCCCTCTGCTTGTCCTCTTTGTTCTTTGACATTATCCCTTGACTAGCATGATTGGGGCTCCTACTTTTCTGGCTACTCTCACTTTTTAATTCCCTTTTCTTTTTCTTTCTCACTTGTGACTGTTCGTTTCCCGAAGTGGCTTCATCATTTTTACTTCCTTTTCTGTTACGCTCTCCACTGTTTTCGCTCGCACTTTTCTTCTTTTTCACTTTCTTGCCACTCGACGTCTCTCCGCCGTTAACGTCAAGTATATCATGTAGAGAAGATGTGAACGCCATGTGCTTGTCTTCTTCGCTGCTCAGCATGCTTTCGTGGCCAGAATGAACAGGGTTCCTACTTTTCTGGTTACTTTCAGTCTTGAGTTCCTTTTTCTTTTTTACTTTTGATTGTTCTGTTTCCGAAATGGCTTCACTGTGTTCATTCCAGTTGCTGTTACTCTCTCCTCTGTCGTTGACACTTAATCTCTTTCTTTCCAATTTCCTGCCATTGGATGACTCTCCGGCTGTCCCTCCCTTTTCAAACGTTTTTTTGACACTCTGTTCGTCGCCCGTCTGGTTAATTTTCTGGCCAAAGTAATCAACAATTTTTCGTCGCTTGCTTGGAGACTCTTCAACAATTTTTTGCTTTGCATTAGGTGAATCATGACGAAACGTGTGTGAGGGGAGAAGAAATGATTTTTGACGGGTGATTTTTTCAAGGGATTTCTTGACACTCGAGCATTCCTGACGATATGGCTCTAGAGTTTCTTGAAAAGTCCTTTTGAGGCATGAGATTTCATAAGGAGAACGGTTTGCACTGAGGGATTCTTTGGTCCCTGAATCTCTTCTTAACAGTGGTTGGCTGGACGTTCCTACGTCCACAGTTCCTTTACTCTTTGCGCTGACAGATCCCTCTTCAGATGCTTTTGTACTTTCTCCACTGAAGTGTTGCTCATGATCAACAAGGATACATTCGTCGGCTTTGGTGGCATTTTCAGAGACGTTTCTTTCAACAGCTACATTTAATTCTTCCAGCATCATGCCATCTTCTTTCGAGAAGGATGCCTCGATCACAATCCACCGTAAATGATGTCTTCTAGGGTCAGCGGCAGACAAAATGGAAAACCGACCACATCTGTCGCTCATTTCGGAGGTGAGGCAAATTCCATTGTGCGACGCTATGGTCGCCTGAGTCAACCCGGGCCATCTTTCTATTGCATCTTTAGCACTCGTGATGAAAATGATCTTCTCTTGGGTTGCGCAATAGGCTGATTCCAAAAGCATCGCATTCCTGAGACTCCGATTTGCAACAGAAGCACAGTATGATACAATAAGGACTGGAACTTCATCAGTGGAACCGAACTCTTTACATTCGTAGTTCTGAAGGTCAAGACTCTCAATAATTTTGTTGGGAGAGAGTTGATCCTCACTATCGTCCGGCCGATCATATCCAATCTGTCCTTTGAAGCAATTTTCATGGCCTTTAGTGTTGACAAAGCTGCGGAGGTGGTCCATGATGATTTCTTCCTCGATAACCGTTGGCAGCTCACTAGCAAGTGGTCGTTTCTCCAGAGAGCTATCTTTTTTCCATACAAAAATAGTCGGACGTGCGAGATCCTTGATCCAGTCGTTGTATTGGACTTTGTGAAAAAGAAAGCGATTACACTTCACTACCCATAAATCAGCTTTGTCGCAATCGTCGTTGAAGCGTAAGTCTTCCCAACACGGCCATGGTCGATAAAACACTTTCTTTTCCACTGTGCTTTTGACATTCAACAAAACAGCAGCATAAACCTGGGTCTTCGCAAATGGCCTGACCGATATGGGGACACTTCTGAGAAGACCTAGAATGCCATAACTCTTGAAAGGGCTGTCACCAAACAACTTAGAGGGGCCCGTATACGTATACAGGGGAAACTGTTGGCCCTCGGGATGATCCTTTAAAGGATGTGGTTCGTATTGTATTCTTTCATCGGGTGGATTGCCCTTTCCGCTTGCAATCTTCTGAAGGTAAGTGAGAGGTTTTAAGAAAGAACATCTTTTCATCTTCATCACTCCATTCTCATCTCTGACAACGCTCTGACCTGTTGTTGTTCCTTCGTCTGACCTCAACACTGCCTCGGACATCAAGGCCACATTGTCATCAATCACAAAAATGTATTCCAGCTTTAGAGCAAATGCAATTTTCTGAATAAACAACCTCGCGTAACCCACACCTCCTTCACTCGGTTCAAGATCGCAGTTCGGTAGTTCATCTGGCAGCTGAAATATTGCAATCACCTTCCCCCAGGTAGATTTGTAGGCCTGGAACATTTCACTTCGAACCACAGCAACTTGCAGATAACGAGCTACTTGGTTTTCTTCTTGCATCACGTGATGATAGTTTAGAAGACACTTTCGCGGATCATCTCTGTGAGAGGGATGGAATATCCAATAAGACAGCGAGGTCACTCCAGGGCAGTTGAACTCGGTCCAGGACCCTTCCACTGACCTAAAACTCCTGAGATGACCTCGCAGGTAATTGTATGCTAGACTGCTGGTTGGAATTGAACAAGTGACCTTTACCGGAGCGCCGTCTATGGTTACTTCGAGCGTCTCCAAAACTGGCCGCTCTCCTTGAAGTAGTCTTCCGCATTCAACGCAGTTCTCAAAATGGTACCAGTGCCATGCGCGAACACCATCTGCACAATTTCTTGATGGCAATCTCTGATAATTGAGAATTGACTTGATTGGCTTCTTCTTTTCTCGTTTCATTAGGAAGAAGGGACTATCTTCGATGTCGTGAGTGTAGAAGAGCCCACCAATTGAATACTTCCCCTGTCCCACCGCTTTTTCATAAAGGCTGGGAGAGTTCTCGATCGTCTTCCAATAGGGAAATTGCCAGTCTTCATCTCTTTCCACGCTGCTTTCTATTGTCTCGTCAGGGGAGTCGCATTGTTCATGGAGATAAAAGCTGCCTTCATCAAATGCGGTAGTTTGGGTCAGAGGCATCTTTTCTTTTCCAAGAATGTCTTGTCTAAGCTGCTTAATGAGGCAAAGATAGGTACCTGTCTTGCCGATCTGGGGTTCAGCTTGGAGAAGTATTCTGTTGCAATGTGTTTGCTTGTTGCCGTAATCATAGCTATCCTTATGAGCTTCATAGTCCAACCAACGCAGTGAAGATGATGTCTCGCGTTTGCGTTTGGAGGTTGACATGTACCGATCAGCTCTGGTACAAGAAATTGTGCTCATAGCTGGGGAACGTTTCAATGATTCACCAAGCCTTTTGAAAAGCTCCCTTCCAACCAACACATAAGGAGTGTAGTGATCACGTGATTCTCGGGTTGATGCCTTTGCATATCGGCACATTCTTCCAAGTTCTTGAATGACAGTCGACAAAAAAAGTGGTGAGCCCTCTTTGAATTCCCGACTACTGTCATAGTTTAGTCGAAGGTCAAGGCAATCAAAGCTATGGGGAAATGTGTCCCCCATACGACCTTTATCAACCAGGATGAGGACACACGCCAAGTTTTCTAAGTCTTCATACTGAGTGATTGACTTGTGCACGTGTTGACAATTGGTACACTTCTTGCGACCGGGGCGTAGCTCAAGCTCACTGCAACGGCAGTCAAATTTAAACTGGCATTCCCTTGGCTGGAGCTTAAGGAAGAAAGGACTTGATGATTTCATCATCTGTTTCTCGATTTGGATTCCGCCATAATCTCTTATGATCTCAAATGACTTCTCCAAGGAAGATAGTTTCCGGGCCAATTTAAGGGTGTGGTAAAACTGATCGGCGGTTTCCATGCTTTTCGCTCGTACAATTTTCATCTTACCGGATTCCCCTTTGCCACTCTGGATTAGGCTTTCTACAAGAAATCCTGTTTCGTACTGCCGGACAACACCCCTCCAGATTTCAATCATCTTGTGGCAGTTGTTTTGCTTTAGTGACGTTTTGATCTCTTTTAGAATACCATTCATGAGGGGATCTTCCATGATAGTTTTTAGATCTTCCCGAGACAAGTGCATCAGACAGGCAACAAATTCCGTTTCTAAATTTTGAGTAGAGTCCACTTTACCAGTTGATCTGTTTTGTTTTTGGGATCTTGAGAATTTTTTCACATTTTCTATCAAAGTTTCTTTCACCTCGCCGCAACACTCTCTCACAACCAACTCAAAGGCTTCGTGGTGAATGTACTTTGCGTTATTCACGAGTTCTTCTCTGAAAGAACGAACCTTTTCAGTAAACTGATCAGCAGGAGATTCTCCTGTGCCATTGATAAGTGCCTGTCGGATTTTGTCATCGCTGGTGTATGTGCCAACTAGAAGAAGGTAGTAGCAGTACTCCGCGCATAGAAGGGCATCTTTTTTGAGGGATGATGAGTGGGGTGTGCACCGCTTGTTTTGTCTTTTTGCCGTGTCCACGATCCTTTGAAAAAACTTGTCCTGACGAATCTTTTGATCACTCCTTTTACCACAGGTCATGGTGCTCAGATAGTAGTTTAAACTCATGTACTGTTGTTCAACCAAGTCAACTTCTGCTGGTCCACATTGATCAATGTAAAATTCGAATGAAACGCGACCCAAGTCGTGTTTGGCTTTCATAATAGACACACCACATTTTCTTTCAATTCTGGCTGATTGCAGCAAAACGTTATCTTTGTCGTCGACTGCTAAATAGAGATCTCTCCTGTCACTGCAAGAAAACGCCGCAACTCCAACGCCAAAGTCCAACTTTACCTCAAACATAGCTGACTCCTGAGGGTTAACAATGGTTTCCAGCATTCCGTGCGAGTCTCCAGTCAGTGTACGGACCTTCCCTTCGTTTAAAATGGCCTTGATTGTCACGATACCTTGACTCCCCTGTACAAGAAAGTCAGTGGCATCACTTTCATTGTATACGACGCCCAGTTTCCCCTCCGTGGAAACATGAAGGTATCGTGGGTGTGGAGAACGTTCAACAGTTAATGTTGACTTGAGTTTCATTCGCATTCCCCTTTCAAAGTTCTTCAACTCTACCTCCGACCAGTGGACAACATGAAGTTCTACTTCCTTGGAAGTCGGTTTTGCAAAGTCATGTTTTTCAATTTCAGGTTCACTTTCTAAAACCAAGAGATCGCCAGCTTCGTAATGATTGTCTCGCACGGTAGAAATACTCTCGTAGAGAATTAAGCAACGTACTTCAGGAAGGCGGGAGTTCTGCGTTAAAAGGTTAAAAGGTGTCGCTGAGATTTGAACTACGACCACATTTCTGGGAGAGTTTTCCTTACACCATTCATTGATGAACAGATTATGTGCCGATGGTTTCTGGTCTTTGTCTTTTGTTATTCCCCAATGGCACTCATCAGCAATAATGATAAAAAGAGTTCTTGGCTTTTCTTGGACGTCTTTTCTTAGCTGGTCAAAATGCATGTCAGTTTCCGCGCTTCGAACATACATGAACATTCTCTTCTTTCCATTCCACTCTTTACGTGACTTGAGTTCTTGTTTCGATAGGACACCAGCGTCAGGGTGACAGATCCTTTTCTCGGTCTGATCGCTAAGCATCCGGTACCTTGCTGTGTAGACTGCAAACTCTACGTCGTCGAAAGCGTCGCTCAGCTTAGCGATGTTGTGGTAATGCCACATAATTGTGTCAATTCGTTTCTTCAGAATAGTTGCCATTTCTATCTGTGATGGATAATAGCATGGCTTCTCAGGATTTGCTTCTTGCACTTCGTCAATCTCTTCTTCTTCTTCATCTGACGGATATGTATCGTCCACACAGACATCTTGGCTCTCCTCGGTTTCCTCGGCGCTCTCAAACTCCTCACCACACAACGCAATATCGGCAGCAATGTCGGAAGCAATATTCTGATTAATGCACTTCCGAATCTCTCCAGAGGGGTCCGAGTCGTTGTTAATAAGGACGTCAGCACTTAAGATACCAAAATCCCCTTCACGTGGGAAAAGAGAAATGAAGTCTCCAGGGGTACTGAAGGTTGAGCACGCTTCCCGCACTCTCAATGACACGTCGTCGTCACTGACGCTAAACCACTGTTTACGCCTCCGGTTCCACCGTCGCAACTCGGTCCACGACGTTTGCGAAGGCTCAATGAGTTCAAGAAACCTTTGTGAATCCCTATCTGAGATTGCATCGACAATTTCCGTCAAAAGGTCGACGAAAAGGGAGCCATCCATGAAATCTGGAGCTCTCCAATAATATACTCCGTTACAGTCTCCTCCCGGTGGAGTGTTGCAGACTTTATCTTCGGAAATGGAAAAATGGACCACAACTGGGCTTGTCTCATCTTGAATGGGATCACCTGCAAACGATTACGATCGTGGTAGCAGTTATTAATAACTGTAGCAAACAGCTGGTTGCCTCGAACATGAACACCCCCCGCTTTATTGCTTCTCGTATCTTATTAAACAGATTACATTTTTCTATCTTCTTTAAACATTAATCAATGCAATTATTAAGATCTGTATTTGACTATGGATGGTACAATTCAGTAGCCTGGAAACCTATTTGTGTAATGACTCTACTTCAAATACTTTTAGTGATCAACAGACAGTGAAATTCACACTTGGCTGCGAGGGCTTGGGGAATAAAACAAAAGAAATCATCTTGAGGCTCAGCAATGAATAATACATTTCTTCTGTTTTATTCCCCCAAGCCTCCCAGCCAAGTTGGCCCGAATTTCATCCGGTTACTTCGAGTCGTTATTACTCCCTCAGAAACGTCTGAATCGACCGGCCGTTAATGCCGTCCAGTGACGTCATTACTTCTTTGCTTTAATTCATGCAAAAAGTAAAACACGATTTTCAAGTGGCGAACCAAGAAATATCGTTTGGAAATGTCTACATGATACTGAACAGCTCACAAAATTGCTTTACTCTTTTCGATCGTAATTCATGTTTAACGTTCAAACCATCAAGCATGCAGTTTCTCTGAACCGGTTGTAATTCAAAGTCGGTCGCAAACACGCAATGAAATAATTACACACACGGAACACTTAGTTCAAAAACACAACAATTTCCTTTAATTGAAAAGAAGCTATTTGGTCCTTAACAAATAAAAAAGAAAACAAGGCAGAAAAGCTAACAGTATATAATCATTACACTTGACGGTGAAAATAGCAAGAAGGTCGAATGACAACATGACACTGGTCTCAGAAACTTCGCATAAACAAAATCACGGCGGAAAACACAAAGCGGCTCTAAATGAAAAACCGTGCCACTGATGCGATCCGCTGAATATCAAGCGACATTCCGCTAAAATTTCTCATAATTATACATAATTATGCGAATATTTAGGCAATCAACCAGTCAAAATCACTACCCGGTTTTCAGGTAGTAGTGACGTCACTGGACGATATTAACGGCTGGTCGATTCAGACGTTGCTGAGAGGTAAAAACGACTCGAAGCAATCGGATGAAATTCAGGCTAGAGCCAAGTATGCACTTTAATAAATCAAAAATGGTCTTTTAGACTCACTGATTAGCAAGATACAATGATATCAACTTGGCTGAACGAACTCTCCAGACACCCTCTGTGTTCTTTTTACGCAAACTTGAGTAGTTTTCGGTTCTGCCCGTAGAAAGTTTTTAGTTTAGTTAAAAAAAAAAAAAAGAGTGTGGATCATCATTTCGGACAGTGGCCAAGGGTGTAAACGCCGCTCCACTGATGAATTAGGTACGGTAGAATAGCACTTTCGAATCAGGTTTCCTCACTCGGTACTTCCGGTCACAGCACGCAACGTTATGTTGGACAGCAAAAGCTATCGCATTATCGCACAATGCAATTGATTCAAGAGTCGCAGACAGTCTAATCCCGAGTGACAAGTCCGTAGCCTACAACCCTATGCCCTGAATCCATAATTTTCAATTTTACCTCTTCCTTTCATTAATATTGATAATTTGATTCGATCTAAGTGCTCCATATTTCGGCGTCCTGATGTTGTAAGTTTAATTTTAAATAAAGGTCGGCACGTGAATGGAGCGTGGTTTATCCGGGTTAAAGCTGTAGTCCCGCAATCCCGTGATGGTTGGGTGAGTACAAGTAACGATCCCGTAATTCGTTTAAACTGGAGAAGCAGTTTTTGGCCACTTATTTTGAAATCAGTCTTACCTTGGTCAGACATCTTCATTCTGCTCGAAAATTTCCATGATTGACAGTTGATATTTGCATTTTCTCTACTGTTCTTGAGCTTGCTTTAATGCTTGAAATTCCAGAGGAAAATATCAACATAAGTAATGTAAGGAACTCAGTCAACAGTTGCAGTGTTCACAAAAATTTGCTTTCCTTAAAGTACAGACAAAAATTTTGGACAACATAACACACGAAAACACACTTAAGTTGCTGTCTCCTCCCCTCGCTCCCCTCGTGCATTTTACATTTCAATTGGTTCAAGGAACTAAGTTGACCCCCAACGGCCTCCATTCTGCAATGTGAGTGATCGTTTGTTTCAGTGGTTGGTTAATTCGCCCGCCAAAAACGTTAAGTGAAATCAGTGCATGTCAGTGGCAGAAAACGGCGTGCACTGTAAGCGTATTCTAGCCTGTTTTCATAAATTTGGTTTTCCAGCAGTCTAAATGTGATAAACCGTTTTATTGTTGCAAAGACCGTCGCACTCGCGCTCATCATATGCAGATCAAAATGCAAAACACAATATGCCCATGTGAGAAGCAACTCCAATTCTCATTTCAAAATGTATCCAGATAGGAAGTATACTTATCGTAGTTTTAACGTTAACTTCGGTTGGAAAGCAAATGTATACTTACATATGTACTCTAATAGAGCTTCTCAGCTCTCTTCTCCAAACTGCACTGTAGCAGGTTTCAAGGTTTGCTTGATGGCCGATCATACACTAAAGGATTCGATATAAAACACGAACAACTCGCTCAGTTTGCAGACAATGCAGCGATTATGTATTCTTGTAAAAGGATTCGATAGAAAAAACTAGATAACCGCGCAAAAAGCGCTGCAAAAGTTGTTTTACTGTACCTGCAGTTGACGTCAGCCAGTTTGAAAGATTGCCCGTTTGAATTCCTTGCCCCGGGGGGTAGTCAACAAAATTTTATACGGTGGGGCTCCGCTCAGAGGTCTAACCGGTTACTCTTCTGTATACCATTTTTGGCCGAAAAGGTACCCCTTTCCTATGTCTCCAATTGACAAAATGGTACCACTTTCACTCACTACTTTAGAGCGCTGCGTCCCCTTTAACTGTTGTGAAAGCACCATCCCTTGACTATGAATAAATCACTAATCCAGGAAGTATTTTATTCTTTTTTTCCAGCCATAAAATGCGCCTGTTAGCCCTTTGAGGTCCGTAATTCAAAGACCACAACGACAGATTTTCAAACCCTTTTATATACTTTAACTATAGAGATCCCTACCCTTTTTAATTTCATACCTGACGCCTGTAAGAGCTAGCCCTTTCGGGGGGAGCCCGACTCCCTATCAGTCACTATAGGGTGTACCCCCCCCGGGTTTCTGTATGGATAGTCGTCTCAGTTCTGAGAATTCGATATGATTCAACGGTTTTTCTAGGAAAACAAGAATGAACTGTATAAATACATCAATCGAGTGTCATGTTCCAGCTATATTAGAAAGATTCCGGAAATAACTGTCAAGTGACCCGGTCATCCTATGATTAAATACGCATGATAATTTAGCATGTTAAGTGAAAGTATTGATTGCAGAGGGGTCCTAAAAAACCCTCTGTGATGAAAAGCATTAACGAAAGTAACAATTTACCTGATAAAGTTTTAAGACGTTAGGTAAATTTATTAAAACAAGCATATGCAATTTTAAAAGGAAATACAAGGAATTCACTAATTAAAAGGTCATTCACAAATCACTTTAAGAACTGAATTAAGTGGCAATACCGCTCCAATGGCCCTAATGTTTCTTGTGGTTGCGCTTTTCATCTGAGATTTTCTGTAGATCGTGTATTATAATCATGAAAATCAAGCTGACACTTTTTTGAGAGGTATTGGAAAAAAAATATTTAATTGACTGATCAGTAAACTAAGTTAGCACATGGGTCATTACTCCTGCCCAATAGTCAGTGGTTTGTACAGCGAAACTCGTTTCAAACTTATAGTACGTGTTCGATACCTTATATTATTATACATTGAACTCACTATCTCTTTTCTGATTGGCCGAAAGCGTACAGTGAATTTTCGAAATCAGCGCCTGGGACGTCATCTAGGTCACGAGTAATCATGTCACGTATGACCGCGGTGCATGATTTCTAAGGGTAATCATGTCAAGTTCGCGCGCTTTGTTTTGCTTGCGGTCAGTGAAGAAGCAAAAACATGACTTCCAGGTTTGCTTTGTTGACCAAGCAGGTCATCGAAAAAATAGTTGAAGACAATGATATAAAACACAAAAAGGTCGACGAAGGTGGCTAAGGAGCTGTTGCTGATTACCTGAGAGAGAGAGGACTCAGCGAACCTGAGGAAAAGAAAGAGTTGACACAAACTTTGAGAACATACATTTTCTGTCGAAGCGAGAAAGAAAGAATTCGTTCAATGTATAATAAAACAATCATTAGATTCGGTTTTTGTGATATCCAGAATAACCAAGGTCTCAGTAAGGGTTATCAGCCTCAGCCGATAACCCCTACCTCGACCTTGATTATTCTGGATATTACAAAAACCTCATCCAATAATTGTTTAGAACATGTTCGTTAACTGATAGATACCATAGGTCAAGAGCCATAATAGGATATTATGGCTCTTGGGTAGATAGTTAGGTAGATAGATAGATAGATAGACAGTTAGATTAAATTTACAAGCTTTTCTCGGGTTTTTCCAACATCCCAAGTGGGTTATCACGCCGGTAAACCCATGGAAAGCGTGGTCTAATTTGCTTAATTAAAATTGAAATAAACGTAATAAATCAATGTAGGGTGAGGAATTTCTTATTCATTTGTCAGTGTGTCAGGGATGTGCTTTCAGCTTAAAACACTGCCAAAAAAGGTCAATAACGCTTACTAGCAGTGTCGCAAATGTAGCTGAAAGAGACCTCTTTAACAATCATGGCTTTTGTGGTTGTCCTCTCTGCTCGTACAGAGCGAGGCAAGCGCATGAGGGAGAATCCTGAGGACTGCTGGGAGTCTGATGGGTAGAAAAACCCAATTTGAATCGTAAAGAGTCGGAGCGATTTGCCGAAAAATGACTTTATTCAGTTCCAGTCTCCGAACGGATACCTGGGAACGAGATTGTTCTGACATCCGGTAACGGCTGCTTCCAGAGGAAAGCACCACGGATAACATCGACCTAAACCAGATGAGTCATCGATATGTCAGCGGCGTTTTACAAAATGATTGAAATGATCCCGTCGACTTCCGCTCACTTGGTCGATCGCAGCGAGGATGCTATGTTTGAGTTAGTTTGAGTTATAAAACGGTCAATATTGTCGTTTCCAGTTCATATCACTAAAACAGGGTTAAATCTGTAATAGACTCAGCTGTACTGCATTGAACGACGTGGCTTATGGTCTTTCCAAGGAACGCCGGTTTCGGTCGCTGTTATTTAGTGTCAACACGTCACGAAATCCTATCTAACACCGACCGAAACCTAACCAGAACTCGGCTGCGGCTACGAAAAAACCGAAATAAAATAAATCCCGCGAGAGTGCGAATCCCATCCCAGTTTTATTGCTGTTCTTTGAGTCTCAAACAGCAGTTTTTCAGCTTTTCGACCTTCACGTAAGAAAGTTTAAGAAGTTCATAATAAAAAAAGTTCTACTTCCACATTGGCGCCAAATCTAAAATTTTGCAACTGAGAATACTTAGTGAAGGACAATGGCAGGAGTAGAATCAAGCCATACACCGTGGTTATCTCTATTTTAAGTCGCATACGATCCACGTTTAGGTCGATGTTTAATATCTAGTGCTTGCCGCTTCCAGAGCCCATCGTTTCAAGACCACGTGACCAAGAAACGACAGGCTCTGGTGACGAGAATGGGATTCAAGCAACATCAGCTTAGATCGACCATATTTAATTCTATTACAAATTACATCTTTTCGCTTTTAAAAGCTATT